CAGGTGGCCATAACAGGCATTATGGGATCATGACGTATTAGGTGGCGAAGCTTCCTGAGAGCTTCGGCTTTCAGCAACTGCCCATTAATATTACAACTGCCTGATGGTAGTGACCCCTGGTTCCAGGCCTGGCTTTAATAAATGGTTGTTACGCTAGGAATAACAGTGGATCTATTACTTTTTATTCTCCCCATTTCTGATATTCATGCATGGGTGCCAATGTTTATGTAGCCAAAATGGCACCATCTACACAAAAGAGGGTGGTATCAAGTGGCTCAGTGAAACTTCAGGATTTTCAGAAATGCCACAAATATTTAGGGGGGAACCCTCCCCTCATACAACCTACAAAGGGTGGTCAGGCCACAGAATGCTGAGCAAGTTTTGGGTGGAAGATGGCATAGAGTATGGCTGTCAGGCGCACTAAACAAGAACACTCCACACTGCTACATTTTGTTGCAGCTTCCACTTCTGGCTACTGCTTGCAATACTGTAACACCTGCTGTGCTGTCTTAACTAAAGCTTATAACTCAAGATACAGAGTTTGTGTCCATATAAGGATTAAAATTACAAATCAGTCATTAAAGCTTTTTGGCATAAGGCAGGTTTAAAAAAAGCAGAAGACTGGTAATAATGAACAAAGAACTACAGAACCATGTGTCAGGGAAATTTAAATATAATAGTATGAACAGCATGTTTGGAGTAATTAAACACTGGTTAATGAAATTAATAATTCAGAGCTCTTATATAAAGCTGATCAATAAAGGGGGTAATTAAACCCATAGCATATTGCATATATTAAGAGTTCCTGTTATGGTTGCCATAGAAACCTTAACTTTGAGTTCTCTTCCATTTGCAGGTTTAAATTTTTAGCCTCAGTGTTGCATTAACATACTATTTTTTTTGCATTGAATAAATTTGCCAATAGAGGATTATTAAGGAGCTTGACGCTTCTAAAGTGTCTAACCCTGTAGTTAATCTGCACATCAACATTTTAAATCACAAAAGTATTAATACTCAGCTCACAGAACATTCAAGATGTTCTGCCTTTGATGTGCTTATGCAAAGTTGGACACCATTTTAAGGCTTCAGTTGCACCAGCTTCCTGAAAAAGCTTCCCCCTTTCCAACTACATGTGTGTTAGGAAAAGGTGCAAACTTAAAATCACTAGAGCTAAAGGTAGGTGAATAAATAATCATTGACTACAAAAACACACACCCTGCAATACAAGAAATCCATGCACATTTTATTAGCCCCATCTTCCAGAGCAGGGTTGCCAACCTGGTGCCCTCCAGATGTGGTCACACTTCAGCTCCCATCAGCATCAGCCAGCATGGTGAGGAATGAAGGGAGCTCTAGCCCAAAACCTTCTGCAGGGGAACACATTTGCTATTCCTAATCTAAACTAATATCCTGGACCAAAACCCGAGTGTTCTTTATGACTGAGGAATCCTCAGCAATATCAATGGGTTTGGGGAAATAGGATCTTATTGACAGGAGGAGGGTCTCGAAACTAGGGGTTCCTTGGCCCTGCCATACCTTCTAGCACTGATCCAAGAAGGGCTAAATTGAACCTTAGATACCTGACTCTGCCACTAATTAACCCCTGCCAATTATCAAGGAGGTGGAGCTAGGATCCCCTGCTCAGTTCCAGTAGGTATACCATGTCTCTGAGGGTCAGCAGGCGAATCAACCAATTGTGCCTGAGACAGCATGGTACTGTAGAGGCTGTGCAGAGCTAAGTGCCCAGGCACACTGTCTATTTAAGGGAAACTTTCAGGAGATCCAATCTGCTGGGTGTAAGGCCAGCCTTTCAATGTGATCCAGTTCTTTGAAGACTTGTAGCATCAACCTTTAAATGAACGCTTAGAGAAACTGAAGACAACAGTAAAGTAATGCTAGTCTGATCTTTAGTCTGATCTTATATTGTGTGTGATATGCACAGAAGGATACTGAAAGTTGCATTCCAATTTTCGCCTATTAATTTTTTAGGCTTTAAAATAAAGCTAGGTTGTCATTTAGAAGCTTTGTTATTTTCTTGTCGGGCTCTGTTATTGCCCTGTTTCTTGAAAGTCCATTTTAGAATTGCATTTTTGGTACTATTAAAGGCCTATATTGCCTTTTCAGAGGGATGTTTTTTCACAGGAAAAGAAAATTTCCTTTACTGCTAGCTAAGCTGATCTTTTGGCTTTCTTCCCAGAATGAACTTCAAAGTACTTCATATGGGTATTATATTTTGAAAACTACAATTTTCTCTGTGGAAACTGAACGAAATTAAACCCAATTATTGTAATTTATGTCTGTGCTGCCAGAAGAGAGTATTCAATACGTTTGGTTTACTAGGTCATATTGGTCTCTCTGATATATCATATAAATTAAATTATATGCAAAAATATCAAAAACGTCTTGTTGCAAACTGGCAACAAGAAAGAAGGGTCATGTTCGGGCTATGCGTGTTTACTTGGGAGTAAGTCGCATCAAACCTTAATGCAGTGCCATTTGAATGTAAGTGCAGCCCTGCTGGATCAGAACAAAGGTCCATCTCAGCCAGGATTCTCTTACCAACAGCAGCTAGCCAGGTGGTTCCCAGAAGCCAACATTTAGGGTATAAAGGTAATAGCCTTCTTCCATTCCTCACCATGAGCCACTAACATTGAGCTATGGTTACAGTTTCCCTGAACCTGGAGATTCCATTTAGTCAACGTGGCTAAGAGTAGTCAATTGACTGATCCTCCATGAATTTGTCTAATCCCAAAGCCATGTAAGTCAGTGACCCTCACCATATCTTAGGGCAATGAACTACGCATCGTGTGAATAAGTTATTTTCTTTCGTCCATCCTTAATTGATATCAAGTCAATTATATGTCCCCAAGTTCTATCACAGATAAAAACACCTCCATCTACTTCTCCAACACCATGCATAATTTTAAAAAACTGTTATCATATCTCCCTCACTTTAACTGTCCCTTTTCTGAGCTAAAGGTGACTACATAAGGTGCTCCAACCCCTTATTTTCATTTCTCAGTGTAATATCTCTTTTTGAAATGGAATGACTAGAACTGTACACACTATTCCACACCAATAATGTGATACTGCTTATTTTACTCCATCCCTTTTCTGATAAATACTGTGTGACTACTGCTGTTCCCTGAGTTGACCATTTCATTGAACTGTCCACTGTGATCCCAAGATAGCTTCCTATTTAGTTAACAGCCAGTTCAGATTTTATCACTGTGAAGTTGGGATTCTTTTTTGCCCCAATATGCATTGCATTGTATTTATTTATGCTGAACACTTGATTTGGCTGCTGTCCCAGAAGGAAGGCTGAATCTTCAACCATTTTGTTGTTGCTTTTGGCAGAAAGGATAAAAAGGACCTTGTTATTGCCAGTTCAGCCTGGAAATAAGTAGGTATTGTGTACCATAGTTAACTGGCAACAGCTATGTACTTATTACCTTTTATATCCTGACTTGGCAATGTAGTTGGCCAGGCCTTTATAATAAATACTCAAGGCAGCTAGCAAAACAACCCTCCCCCCCCCAAAAAAAACCCCTGAAAGCAATACAGAATAATAAAAACAGTGAAGATATTAGTAAAACTACAGCGAAACCTACAACTAAAAGACAATAGCATCATAAAAGACAGCTTAAAGATGGAACTCTGCAAAGGCATTATTCAAGGAAGCAATATCAGGGGAAAAAACCCTATAGAACAAATATGTGCAGCCAATCATATACAGAAATTAGGAGAATATACCACAATCTCTCACAAGTCTGTTAGTAAAAAATGCAAACATAAATTGGAATTTTAAGGAACACATTATAAGTGCTATGGATTTTGCTGTTCTATGAATTTCTGTGAATAGGACTGTTGCTGTGTTTTTGCTTTATGATACTAGATGTCTTGGGCTTGACAAAGGAGTGTGAATAGCCCAGAACAGGTGATGTATACTCATGGAAAGATGTGTCCCTGTGGAAGGAAGCTAAGGTTAGAAGATGACTTCTTGATACATGACCACTGGGATATTCAGAAAAGGGATTAGGGGGCATACACTTCCCAATTCCACTTAAGGATGTTGTAATCTAGTTCTGTGTCACTGTGCAAATGCACAAGAGATAGACTGCAGTTTTGGTAGTTAAGAGAGTTTGGGGGCTCGGCAAGCTAACAGTACTAGAGAGTGAGGGAGGTACACCCTTTAGAGATTAAAGACTGATTGCCTACCTGCTTCTTCTCACCTGTAATTGATGTCTATGCACATTATACGGCCGATTTATTCATCCATCTTATTTCACCTTTACATTTTAAGTGTCCAAAGCAGTGTGCAGTGGTACCTCGGGTTAAGTACGGTACTTAATTCGTTCCAGAGGTCTGTACTTAACCTGAAACTGTTCTTAACCTGAAGCACCACTTTAGCTAATGGGGCCTCCTGCTGCTGCCACGCCACCGGAGCACGATTTCTGTTCTCATCCTGAAGCAAAGTTCTTAACCTGAAGCACTATTTCTGGGTTAGCGGATTCTGTAACCTGAAGCGTATGTAATCTGAAGCGTATGCAACCTGAGGTACCACTGTACATCATCAGTCACACTATAAAACGTTTGAAGAAGTCAGAAGCTAGCAAACAAGAAGCATAGCTGGTAAAATACACTTCCTGAGAAGTTATCGGCTGTTATGGCCCTTTAGTTGAGGAGAAACCCGAATAATTCAGAGGGGCTTACTTCTAAGTAAATATGTATTGGGTTGGCTCAAGGCAGTCGTGCTCAAAGCAGCCCCACTGACATTAATGTAGTTTTAACTCCATTGCCTTCAGCGGGTCTACTCTACACTTGACTGGATTCGCCTTCATGTTTCTTAGCAAAGCTGGGGAATTTTAGCATGCAAAATGTGTGAATCTTCCACCTGGCCAACTCTCCCGCTGCCTTTAAGGGAGAAACCCTCACACACACATAAATGAGTAACATGTTGTTTTCAATACCATGCCTTGCTATTTAATTCCGAAATAAAGCCTCACTCTCCCGGAAGCACCCCGGATCACGTCGCGTTCTCAACCCTCGCCTGGCGCTAAGAAATAGCAAGCAAACTCCAGGCGGTTAGTCGCGCTTAAACCCGGCTGCGGCGCATGCGCAGAGTGGGACGGGAGCCACTACTATGGAGAGGAACCCTGCGGAGCGGAGAGAGCGGCGACGGAAGGGCGCTCACGACGTCTTCGAACACCTTCGCTCCCCGCTCTGGCTGGTTCTGGATCCGGGGCAGAACGAGCCCACCGCCATAGGGATGGCCTGGTTGCAAGCGGTTCCGGGTTACTTCCGGAAGATCCCGCCTCTCCCTTCCCTTTCTCTCTAGAGAGGAGGAAGGGAAGAAAACAGAGCCGAGTCCGCTGGCTTCGGAGCGCGCTGGGCCTTGCCCAGTCAGCTGCCTCTCCCGCACCGGAGTAAGTTGAAGGAACGAATACCATTCGGGGGGCGGAGGCATTTTTTGGGGGGGACGGACGGACGGTTTCTACGTGGCCGTTCGCACATTTCCCCCTCAAGATTCTCGCTTGGAAGCGAGCGGGGCGCCAGACCCGGCGGGTGTATGAGGGAAGGGAGGGGTCGTTTCTCAGATACTCGAGGTGCTGGGGGGGGGGAGCGGCTGGGCCTGAGGTACTTATTCATGGCGGGTGGGGGGTGTTAGAAACTCTGGGGAGAGACAGGGTGGTAGACTTGAGGGAGACTCCCGGCGGTCGCGAGTGCCTTGCGGGGGTTCCGGTGGGGCCCGAAGGCCTGGCAGATGCTCCGGGTACGGATTGCCGATAAGGAACAGCAGCCCTTGTGACGTCAGTGGTGTTCGGAGTGAGGGGGGGTTGCTACTTTCTCTGCTTTCTAGCGGCCACCAGAAAGTTGCCTCGCTCGCGCCGGCGATGCCCGCGTGGACTCGCGTGTGCTGCCAAATCCTTCGAACGGAACTGTCTGCAATACAGGCAGACAGAGCTTCTTCCCAAGGCCGCGCTGGATGGTTGCTCGGTTTCATTAAAAAATAAAATAGAATGTGAAGGTTTCATTCTGTATCTGGTGGGCCACTTGCGACAGGCAAGGTTGTACCCGAGAGCAAGCTCGTTCATGATTACTGTACTGGGGAAATGCTTTGGGGCATGGTCTGCGCACAGTGGTGGGGATGTTTTAAGGTCACCAAAGTGGCTGTCAGTAGAATTTGGTAACTGGCACACAAAAATGAATGACAGCTGTTTAAAAAGAGAGAGAGAAAGGCTGTTTAAAAAGATTGTCCTCCTTGGAAAAATTGTGTATCAAGCTATCTTGGAAGGGAACACACAGATGCTTATATGTGCGCTGATACTAGTAGCCTAAAACGAGGACACCATTAAGGTAGGCATATGGAAATCGGTGAAATCAGTGGGGCATGTTTAATGTGGTTAGGTATGGAAATGACAGGGAATCGTAGAAAAACAAACAGGTAGCATCATGTTTCCAACCGCAGTGGTTAGCCAGATGCCTGTAGGAATCCCTGTAGGGCAGAGTCATTTAGGAAATGTAGAAATTTTTCCTTTTCATCATGATCCAAACATGTATTTATCAGTGTGTGTTAGAGTAATTGAAGTTGCCCATTACTATGCTTTCTTCATCAGATACCTTCTTTACTTCATTCCTTATCTCCAGTTCACTCTTGAGTGCTTTGAACAGGGAGATGATAATTTGTGTCCTGTATTAAATTGCTTTTGCTCCCTGATTTAAACATATAGGAGAACAAGCCTTGTTGAAGATGAGTCAAAATGGGAGGTTACCTGTGGACAGTAACTCCTACACCAGCAGCCTTTTGGGGTTTGAGTAGGGGTGATCTAACCCAGTTCATCTTGAAAGGCTCCTGAATAAATGTAGGAATAAATGGGAACTTCTCACAGTGAAGGCTAAAAAATCCATACTAGAACTGGTAATGTTGAACTTTTTCATAAGTGATCTGGAGTAATGGATGAGCAGTTGACTAGGTTTGCAGACGACACCAGGAACACGAGGAAATTGCTAAGAAGTCTAATGAGGTGAATGAGCAACAAAATAGCAAATAACGTTTAGTTATGAATAAATTGGTGCCTATTAGCGCAAAAAATCTTAACCATGTTCACGCACACACTGACTTTCTCTGAACTGCTAGCAGCTGGACACCTGGTGAAATTGAGTGGCAGTAGATTGAGGATGAGCAAAATAACATTTTACTTCCCATCACACATACTTGTATGTGAAAAATTGCCACAAGTTTAGATGGCCTTAAAGGGGGATTAAACAGATTCATGAAGGACAACTCTATTAATGGTTCTTAACCATAATGGTGAAATGGGGCCTGCTGTCTTGTGGGCTCTGCTTATGCAAATATAGACAGATTGGCAAGTGGAAAAGTGGGTCTTAGACTCAGATCTGTAGAGTTAGAAGGGGCCAGCGGGATTATCTAGTTAAGCCTCCTGCAATGCAGGAATCTTTTGCCCAATGTGGGGCATGTATCCAAGATTTGTGATAGTAACAGTCTCGTGCAACTGGATTCAGCATATTCTTTTATTTATAAAATTTGGAGGCTTCATTGGATTCTATACAAGTTTAATTTTTGAAGGGAAAAACCCCACTTGGATTGTTGTTTGGCACATTATTTTATTGGCATATTGTTTTATTAAGTTGGGAGATGTCATTAGAATCTATAGAAGTTTTAAATTCTGAAGGAAAAAGAATGAACAGTTGGCTCCTACTTATAGAACAGTTGGCTCCTACTCCTTGTTCAAAAGTGGGATCTTGTTTATAGAGGAAAACATATAAATGTTTCTAAAATTATGTTCATGATTGATTAGTCTTTATTTGCTTGTAGAGTAGTTGTGGGTGCTGTTTATGAACATTGGGCATTTCAAGGTAACGTATCTGGTCTGCTTAGGCCTTAACCCCCACCCCTTTTTAAAGATAATGAATTGGAAATATTAAGAGTGCCTACCTTGCTTTCCCAATGCATCGGGAAAATAATAAATACTAATTTTGATGTGTCTGTGCTTGTGAATATTTAAGGAAAATTACGTTGTAACAACACGTTATTGCCAAAAAACACTCGGAAGTTATCAGCTTGTAGTAATGGCTAATATATGTAAACCTTATGACTTACTTTGGTGCCTGATTTCAGTTTTGTTTTTTTTTAAATAATAGGTAGAAGAATACATGTTTACTTTCAGCATAGAAGAGCATGTTCCCAAATTCTTCCAACTTGGGTCATCCACCCTTCCCACTAGAACATCAACAATACAACTTCTTCATTAATCTTCCAGTGAACATACCTCCTGTTCTCTTTCACCAGCAATTCCAGAATACAACGTAAGTGTGGTAGAATTTTAATCTGAAATTTCCTGCCAGAAACAAATATTGGATTTTTAAAAAGCCTACTTGCAGTGTTAACATTACCACATAAACTACCACAGAGAAGCAATTTAATGTCCATTTGAGCTTTAGGTTTGCAGTGAAAATAAAGTTTGAGTAATAAACTTGAGTACTGTAGTTTGTATTTCATCACAGTACTGAATGGTAGCATGCATGTTCACTTTATTACTTAAGTAATTACTGTATGAATGCTTAAATTTAAATTCAAAACACTGGCATGAATAATCATACTGCATTGTAATTTTCCTAGAACTCCAGTAAGTGGTAATCTTCTGACCATCCCACCTGTTTCACCTCCACCTTTTGCCTATAGAAATGGCAGCCCAGTGCATACATCAGCTGCCCCTGCATCATTCCGAGGCAGAAAGTAAGTGCATTCTGTGGTTCTCTTCCATGTTATGTTCCCTTAGAATAAAGCACTATAAAATAATAGAAATATAATACTGAAGTGACCCCCTATTAAAGGTGTTACTCTTTGAGACTTTTTATGACAATTTGCCCACATTTTGTTTATTATGATGCCTATCTTGTTAGATGCTGACACACTCTCAAAATGGGAAGTTTGGAGTCATTTCCCACCCAGCTGTATTTCTCCACTGTTCTCAAGGGTGCATATTGCTATGTGTTTGTGGCACTGTTCATGCATTTTTTTCTATTTGCAACCACAGAAAAGCTAGGGAGTGACTATTCCCTTCCCATACCCACAAGGGAAAATGGCTGTGAACACATCTGTTGTAGCTTTGGTAACTTTATTGAAAACAATGGAGTCATACCATATGCAGATAAACAGAGGAGACCCTGGCATTTTTAGCTGTTGGTCCTTGAATCTTTACTGGTATTTTCCAAGTTAATAATATTTTCAAGACCAGAAGCAGTATGCTGGACTGGATAGTTTGGTCTGGTCCAGAAAGGCTGCTCTTATGAGAATGTGTGAACCAGATTTACTGCTCTACTGATAAGGGTGAAGTGTGTGAGGAATAAGAACTGGTCAGTAGACTGGATCCTGAGTCGTCATCGTCCTCCATGGACTACTTCCTCTTCCTTCCCACTTTTACCACAGGGCACACATTGCACACAACTTCTCACTGTAGCACTCTCTTCAGATTCAAAACTGCTCTCTTGAATAGGAAGTATTTCAGAATGAGAACTGTATTTGCTGTGCATAAGAATGGCTTGGCAATTTGATCTAGCATTGTCTTTCTATGGGACACAAATTGAGCGCTTGCACATACTTTTGAGTTCCCTGTTTTAAGACTTTATTTGCATCATATCAAAGTTGGGCATTCCTCTTTAAAAATAATACACAGTTAGTTAAGTACCGAAATTGGAATAGTCAAACCTCTCTTACATTTTTAGGAGGCTGAAAGAGCAGGATGTTCCTTATCAAGTGAAGCGCCAGCGATTTCATTCACCTCATCATGAATCTGCTTCAGCTAACCAAGTAGTGCCTTTACCAGAAGATCACAGGCGGTCATTCCCTGGATCAATTCCTTCGCCATTATTTCCAGCACATTACATCTCTGATTTGACGGGATGTGTGCCACCCTTACAAGAAGCTTCATTTCCTGACCTTATAGAAACTGCACTCCCTGTGGCCAAAGATAAGGTAAAATTGAGAACAGGTGCTCTTTTCCTTTCTATAAAGTTTTCTGTGCAAGACAGTGGCTCCCAAATCCTGGGCTGCAAGAGGAGCTGAAGGGTATCTCAAACAGAGCCAATGTGTTGGAAACATTTACACTGAGTCTTAGAGCAAGGATGACTCTTTGAGCAAGTATAGATTTCCACTCCTGCCTTCAGTCAATATAGAACCAGTAACATCATTCCCAAGGGAGGGAGGGAGAGTGTGTTGGGATTTCTTGCCACAGCCAGTGCTTTTTGTAAAAATAATAATAATAAATAGTTAAAATATAATTGAAGAATGCTGAAGAATGTGCATCTGAATTGTCACCTTTGCCCCTGACTGCAATGGGAATGGCAGAATGTTGAAGGATAATAGTAAATGATTTATCCTGTGGTTGCAAGGAGGATGCCTGCTTCTATTGTGGGAGCAGATTGAAGAAACACATGAAACAGGAACACTGCTTTTAATAGTAAAACTTCCACAGTTCTGATTGTGTTCAAGCAGCAATAGTAATACTATGCAGCCATGTATTATTGCAGCAAGAACAACAATTTTAATTGCCTGTGTGCTGTCCAATAACAGATGTTTGTCTGTAGAATAGCAAAGTTTAGAGTCTCACTAATCAGGCTCCTGCTAAATCATTTATTTACAGTGAATTCTCGTAGGACTTTGATTGGTGATTTGGGGGAAAAACCTTTTTAAAAGTGTGTGTGTACACAAATGTATTTACTATATATGTATAAGAGATCATACTGATAGTTGTATAGTAAATGCTGGTTTGTTTTTTGCATATGTTAAGCTAAGTCAGCAAATACTGGAATTATTTCAAGTGTGTCAACAACAAACCTATGACTTGAACAAAAAAGAGCTTTGCCGAACACAACTCCAGAGGGAAATTCAGCAGATCTTTCCAAGTATGTTATCATTCCATATGTTTCTGACACTCAAATAGTCATGTTTTTAATTATTCCGTTCTTCTAAAGAATAAGATTTTATTGTATGGTCCTTTCCTTGCAGATAGTAGACTCTTTTTGGTTGGATCCTCACTAAATGGATTTGGTACTCGTAGCAGCGATGGTGACCTGTGCCTGGTGGTTAAAGAGCAGCCAGTAAGTACTAGAAGGAAAACCTGCTGTCTGTGAAAATAGCTTTCCAAGATTCTTAGCTTTTTTATGAGAGAGGTTGGAAGGGGAGCTGCAGTGTAGGAAGGGGCTGTGATGCCAGAGATCTTTAACCAATTTAGTTAAAAGGAAATTAATGAAATTCTAAACCTGAGTCTTTTTCATTTGCATTTCCTGCCCCTGCCTGATGACTTGGGCCCCCAACAAATCATGGTCAAGTGCAAATATTTTTATACTTGTAGAACGGTGGTGAAGAATTGGCCTGGTCCTTATCTCCCTTAACCCTTACAGGCCAAATATGATAGGTGGGCAGGGCCACCCACCGTTCAATCACCTGACATCACAAGGACTTCAGAGTGGCATGCCTGTCTTGCAAAGAACCCTGCACAGTACTTTGAACTACTTCAGATCAGTTAATAATTGTTCTTTAAAGCACTCTGAGCTCTTTGCAAGTCTCTTCAAGAATTGACTGGCAATGGAGTTCCCAGGTATCCTGCTTTTCTGCTGTGATCAACTGGCTGTGGAGTTGCCCATGGAGAACTCAATTGTGCAACTGATCCTAGCTGGTTTATTTTCACTACCAATCAGCTGATTGGTGAGACAGCAAGCCACGCCACATGTGGGATAGGTAGACGTGGTTTGGACGAAGCAGCCAAGTTGGAACTGGTTGCCCCCAGGCCAAAGGTTTCTCATCCCTATGGTAGAGGCAATTCATATTACCTGGCTGTTCCTTCTGCCTGCTGGGCAATCAGATGCATAAGGTCACATATAGCCGCCCCATCAAAGGTATACTTGCAGAATTTATGTACTGTATACATTCTTTTCTGTATGTGAAGGCAGAAAACAAGACAGCTGACACAAGACAGCTTTTTAAGATGAGGGGAGGCACACTTCAGAGGAGCAGAACCTGTAGCAAAAAAAACCCAAAATGAATCTGCTTCTCTGTAGCCGAGAAGAAAAAAGGGCAATTAGTGATGGATCATATGCATTTTTTAAAAAAGAGTACCTCTTAATAGAATGGAAACTTCACCAGATAATTTGAATAAAATAATCACATTTCTGGAACCATACTATCACTTAGATTAACAATGTAACTGCATTACACGCTGCATTAGCTTTAATCGTGCTTTTAAAAAGACCTACTTGCATTATTCTCATTCCTCATGAAAGCTGTTAATGATTAGCAATACTCATTATGCAAATACACCTTATTCAAGTAGGGGTTTAAGTTGTATTCCAGGAAGGGCAACTTAACTCACAGTGTCTCTCTTTAGTTCTGATAATTTTTCTGTTTTCTAATCTTAAGTGAAAAATGGTGTGTGAGCATAACAAGTATTTTTTATGTAAATAACAGGGCAAGATCGCTCCGATTATTTTATCCCCGGTATCTCACACTCCCAGCATTATTATTGTTGTTCTTGTTATATTATAATTATTATTTATTAAATTTATATGCTGTCCTTCATCTGTAGATCTCAGAGTGGTTCACAAGATAAAAATACAAAATACATAATAAAAACTAGAACAAACCAAGCCAATGACCCCTTCCTCTAAGGTACTCTGGCCTGGAGCCTGGTAACATTTAATACCTTAAAACTTGCACTATGAACTGAGCGCTCGAAAAGATAACTAATGGAGGTGCTGTATTATCAGAGTTACATAATATAATTTGGGGGCCTGAGGTGGAAAAACCAATGTTATATCCAGGGAGTGAAACACACACACACACACACACACACACACACACACACGACACTTATCTGTCCTTTAATGATACCTCCAAACTGGACTCTTTACTTCTGGTATGTTGTAGGATCTGCCCTGAATGGGACTCCCAGTGTGCTCTTATTCAAGCACCAATCATTTTAACCCTTTTGGTCTTGTTTCATAAATGACACATGAAAGTTACGAATGCATAGGTTGTTGCAACGGTGGAAGTAGAAAGATGTGATCTTTTAATTAGCTTCTATTTAATTTCATGTGTTTTTAACAGATGCCTCCACTGGTTTGTTTTAATAGATATAAAATATTCAGGGTTGTATCCAACACTGCCATTCTACTTGCACAACAAAACCTCCCCCTCTTCCCTGCACCCCCCTGCACACCATCAAAAACTGCTGCAGAAGGTTGGGGGACCCTCTGAAGCAGATTTGTGGGTGCGTGAGAAGAAGAGGGGAAGGGGAAGTCCTGTTGTGTGAGTGGAATGCAATTCATGCACTGTTAGATACAACCCTCACTCATTTCCTGAATGCATCTGAGTATTAATGGATGTAATTTATTTCAGATTAATCAGAAGACTGAAGCAAGACACATACTCAGCTTACTCCAAAAACACTTCTGTCGGAAGCTTTGTAAGTTCTGGACTATGTTATAGTGAAATGATGGTTGGCTAATGCTTTGTGATATGCAGTAATGGGCAAGAAACCCTTACATGAAAAAGTTTACATTTAACTTAATTAAGACTGCATTTATGACTGCCCAAGTGAATGGGTTGGATTTGAGGTTCCCCTCATTCATTATTTAAGGCATATCTATGCTGCCATTCATCACTGGTACCAAGGTGGCTCACAACAATACAAATACATTTCTCTTAAAATCAGCGCATTAAAATACAGCACAAATACAGAAGCTGTAGTAAAGCCGCCCTATTGTACTAAATGTTTGACATAATCATAGTTGGTCCTTACATTCTTTTGGAAGAGGTCTGACCCGGGGGCGGAGACAAAGAGGAGAGTTGGCGGCAGCTTCCCCTCCCCTCTCTTGGACACTGGTGCGCAAGTGCGCCCCCTGCGCCACTTTGCAAGGTGAGCTGCAGTGGGCTCCCTCAACACCCTTTGGGGGACCAGTGTGGTGTAGTGGTTAAGAGCGAAAGACTCGTAATCTGGGGAACCGGGTTCGCGTCTCCGCTCCTCCACATGCAGCTGCTGGATGACCTTGGGCCAGTCACACTTCTCTGAAGTCTCTCAGCCCCACTCACCTCACAGAGTGTTTGTTGTGGGGGAGGAAGGGAGAGGAGAATGTTAGCCGCTTTGAGACTCCTGAAGGGGAGTGAAAGGCCGGATATCAAATCCAAACTACTCCTCCTCCTCCTCCTCCTCCTCCTCCTCCCACGCATGTGCCCTGGGCGGCGTTAACATACGCTCCGCCATTGTTCCCTTCTGGTTATCTCAAGATGGATCTCAGTAGACTGGTCACATTCTACAGTGTCTATATAAGGGCATGGATGGTGTTCCTACTGTTCTTGAGTTGTTTAAGGCTTTATAAGGAAACAAAAGAACATTAACCTTGGATTGGTAGCAAAGTGGCAGCCAGTGCAGTTATTTCAGAAGTGGGGCTCATGGTAGGTAGCCGCACTCAGCAGCACAGCTTCCACATTCTGTGCTAGCTGCAGCTTCCAGACCAGCTTTAAGGGCATAAAGTGTCTTATTAAGGTCATCTGTCAGTGTGCCCAAGGCATTAATCTGCATGCTTGCTTAGTGTTTTTTTAAAAAAACAACTGCAGTTGGTCTTGAACTTGGAAATTAATGAGATCTGATGGTTGACCAAATACAATTTTATCCATGAACTGAATAAGAATGATTGAAATGTGTGCATGTTTGGTGCAGTACAGCTTAAGAATTGCTGTGTCATAAAACCCTTTATCTAACTCTTATCTAACCAGGGTAAAACAGTGTAATTGCTTTGCCCATTGCTGTTTAATATATCTGTGAGATGTTCTTTTCCCCTTCCCTTTCAGCAAACTATATTGAGAGACCTCAGCTGATTCGAGCAAAAGTGCCAATAGTGAAGTTCAGGGACAAAGTCAGGTAACTATAATTTCCATTAGTTTTTAGCTCTTGTTCTTGAAGAAATGTGCTGGGTTCTTTTTTATTGTGTGGCATAGTTCTTAATAAGATAATGGTTACTGTTACCCAACCCACTGTATGCCCCTGTTGTATAATCAGTGGGAAATGAATCAAAAGTGAGTTGTTGTATATGGATTTCAGTGGGGCTTAAGGTATGTCCTGGTATTTTGATATGCTTGCCTTTTATGCTGTTATATTTTATTTATAGCAGAGTGATTCTCTGTGTGGCAGCTGATTTAATTTCTCCAATAAATGGCTTCCATAATAAATGGATTGTCTTCCATTCATTATTTTAATACAATATAAAGAGGCCCTAATTCACTTTAGAGCTGGAGAGTAGGTTGAAAGACGTACAGTGGATCTCTTCTTTCTGCTTTGCCATGTCTTTGTGGGAGGTTGTTCTTCATCAGAATCCCAATGTGGCTAAAACACAAGTTTTCTTGTCTGTGTTTACATCTTACTTGCATTCTTTATAGAAATAGCAATGTCTGCAGGGGTTGCTTCTGCTTTTGTTTCAGCTGATTCTTCCAGCTTCTCTCTTAAGACTTCTTCTTTTAAGTCTCTGCTTTTGTTTTTTCCTGTCTTTCTGTGTCTGTTTTACTATTAACTGTGCTGTACCTCAGTGGTAAGCACAAACTTTGAACACAGAAGGTCCAACCCCTAGGTCAACACCTCTAGTTGAAGGGATCGGGTGGCAGGTGATGTGATATACTAGATGCCTGCCAGAAACCCTGGAGAGCTGCTGCTAGTGAAGTAGCCTATACTGTGCGAGATGGCTCAGTCATCTGAGCCTTTAGAAGGCAGCTTCCTATGTTCTTAAGGAAGCAAGCTATGTTCAGTGATGGTGTGAGACAGCACAGAGGGTTTTTGGGTAGTGTAAATAAAGTACCGTATTTTTCGCCCTATAGGACGCACTTTTTCCCCTCCAAAAATGAAGGGAAAATGTGTGTGCGTCCTATGGGGCGAATGCAGGCTTTCGCTGAAGCCTGGAGAGCGAGAGGGGTCGGTGTGCACCGACCCCTCTTGCTCTCCAGGCTTCAGGAAGCTATCCCCCAAGCCCGGCAAGCTCCGCTTCCCAACCCAGCCTCTTCTCTCCTTTGCAGTTCGATGGGGGGGGGGGGGAATGGCGCCGTGTCCTACTTCGGAGTGAGTGTGTGTGGCCAGTGCCTGCGAGGAGACCCAAGTTAGGCAGAGGCTTTCCGCGGGGTGGAGGCAGAGAGAGAGAGAGAGAGACCGAGGAGTGCGCTCTTCCGACGGAGCTCCCGACCCACAAGCAGGCGGCTCTGGTGTCCCCACGAACGCACACACAAACACGCTCGCAGCCAGAGACACGTCTGTCCGCACAAGCCTTAGTCAACACCCGCGGCGGAGAGAGAGGGAGAAGCAGAACTGCGCTGGTGTGTGTGCCATAAAAAGCCCCCCCCCCTTTCCAGACTTCTTTCTTTTAAAGTTTAAAGAGCACGTTACATAAATCTGCAGGTCAGGTTCTTGCGCTTGTCTAGGGGCCTGAAATCGCAGAGAGCTGCTGCTACTGCTGCTGCTGCTGCTGCTGCTTCTTCCGAGGCAGGGGTAGTAAGGGAGATGGTGGCGAAAGGAGGTAGGTGACAGATCCATTTCCCCCACTACCGCCACCAGCACGGTGGAACCAAACTGCGTTATGATTTTAAAACCTTACATAAATGCCCCGACCTCCGCGTTAGCGGAGGAAAACATCTTTAAAGAGGGTGGGCTTGGGAAGGGAGGGCACTTGCTTCCCCAGACACAGGCGAGTTCTTGCAAAAGAATGGGAGGGGGAGATGATAGCTCGCACTCCGGTTCCTTAGCCATCGTCTTTACGCAGAGTAGAAGCCACCCAAATCTCTCCCCACGAAGACCAGCCTTCGAAACGGGCAACCTTAATTTCTCCTTGGGCGGCGGGGCGGGAAGGATGCAGCGCCTCAAGTTCTCTCCCTCCCCCCGCCGCCCCAACCTTACACAGGCTGAAGTGTTTTCTTCTGTTGCAAATGGGCACCAGGGGGGAAAACGGAGCCCTGGAAATCGCCCGGGCGAGGCTGGGAGACTTTACAAAATGCAGCTCCAACCTCTTCCTCGCTCGGACAAAGTTTCAGCTTTATTTAGAGGCAGAAGCAGAACAACATCCCAAGTCCAGCCCCGAGGAAAAGGGGGGTAACTCAACTAGTCAGCAACCCCCGCTTCCTTTTGCCCGCCTTTTTGTGTATCTTGTGTTTGCGTGAGGATGGTGGCTCCATCAGGGGCGGCTTCGGCCGCCAGCTTCCTTGCCCTCTTCGCTATATCAGAGGGTTTAAGCCCCCCACCCATCCTCCAACCCTTGTATTGAATGCAAACTCCCCCTACCCTCCCAAAAACTATGCCTGAGCTTCGCAACATCTGGGGAGGGGAGGATGAGAGGGAGAGAGAAAGGGCGCGTTCATGAGGACTACAAAGTTGCAAATATGGCTCCCCAGTCACCCTCGCCTGATCCGCTGCGAGGAGGCAATGAAAACTGGTGATCGCCCTCCCTCTGGGACCCGTTCTGGGGGCTGGGGTTTTTTCCCCCTTTATTCCCCCCCCCCAATCTAGGTGGGTCCTATGGGCCGGTGCGTCCTATAGGGCGAAAAATACGGTAACTACGCGATTGTCACCATTCAGCCCTTTAGCATAACACGTTCATTTTTTATGTAGCAGCATTTTTTTAAGCATTCACTTAACTAGAAGTTTGTTTGTATTCTATCTTCCTTGACCTCTAAAGCATGTTTTTTTAAAGCTTTTCTGTTATTGCCTGGTTGGTGGGGATAAATCTTTAACACCCACATTTTATTTAATATTGGTTATGAAATTATCCCTGGGCGGATGGCTGAAGGGTGAGAGGATGGTCTAGATTGGCATGTTGGCCACTGGAGGTCTCCTGGGGCAGCAGTGGAAAGCTCTGCCACTGTCCTGCTGGTGGTGGGAAGAAAAATAGGATAGAGTTCCAAGCAGCAGAATTTTAAGAAATTGGTTAAAATGTCTGGGGAAATCCAGGTGTTTAGCAGCCCAAATCGGAAGTGTTGATTTTTTTGGCTCAACAACTTTGGCCCCCTCCCAAAAAAGCTCACCCTTTTTGTCTGGATTTTCACTTTTTGAAATATCGCAACCCTAAAATAGGATGGGGAGGGCATAGATCTGCAAGATCCTTACTGCTTTGGTTTCCCCAACATGCCCTGAACCTACTCCAGCCTTGAAGATGGCAGAATTCCCTCCCACCAAAGTAAATGAGAGAGCGGGGATAATGAACTCCCCCTATGGGGAAAGATTGTAACGTTAGCAGCTTCTCAGTTTAGAGAAAGGGCGAGTAAGAGGAGACATGATAGAGGTATATACAATTATGCATTGTGTGGAAAAAGTGGATAGAGGAGGTTTTTTTCTTCCTCATAGCACTAGAACTCAAATATCCAATGAAGCTGAATGTTGGAAGATTTAGGACAGACACTTACTCACAGTGTCATTTGTTAAACTAGGGAGATTGCTCCCACAAGAGACAGTGGTTGCAACCAACTTGGATGGCTTTAAAGAGGATTAAACAACTTCATGGAGGATAAGGCTTGTGTTCCACCTCCGCTGTTGGGAGGCAGAATGTCTCTGAATACCAGTTGCTGGGCAAAGTGCTGCTGCACACATGTTCGCTTGTGGGCTCTCCTTAGGGATCTAGTTGGCCTAATCCACAAGACTCCTCTTAATGGAAAAAGAGCCCTCTCTTCAACACTGGCTCCTGCTAGCTGGCAGGGCTCTGGACGTGGCGATAGTTCTGCCAGGGATTCTTGCTTGCATGGATTGCTCTTTGTTTCTCTTTGCACATGGTTTTCTGCCAAGTATCAGGGGGCAAGTGCATTATTTTCTACACTTCTGCTACTTCAAACTTTGTCAGAATTTCCTAGTTCTCTTAGTAAAGTGGAAAATAATTTTGTACCTTTTGTGCTAACTTGCTACTTGTCACGAGGCTTTGGTTTCCAGCTAAGATCAATCCATTACAGTTACCTTAATTATATTAAGTTGTTCAATCCTGCTTTAGAATTCATTAGAATCCATTTTCCCAGGACCTTGATAAATTATGTGTCTGCTTAAATATGTGGCTTGCTATGGAGCAAATTGAGAGTCAGATTGTGAGCAGCGCTTAATTGTTGCCTGTGCTCAGTACTGGAACACATAAAGCAGTAAATGCCTTTGAGCAGCAGCCAAGTGCATTTTATTTCCCACTGATCCATAGCCCAACCTTCCACATCTAGAATTCAGAGGCAGAGCTGCCAGGCCAGAGAGTACCAGATGTGAGGTGGCATGATAACCTGCTTAGTAAAAAAAGCTTGCTTAAAGCTTCACATTTCTGGTATTGCCCACTCACTAAAGGATGTTTTGGCTGTTAACACTTTTCATGGGGGCAACTTTATCTGTAAATCACATAAGGTGAAAATGGTAATATTTGGAAAACTTGCAATTGTTTGTGGCTCAGCAAAGATGCTTCTGGGTGTTTCAGCATATTCCATGGTTATATATTGGTATAAATCTTTCCAAATTTTTCATCATTGGCATGTACCCTAGGGAATGGTCACTCCAGAAAAATGTCTCATTGAAGTGGGAAATAGGTTACCGTGGCAAGAACACTTGAGTTTTATTGCCCAGCTACTGGGTGGAGATGACAGCATGCTGTACCAAGAAATTATAGGGTTTTAATCCAACTTTTTCAGACGAGTGACAGTTCTGAAAACACTAGCCCTGTTTTTGTTTACATTTGCACACAAATGAAACACAGATGGTATTCTGAAAAGCAAAGCAGGCTTGTGTTTGTAAATCAGTTCCACAACAATGTTTTTAATCATACCATAATGAAATAACTGTGTTAGGTGCCTGCTGCAAACTTTTTTGTTTCAGCAAACCTACGCAAAATACAATTTAGGGATCTTTATTTGTTTTGAAAAGTTTTCCTTAGCTGTGTGTTATTGATTATGTACACTGGTTAAAGTTTTGTGATTAAGCAATATATAAGTCCTAATAAATATATAGGATTTATTTGTTAAAGTCCTTGTGCAAATTTATTTTTTCTCCTCTAGCTGTGTGGAGTTTGACTTGAATGTAAACAATGTTGTAGGAATAAGAAATACATTCCTTCTCAGAACCTATGCATACAGTAAGTAGTCTGTATTTTTTATATATATAGATGGTCAGTTACCTAAGATTCTCTTCCTGTGTTTGCAAACTGAGATGCTACTCAGTATCTAAGCTTCAATACTAGATAGGCATACTTGGTAGTAAATCCAGCTATTTCAGTCGGACTTACGTCTGAGGAAGCTTGTATAGGATTAAGCTGCAAATATTTTATTATTATTAAAAAACACACCAAATGTATTGAAATTCAGTTGTTGAGGCATACTTTTAATAAATTGCTACTTTATTTTATTGTACTTTGTTCACTGCCTAATGCTTTCAGTTTAATATAGGCCTGATATAATTTAGCCTCATAATTTACTTACTGTTCTATTACTATTGTTGTTAATATTACTATTATTTAGACAAAAGGGACCTGCAACAAAATGTTGTAGCAAGGAATGGTCCTGCAGTTTTCCACTGTACTTCATTCATTTCCCCATTCCAGGTGTACAGTTTCCCTACCATCACCACCACACAAACAGTTAGTAGACCACTGAGCTGTTTTGGTGATTCCTTCTCCCCTCCCCTTAGATTTTTTTCAAGCTTTTCTGGACTTGCGCAAACAATGAGGCACCCCCCACCAACCATGAATATATCTCTAATGCATGGCTGGTGCTAAGGATACACCTTCAGAGAACGACTTTACTGTTAGCATATAGGACATCACCATCAATGCCATTTTTACTGAACAATATAAGCTAAAAAGACAGGACTTGGCACAAAGAAGCTTAAATATTCTAAATTTAAATTGTACCAGGAGACAGCAAAGAGAGGAGGTGGAAAGGGAGAGCTTAGGGTTTGAAAACAAAGAAGGGAAATGGGGCAAGAGAAGAAAATATAACATGGGATTAATATGATCAAATATTGTTGCTCTTTCTTATTTTGGCCAGGGAGAAGGACCAGCGATTAAGCCAAAAGGCTTCATACAAAAAGGTCACTATTAAGAGAGGTGGATTTTCATAGGTAGAGATACTTCCAAGCATAAGGGACAGCAAGGAAGTACTGGTAAAAACTATTTAAAAGACAGTACAGTGGTACCTTGGTTTAAGAACAGCTTAGTTTACGAACAACTTGGATTAAGAACGCTGCAAACCCGGAAGTAGGTGTTTTGGTTTGTGAACTTTGCCTTGGAAGCAGAACATGTTCCACTTCCTGTTGAGTGTGTTCCATTTGTAAATTGAGTCCCCCGCTGCTATGGGAAAGCACGCCTTGGTTTAAGAACACTTTGGTTTAAGAACGGACTTCCGGAACGGATTAAGTTCATAAACCAAGGTACCACTGTATACCTTTTGGTATCTACAATTTTGGAATCGTGGGTGGCAATGATACATTCATTGAAAAAGTGGGGATACATGTATGTGTGTGGGGAGCTTTATAATTGGTGTTTATCTAATGAGATTGGCTCAGCTGCTCTGCCTGATACATTTTTGTTTTGTTTTGTTCACAGTTGAGAGTCGAGTGCGTCCATTAGTGCTTGTTGTTAAGAAGTGGGCAAGTTTTCGTGGCATAAATGATGCCAGCCGAGGCACTTTAAGCAGCTATAGTCTCGTGTTGATGGTTTTGCACTATTTACAAAGTAAGTATATTTTTAACTTTGGTAGTCCGCCCCCGACCCCTGACTGACTTACCTGGATTGCTTCCTGCTTACCTTTAGCCACTGTTCTAGAACTTCTAGGAGCATCTCTAGATAAAGTGCTTTTTAACACCTTCACATGGTGCCACATTCTCAGTATATCACCCTAGAATATATATTTTTACGTTAAGCATACATATTCCTCTTCTTTCAGAGTTTTGACATTCCTCTGTGATCTAACTTCATGAAAAAATACTGTAGGATTATTGTTGGGTTTCTTGCGATATTTTAAAATACAGCTAACAGCAGGAAACAAATTGGAAAACCCCATCCATCTTAAAAATCTTGTAACTAGCTGTGTTTTAAAATGTAATATAAGTAATAGCTAATGTAAGTAAGTAACTAATGCTTCTATTATTTATTATACATTTCTATTACACTTACGTGCAATAGAATGCTGTTCATCTTCCTTAAAAAATATCCATTTAGTGGATAGAGATGTGAAGTTTCAATAGTGACCATTCATTAATTTTTGGCAAATTGAATACATTTGGTTCTGGGTGCAAGTCCTTCATTTTTCCCCACTGCACCATTCTTGTTCTTGTCTTCATTCTTGTATAATGGCAGCCACTTACCTCATCACCAGGAGTGGAAAACCCTTTTTAGCCTCAGGGGCTGCATTCCCTTTGGGGCAATCTTTTCAGGAGCTGCAGGGTCGTTGTTGGGCAGGACAGGAAGCAGAAGTGGGTGGAGCAAAGGATTTGACAATAGGTTACATTCCAGCCGTGGAAAACACACACACCTGCCTTTCCATCCAAGCAAGGAAGTGGCATTATCGCAGTTAAAGGACACATTCCATCTAGGCAAAAAATGCGCAAGGACTGCTTGGAGCGCAGGCACCAAGCATTATGACATGAGGAGTGAGGGCGTGGCCCAAGGAAAATCTCAAGGGCAGGACTAGATGGATTTCACCCAGGCAAGTGAACAAGCTTCTAGAAGAGAAACAAAACATTCTGCCCTTGACAGCCTTCTGCATTTCTGGGCTCCGTATAGAATGGGGAGGACTTCACCATTTCCCCCCATGCAGCATAGTAAGCAAGCTGGAAATTGGCATCCCACCAAATTCCTTTTCCAGGGGCCACACTCACACTTTGTGTTTATGCTGAAAGTGCAGGAGGCAAAGCCTTGTTAGTTTATCCAGCACAAAAATAAGTGGGCTAGTGGCAGAGGTATGGATAGCTCTATCCTTCCACCGCTTGTCTACGACACTTCTGTGCTTGATGTGCAGGAGGCAAAGACTTTCAAGTCACTCAACATAGAAACCAAATGGGCTGGTGGCCACTCTCCAAAGCTCCCGTGGAGGAGGCACACAAAGAAGGGCCTCAGAGAGTGATCTCAGGGTCCAGGTACATTTCATATGGAGAGAGGTGGACCTTGAGGTATTGTGGCCCTGAGATGCTTAAGGCTTTATAGGTCAAAGCCGGCACTTTGAAATTGGGACTGAAAACTAATTGGCAGCTGGTGCAGTTGGGTCAGGATCAGTGTAATATGCTAAAACCATCTTGCTGTTCTGCACCAGCTGTTTCCAAACTGTCATTAAAATATTAAACTTTTTCAGATCTTGCTTTTGGTAGGAAGTTCTTTTGCTGTATAAAATGGGAAATTCGGAAGATTAAAAAAATAGAAATCCTATAAATGTATTAGTACTCAGCCTCTGTTCACCTTGTTATTGTGGAAGCTTCCATTAGAAATTAGGAAGTGGACAAGTATTTATTTTAGAAGAGGCTGGTATGAGCACTATTAGCTTTATTTAAGAACAGGATCGGGGAACCTATGGCCTTCCAGATGTTTGCTAGACTAAAACAAATCATTTCTGATGTTTGGCCATAGTGGCTAAGGCAGCTGTAATGCCTTAACATAACATCTGGAAGACCACAGCTTCTTTATACCCATTCTAGACCAATTGGAATACATATGTTGTCAAATTTAACTGGTAAGTATGCACTTTCTGAATTACAGCAGTTCTTAAGGAGCTGGATGAGGTGTGCCATAAATTGGGTAAAATGTATTGAATTCCAGGATTAAAAACATAGGGTGGATCTTAAATGCACTAGGAATATCACTAAACTTCATTATTCATTCACGCTTTCTCACAAAAAAATGAGGAAGCATGAGCACTAATGTATCGTATTGCAAACCATTTTTGGATATAGCAGAATGTGACTTCTGTAGCTACTTTTTTGTCTTCCAGTTATGTGTTTTGATGTTAAGAGACCCAGTTAAGTGTTTTGACACTCCAGTTTATAAGATTGCTGCCTCAGTACAATTGTATAGATCATCTTCATTTGGTGCAGAGTTAATAAAATGCCAGCCCATTTCAGTTCCTGAAGGGGAGCAATTGGGACAGAATGGTCATTCAGCCAAAGTTTGTAAAAGTTAATGCAGCTGGAAGAAAACTTTTTTCCCATCCTCCTTTTGGCATTGCCATATATTATGAGGCAGTATCCTCAGTATTTACATGGTTTTGGGATTTTGTTAGGAATTGCAAAAAGATGTAAATAATTAGGGAAGACTCCTTTTTATTTAGTATTTTTTAGTAACAGTGGCTGTTTTTATGGAGGCAGACTATGCTTTCTGTAACCAGAGAAATAGGTAGTATTGAAAGAGTCATTGCATTTTCATAGATAAGAATCTACATTTGTTCTTCAGAAGCCTGTGTTCTGTAACAAATTCCCATTGCCTTCATAGTGAAAAATGTCCACATGGCCTTAGATAAAACCCTGTGTAAACACACCAAATAGCAATATATTATTAAGTTTGGCTTAGATGAGTAACTTTCATATTATAGAATGGTTAACCAAGTTTCACACAAACTTATGAAAGGTAATTTTGCTTAATTTAAAGGCCTAGCAATTAACATTTGGAGTTAAGCATTTAATTCTAGACCTTCAGTTCACACCACTGGTGTAGCTGGTATGTTGTTTTCTGTGAAGTACATGAATCACAGCGACTTTAAACTTTTTTTTTATAGCCCTACCTGAACCTATCCTTCCATCCCTCCAAAAAAATTACCCAGTAAGTGCTTCTTATAAATTACTACATAATATGTTTATTAAAAATGGATGATCTACAATATGAATGTTGCTTTTAAATTTGGGTAATGGCAAAATATGCCTATGACTTGTTAGATTTGTGCAGTGAGCCATCACTGTATGCCCGTGTTTGTAGAAAGTTCCCCTTGCAGTCTGGCTCCCTCCCCAATCCCTTTTGTTTCATACAAGCTAAATTTTTATGGAATAAGTTCTGATCAGGTTCCATTGCTAGGAAGTAAGACCCATTTATTTCCTTGGGACTTGCTTCTAACTGTGTGCACTTAGGAGTGAAGCACATTGCGCTTAATCAGACTTGTGTCCTTTTTGTTCTGCATATAGGGCATGTCAGTGCCGTGCTAGTACTGTTCTGGATTTTAGTTATCTTTGGTGGTCTTGTAGTTTACATGCTCCTGAAGCTGGCCTTCTTTCCAGATCATCTGCATGCCTCAAGATCATGTTAAGTTAGCTCACTTTGCAGCTGCATGATTAGAGATCGCTTGCCTCCCTCCTAGATCTTCTTATCATGCCTGGGGCAAATGTGCAGTGGAGTGTTTGCTATCCTAGAATAGCCCAGTTGCCACAAATTTGTGCTGTAAGGGTTTAACAAACAAACAGAATCTGCTGTGAAACAGGTGAAAAATGTCCCAACATAATGGCCTAGATCTGACCAAGGCAGTAAATCTATGTCTGGACTATTTCAGACTTCAAGTGGGGGCTCACATGACTGAATTGGTGAGATCTAGGCCACTGTGTCCCAGACTGCTGAACAATGAGATACACTTTCTTCACATTATTACTGCTAACACAGTAACCTGTTAGGAGTATCTAGGGAATTCTTCCAAGGCAGCTCACTCAATCTGCACAGGTAATACATATATTCGGAAGGTATTGCTGTTACATAAAATTGCTGTTACATTTTGCTATGTATTTAGGAAAGCGTGCTCCTTGACCTTCAAGTATAGATTTGAAAGTATAGATTCTTCAGTGCCCAGAGCGCTTGTTGTGTGGCTTTCTGGGACAGAGCAGCTGAGTGAATGGCAGTAATTGAGGCGTGACACTTGGGAAATAATTGTCTCACATTCTAGAGGGGTAGTCATATTGGTGTGTGGTTGCAAAGGCAACAAAGAGCCTTGGGGCACCTTGAAGAGTAATCCATTGTGGCAGAAGCTGTCATGGGCCAGAGCTCACTTCATCAGATGATTTAAGCGGTCTGCCGAGTGGTTAGGGGTATGTTTGATTTGTTTCTTTTAAGTGAGGCCAGAAGGTTAAGCAATACAACTGAGTGCTGTAGGTATATGTTAGGACTACGCAGTGCATAAATGGATACAGAATCTAATGAAATTAATAAGCTTGCTTCCACACTAGAGCTGCTTAGCGCTGCTGAGGCATTTCTTTCCCATAATTAGCTGAGTTTGGAATAAAAATGGAGGTGCATTTCATATAGTAATACATTAAGTAGTAGTTCCCTTGTCCTGGAGCAGAAATCCTTCTACAGTATTTACTCAACAAGTAAGTTCCATTCAGCAAAGGTCCTTCCTAATGTCAATTAAAAGTTTTAATTGCAGGGCCAGCTGTTTTGGTTCTATTTATTATAATAACCTGCCCAGGATGGCTAACAACAATAATTAAAATCATATTTATTTATTTATCTTCAATATTTACATACCACCTAATGACAAAAGTCCTCTGCATGGTTTGCAAGTAAAAATTAAGAACATAAAATACAACAGGAAAGTAAAACCTAACACAGGGGTCGGCAAGGCTTACTGGGCATGGGCCGGATCACTCCCGCGGAGATCCTCTGTGGGCCGGACTGGCGTGTTGGCACCGGAAATAGCTTCTGCACATGCCCAGACGCCAGAAATCGCACCTGCGCAGAAGCGATTTCCGGTGCCGCAGTCATGCGCAGAAGCAATTTCCGGTGCATGTACAGAAGCAATTTCTGGCAACGTGGAAGAGAGTCACTGAGCGGCTCGGTTCGGGGGCGGCTGTTTACCTTCCCGCCGGAGTGGTACCTATTTATCTACTTGCACTTTGACATGCTTTCGAACTGCTAGGTGGGCAGGAGCTGGGACCGAACAAAGGGGGATTCGAACCTCCAACCTTCTGATCGGCAAGCCCTAGGCTCTGTGGTTTAGACCACAGCGCCACCCGCGTGCTTATTATGTGATAAAGAATAGAGTGGTTGCCTGAGCAGCCATAGTGAGAGGGATAACAGAATCTCCATGAGCAAAGAGTTTCACAGCTGCAGGGCTACCACTGAGAAGGCCCAGCCACGTGTAACATTCCCATAACAAATGCCCATTGAGAGTAGCACAAGCAGGGCCTCCCCTTCTGACTGGTTTTTGGTGACGTGAGAGATCACAGCTGGAGCATTAGCATAGCCTCTTAAGTGCCCCAATGCATGTTCCCATTAGTGGGGAATTAATTACTGGCTTCTGTGCCTTTCCCCCGTTTTCTTCTTTTTCTGTTTTTACTGAAATAGCACAGTTTTGCTATTTAAAAAAAGCCAGGGAGAGGAAATGTAATTAAAGCCTCCCCTTGCAGAAAGTGGAACTGACATTGATGCAATTAAGAGACCAGCCTGACTGAAGCTGCAATTACATTTTATCTCTCTTTCTCTCTCTCTCTCTCTCCCACACCCACCCACATCAGATACTGCCGTGGGGGGGGGGGCAGGGTGGAGAGAGAAACATGGGAGGACAATAAGACAGCAGGCTGATGACAGAGTAAGTAAATAAAGGATGGTAGTTCTGGAAACCTGGGCTAACGTGGAAGCAGCTTAAAACCGAGCCCCCTCATAGGTCACAGTAAGGACTTCCGGGGCTCAATTTGGCAAGAATAAGAGATGAGCAAGGTTGCTTATGCCTTAATTTCATTCTTTAAAGCATGTTGTGGATGCTGCATGATTTGTTCAACAAGAGAGGCTAAGGTTGGATTGAAATGGGTGTTGGAAAGTTTTGTGTTGACAAAGTAATTCCCTATGCTGCAAGAGAAACCCATCTTTTAAAAAAGTTTGTCATGCATGCATGCCGAAGCGAAGAGGTTTAAACTAAACAGTATTTTAGTTTCAAGGGTGAGAAGGTCGAAGCAGGCGTCCACTCATGCGGTGGGGCTCTTTTGTCCTCCCTTCTCCCAGCAGCTTCCCACATGCCCCTAAAATCTGGAATCACACAGGGGGCTGGAAGCGGGGAGAAGAGAAACTAGAAGTTGCTTTGCGAAAGTGGATAGCCATTGTCGACCACAAGAGTATATTATTTTCTATTGCTGTCCTTCATATGTATCTGTGTGGAATCAAACCTTTATGTATTGTTCACCATATTGGTGCCCTACTACTTGTTTAAAATTGTGCTGAGCAAACTGTTCTGTAAAGCATCCACACACTCTGCATAAGTTTATCAACTCATATTGAGAATCTGCTTTTTAAAATGCTGATCATACACAGTTAGACATTTACATCAGCAGTTACATGCTCTTTTTTTTAAAGGCTAGCAAGGAACAGTGGAAAACTTTCTGACATATGATAACATTTTAGAGTAAGCAGATTTATCTGTCTTCTTGCGATCTCATGTCTTAGGTTAGTGTTAATACATCATTTTTAAAAATTACATAGTTTAGTAACTACTTAGTTACTGTACTCTATAGTTTCATGACTCATTTATAATGTTGCAATAAATCTGAAATTTTGTTTTACCATTTTTCTAAATGTAATTAATACTACATATTCATGTCACTTGACTTTTTAAAATTCATTTTTTTAATGCTTAATTGACTTTCACATATCAGTTAAGTGTAGCTAGTACCACACACTTGTATGGTTACACTTTACTGTGTAACTTAAAATTCCTATTTTTAAACACTGTTGCCTATGAGCATAACCTGGCTACATCATTTTCTGTTCAGTTTCCATTGAAATGAATGGGAGTTGTGGCCAATGTATTGGTGTAGCTCCTAATCATGTGCTTTATTTCTAAAATTGTATATCTTGCCCTTCAATGGCCAATTGGTGTTCCAAGGGCTGCCTACACAATGTTTTGTTTTAATAAATAAGAAAAAAATAGCATTTATACAAATCCTAGTGACAAGACGCAATTTGTATCCAAGGTAAGCACAACTTCCCATTCTTCTTGTTTCTTTTCACCTCATGTTGGCTATTTAGGGTGTGATACTTTTGGGGTAGTGTTTTTTTTTTACGTATACTGTACAATCAAGGGCCCACAACTACAGTTGAGCACTGAGTGAGATTTTGGAATACACATACCAGATGAATATGTGCCAGAATATGATAAACACCCGATTAGTAAGTTTCAGGTAGTCAGAAGGTTTGGATTATATACCTGCTGTGTCATTGAGCTGATACTTGCATTACAGAATTAGTGAATTCAGTGGTACCTCTGGTTATGTACTTAATTCGTTCTGGAGGTTCGTGCTTAACCTGAAACTGTTCTTAACCTGAAGCACCACTTTAGCTAATGGGGCCTCCAGCTGCCACCGCGCCACCGTTGTGCAATTTCTGTTCTCAACCTGAAGCAAAGTTCTTAACCCGAGGTACTATTTCTGGGTTAGCGGAGTCTGTAACCTGAAGCGTATGTAACCTGAAGCGTATGTAACCCGAGATACCACTGTAAAGCGGTTTTAAAAAACAAAAAGGTTCAGTATGAAAGGGGGAGTTGGTCTCAGGCTCCTGCTGCTTGTGTCACTACCCTTTAGAGCAGTTTCAGGATGATCCTGGGTAAACATGGTTTTGTACCAGGCATTATATTCTGCTCAGAGGAGCAGTTTGGAGTGATGGCAGATATGAGCCTGAGGCTCATTCCCCTTTATAGTGGACAGAAAAATAAGTGTTTGAGCAGACTGCATTGCTTGCCACGTACTGATTCTGAAGCATTTGCCTTGCACTAGTGCACTTTGAGTTAATATGCAATCATGGGTCTTGTGATACTCTGGGTGCATGCCATTATCATGTGCAGTTCGTTTTTTCTCCTATGGGCTTATGAACTTAACAGTTAGTTTTACAGAAAACAAGAAGCATTGACCAAAGTCTTTTTTAGGTTTAGTTAAATGTAACAGTGATATTCAGAACTGTGCCGGTAGAATTTGCCCCCCTACTCTTCTCCCTGTGTTCCCCATCTTCTCCAGAGGGCCTCCCAACTCTCCAGAGGAGAAGGGGAGCTACAGAGGGTTGGAGAGGAAGGAGAAGTCTCATTGTGGAAATCTGTTTTACTCATGTATGAGCACAACTGGATTTCACCCACAGATCTTGGGAAACTTGTAAATCCTTATACAAGGACTACATGCCTATTTCTGGTTACTTTTGTGTACCTCTGGCAATTACCAGATGTAACTGCATTTTTCTGGCAAGTATTTAAGTAGAGTTTTATCACTTCCTAATTTCACTAAATTTCTGGTACATGATAGGAATGTAAGAAAAGCCCTATGGATCCAGCTAGTCAAACATCCTGCTCCCACAATGGCTGTCTTAAATGCTCTTGGGGAGCCCAACAAGAAGGCTATCAAGGCAATAATCATCCCAAAGTTATGAGAACTTCATTTGAGTCCCATCATGCATACTTTCTGTGCCTGGGCTTCAGCTGGTACTCCTAGCTATATTTCTCCAGTTGTAAGATGTGACTAGTGATGGACCTCATTTGATAACTTTGAGGGCAAACAAAATAAATATTTCTAAGTCTTTTGCATCTAGAATGAATAACATGGTTTTACTTTGCTTTGTCAATGTGCAATAGCGTTGATGAACTTTCCTGCTTAATGCACCTTATCTACTCTATGCTATTTGGGTTTGGGGAAAAGGCTGGGTACTGTACTATCCTCTCACCTTTTTCAGTAAAACCTTAGCAAGGCCCGTGTTAAAGCAACACAGAAAGTTAGCCCTGTCAGTAAGAAGATACCCTTCGTCATCTTCTCCCTGCTTACAGCTGCCAGCATCTTGAGTATTTTGTATAATTTTGTCAAACTTTCAACACACATTTCTAATACAGTGGTACCTCGGGTTAAGTACTTAATTCATTCCGGAGGTCCATACTTAACCTGAAACTGTTCTTAATCTGAAGCACCACTTTAGCTAATGGGGCCTACTGCTGCTGCCGTGCCGCCAGAGCACAATTTCTGTTCTCATCCTGAAGCAAAGTTTTTAACCTGAAGCACTATTTCTGGGTTAGCAAAGTCTGTAACCTGAAGTGTATGTAACCCAAGGTACCACTGTATTAGGGCTCCAGTTTTGGAGTCAAGCTGTAGGGGCAAATTTGTACATTTGCATTCTGCTGTTCCCTCAGTTAAAAAAAGCCTGCTGGATCACACCAATGGCCCATCTTGTCCAGCATCCTGTTCTTACAGTGGCCCACCAGGTGCAAGCAAGACCTGATCACAGGAGCGTTCTTCCCTCTTATGGTTTCTAGCTGCTGGTAATCAGAAACAAACTACCACTGACTGTGGAGGAAGAGCATAGCCATTGTGCCTTGCAGCCTTGGATAGCCTTATCTGCCATGATTTTTTTCTAATCTTCTTTAAAACCCCAAGTTGGCAACCGTCACTGCCTTCTGTGGAAGCAAGTTCCACAGTTGAACTGCACTGTGTGAAGAAGTGCTTTCTTCTATCTGCCTGGAATCTTTCAGCATTCAGCTTCAATGCAAATCCGCTAGTCCTAGTGTTTCTCCATGCCATGCATAATTCTATACTCTTCTATCATGTTGTCTCCTTACTCGCCTTTTCTCTAAACTGAAAAGCTCCAAATGTTGCAAGTTTCCTCCTAGGGGAGTTGTTCCCTTCCCTTGATAATTTTTGTTGCCCTTTTCTGAATTCTACGGTATTCTTTTTGAGGTGAGGTGACTGGAACTCAGGGCTGCTCAGGCTTATGTACCCAACAATTTCCCACTGTAGCCCAACAACTGTAGGAACTAAATATATGCTGAGAGATGGTAACTTGTTCAGGGCCACCTACTGACCTTCATGGCTGATTGGGACAGGAACTCAGATCTCCTTGGTCCATGTCTAACATTCTGTTCTCTCCAAAACACTTACTCCTATGTTTAGCAAGCAGAAGCTTTGCACCATTCCTTGTGCCTTCATTTTAATGGGCATCTTTTAATTACCTGATAGAGTTTAAAACCAACTTCCCTGCATGCTGCAAATCAGCAAAATAGAAGGCTATATGCTGAGGTGGCATTCCTTTGTATTACAGATGAGAACATTTATATGCAAGATACAGACAGAGGAGCACTCAAAAGGGTCAGGGAGGGGCATTCCTTGCAGATGTTAGCTTTGTGCTTGGGATGGATGAGAGAGAATCTTTCTGAGGCTAGGAAGCTGATCCTCCAGTTACCAGAGTTATATTTTTCAGCGTCTGGCTCTTCTTCAATTGCTGATGCAGTCTGTTTTTCCCATTGCACAGTCAAACATGATGTTTTGAAAATAAGCTGACAATAATATGCTCAAATCTGGATTTCTTTTTTAAAAATTGCAATTTAAGTTTGAGTTTTTCAAGTCTCTCCGATTGTTCCAAACTGCATGTTAGTTGGAAGCGAGTACTACAGGTTGAATTACTTGGCCTTGGGGTTTTTTTTGCATGTTTACCTTCAATAACACATTAACTGATTTTAGCACCACAACACAGACACATTAAGATTCAGTCTTTCTGTCTCTTATTGTTTTTACAGGAATCTTTTGATCCTACTATGCAGCTGCACCTTGTGCATCGAGCCCCATGCACCATTCCTCCTTACCTTTCAAAAAACCAGTCAACACTTGGAGACCTGTTGCTGGGCTTCCTGAAATACTATGCTACAGAATTTGAGTGAGTGATCAGCTTGTCACTTAATTAAGCCTAATCTGCCTACTTTGCTCTGGCGGTTCTAATTGGTTCTGCGCTAGTTGCAATTTACAAATGAACTAAAAGTTCTTGTATTTCCATTTGATAGGGAATGATTTCCTTTTTAATTTTTTTTAAAATGCCCATGTGTAAAAATGCACATAGTGAGAGGTTAAGGCTGGGTGGCTTAATGGTTTACATGCAAAGGCAGGTTAAAAATGTACGGCACAAGCTAAGAAAAGTTAATAAATCAGTGGGAGGGTACTTGGACTTAGATCATCAATAATTTGGCAGTCTGCAATTCATAGTTTACCAAAATGGAGTCAGGGAGTGTTGTATATACAGTCATACCTTGGAAGTTGAATGGAATCCGTTTGACTTCCAAAACATTCGAAAACCAAATCTCGGCTTCTGATTGGCTGCAGGAAGCTCCTGCAGCCAATCAGAAGCCGCGGAAGCCCCGTCGGATGTTCAGCTTCCAGAAATAGTTACAAACCGGAAATAGTTACAAGCAAATAGTTACAAACCGGAACAGTCACTTCCGGGGTTTGTGATGTTCGGGATCCAAAACGTTCAGGAGCTAAGCTGTTCGAAAACCAAGGTACGACTGTAAAGGAAAACCTTCTCACAGTTGTACCCATGTGCATTTAAGTACTGAGCAAGATCTGCCTATGGGATGGACCTGCTGTTCAGAGATATATATGCCACCATAGGACTATGTAGCAGCTGGTGTAGCAGGATGAAATATTGCTGAGCACTGTAATAGAATGGAAGTCAGTTTTACAGTAGAATTGGCAAAGCACTGTCAAAAGTACCATTTGTAAATACAAATTCAAGATTGTTTGCTTCACTTATTCCGCACAACTAAATTTGGGTGAATGCTGTTTTTACTGACTAGTACATAATTGTAGATGTCTTAAGCAAATACTGTACTTCTGTTTTACTGAAAATGCTAACTAAATTAAACATATCCTAGAAATACATTCTGTAGGGGAGTGGGGAAATGATCTGCTTCCTGAAGTCCTTTTGACTGCAAACATTCTTAAATGTCCTATTTCATTTATACTGTTAAGGGAAGGTGGTAGGTTTTGCAGCTACCAATGAGTAGCAAAGCAGTTACTGGTGTAAATGTCATGCATATCTCCAGTGAGAGGGCGTTTAAGATTAAATGATCCCTCTAGATAAAAATTTTAATATTTGCCACTTAATAGCAAAGTTTAAATTTTATGAAGCTATTGCACTTTTATTAAGAAACATGGAACATTTCGGAAGATAAATAGGCAGTAATAACATTTTCATAAATCTTCTCTGTGTTACAATAATGCACAGTCTTAACTGCCCATTAGTTTGAATTTTTCATGGTGTAAAATTGTTTAAAATGTCTCAGTGGGACATTTCAAAAACTCCTACTTTTAAGCTGTTGCTTTTTAGTTACATAACAGACTACCAAGTTCAGATTTAAGGTCAACCTATGGTTAATCTGTATTTTGATAGATAAAACTAAAATAAGTATGGATTTGCTGTGTCCTCTTGTGGCAAAGCTTAGATTGACCAGCAACTCAGAATGAATAGTATTAGATATATCAAGTGCATACACAATTCATATACATGGATTTAAATTTTCAAAAGCTTTCAAACTGGCATTCAGATTTGCTTCTCTACGTGTAGAATGGTGATTTTATACTACTCCCAGGACCGTTATTGGGATAAGTCTTGCTGCTGCCCTGGTTGTGGTGTTTCTTGCAATATGTGGTCCTTTCGTCTCTCTTCATTGCCTTTTATAATGAAGGGGGTTCTCCTAGTGAGTATTTTATATGTTTTAGAGGGGTACCTTTAGGTTAAACATTGCAGCCATTATTTCCAGTGAAATAATTGCCCAACAAAAGTTCTGGAATCCTCTCCCCCCACCCCGACCTTTTTTTTTGTAGAGCTTGGAGCAAAGAATTGTCATATTGGATAACCCTATGACTTCCATTCAGTTTCATAATTTTTGCATTGCTTCCCTTATAGCTTCAATAGTTCTGGAATTTTTTTGGAGGTGTCCATAAAACCAGAAGTGTTTACATGCCCACTTAGCGAAGAAATTACAAAATATGCTATTCTGTCTTTGATTTCCCCATGTGCATACATATATCGGCCTCAATAATTTAATATCAAAAGGCAGTTACTAATATTTGGGCTTTTTTGTTGTGCTGAAAAAGCAACTGCTTTTTTCCAGTGATTTTTAGAAGCCAGATGGATTTTGCAAAAAAATGGTTAGCTTGGTTCAGAGTGCAGCGGAATGGTATTACTGTCTGCTGTGATCTGCTTAATTCTGTTACATAACTCTTTCCTTTAGCTTATTTTTTCTTAAATTTATTGACAAGTTGGGATATAAGCCAAATGATGCTATAACATTTCTCTTTTCACTGACCTACATTCCCCTCCCCCCTTTTGGAACTTTGCTAATGGGAGTCATTAGCAAAAATGGGGAATCCAAGAACTGAGGTCCAGTTTCTTATCTTCCAAATTTCTACTTGGTCCTATATAGATCTTCTCTGTGACCCTGATAACTTTAGCCAAGGACAGCTTTTTCTGATTTCTGCCACCTGCAACAGCTACAGTGGCATTTCTAGTTATTTTCCATTCTTATGAGCTGCTTCAAAGTGATGTGCTTACCAAATAAATAAGGGTCATTACACAATAACTTTAAAAAATAACACCAAATTGTAAAAGTTTATTACAATTGTTTTCTCTTTGCTAGTTGGAGCAGTCAAATGATTTCAGTTTGTGAAGCCAAGGCCATTCCAAGACCTGACGGTGTTGAATGGAGAAACAAGTTCATTTGTATAGAAGGTAAATTCTGAAGCTTTTTTGTAACTTAACTGTTATACATATATAATCTGTTGGAGTGAAGAGTGTTTTGCTGCAAGCTGAGAATATTTAAGCAGTACTGGGGCTTTTTAAATACAATGCCAATTTCTGGTTTGTTGCAAAGTCCATTGCTATTTTGTCCAAGCAGGCTAATGAATGTTTTTTGCATGTGGGGATTGGAAATTGCATATTGATGTTCAGAGGATAGGTGCATGGAAGCCCAAAGCTTGTTTTCATAAGTTGAAACTAGGGGTAGCCAATGTGGTTTTCTCCAAATGTTGTTGGGCTACAACTCAACTAGTGGAAGCTGATGGAAGTTGTAGTCCACAGCATCTACCACCCATGCTCTAAGCTATAGTTTGGCATTAAGTGTGAACAGCTCCACTGCATAAAGATACAGTGTTTAGTTTGTCAGTACGTCATTGTTCTTACTCAGTTAACGCTTGTACCATTCTTACAAAGCCTCTCACTACTATTGTTGTTTTTACAAAGAGAGAATAAAAATAGAGAATGATTTATCCACGGAATCATTCCCTGCTGCGTATTAAGTATTGTGAGAGATATATTTCACCATAATTTAAATATGAGTATTTCATACTTTTCATCTTGGAACAACCATTACTCAGTCCGCTGAAAGATAGCTTCCTTACCCATAGACCTCCTCAGATGCTATGGGGTGGATGGGGGCCCTTGAGTAGTTCTCCTACCCCCTGACATCTGAGGGTTGCAGCTTGGAAGAGCAGTCCCTAAGCTGCAGAATTTCCACTCCACAGAGGTGCCGTGAAAAGTGGGTAAGAAATCTGTCAGGGAACTGCCATCGGAGCTGGAAGCGGAGGGAAGGCTCCAAAGGGATGGCGGAGAGGGTCCCAGTAGGGAGAGAGGGAGTCCGTCTGCTGGGGAAGGAAATCAGCGTAACACCAGTAGAGAAGGGGTGCAGATGGGGGAATCGGGGAGGAGGCTCCAAGACTCCCCGCCGGAGACCAGCGGAGAGAGTACGGGTACTCCACCCCCCCACACCCTCCCTGCGCAGAAGACTTCTGCGCAGGGAGAGTAGGAGGAGACTTGGCGTCAAGGAACTTTTGTGCTGGAACAAGTTTAAGAAACGCTCACTGACGGATTCTGCCAGCGACTGAGACAGTCACGATGCTGGAGGCTGTTCAGTCAGAAAGGGTTAACCAGGTAACCTAGCCAGGAGTGGCGGCAACTTACGCACGAGCAACCCCTAAACCCATTACAAAATCATATAAAGAAATCAGTGTTTTCCTAGCAGTGGCCTGCCAAAAAGCTGCCTTGAGCCTGTGTAGTCTGTTCTCTTTTTCATCTATTGGTGTGGTTTTTGCTTGTTCTCTCCTTTTGAAAATTGCTTTAAACATGTATGTATTTAAGAGAATCCTGAAGAATTGTGCAAAGCCTGGAGATTCTCAGGAACATGCAGCTGTTATTTGCATTCATTCAAGTAATAATTTCTACAAAAATTGAAAAAAATACTCCCATAAGGTGGATCTAACCCTTTGTATCAGTTTCATTAAGATAAGCGTACATAATTGTTCACTGAAATTGTAGTTTGCAGAGGAATATGTTCATATGGCTCAACACAACTTCATGATTGCTAGGGTTTTGTGATTTGCTCAGATTATGGCCCTTGCAATGCAAAAAATAAACTGCAGTGGAAAAATATTTCACTTTGACTACCCCTTTCTCAGAAAATATAGTAAATGTAAGATCACCATCCTATACTTTCATATAGCTTTGTTGATTCCAGTGTAATTTTTCCTAAGTGAATAGTTTTAGGACTGCTGCTTTAGAATAAAAAAACACACCAAACAAACCCTAGTGAAAGTTACATCACTGGTAATGCTCTTTTAACCTTTCCAGAACCTTTTGATCGAACAAACACAGCTAGAGCGGTACATGAAAAACAGAAGTTTGACATTATCCTAGACGAATTTCGCAAGGTAAAAATGCACAACAGTCCAATAAAGCTTTACAAAAAAGTGATTACATAGAATTGTTTGAAGACAATTGTCCCATCCCCCCCACGTGAAACTTGAGATCCAAGGCATATTTGTGCTTCTCTGATTTTTCTAAGCAATTAATCCTTGGCTTTCTTCCCCCCTCCATGGCTGAAATCCAAAGAACGGTGCAACTATTTCTGTGCACCCAAAGGGATTTTGGCCTTATGTTTTTCAAACAGCAACTTCTAAAGGCAAATGACTTTGAAATTGAGAGGACTTTCAAATCAGACAAATGTATGGCAAAAGTATGGCAAATTACCTGCTGTTCAAAGAAGGAAAATGCATCTCCTTAGGATCCTTGCCATAGGACCTTTTTGTAGCCGGATTGCTTGTAACTCGCATGTCATGACCTCGGTGATCAGAGTACTATCTTCAGTGTGTTTCATACTTGGAAGCTAGTTTGACTTCTAAAATGAAGTATCTGGGAACTTATACAGTGGTACCTCTGGTTACGTACTTAATTCGTTCCGGAGGTCTGTTCTTAACCTGAAACTGTTCTTAACCTGAAGCACCACTTTAGCTAATGGGGCCTCCTGCTGTTGCTGTTGCTGCTGCTGCGCCGCCAGAGCACGGTTTCTGTTCTCATCCTGAAGCTAAGTTCTTAACCCGAGGTAATATTTCTGGGTTAGCGGAGTCTGTAACCTGAAGCGTATGTAAACTGAATCGTATGTAACCCGAGGTACCACTGTATAGCTAGTATATACATGTAATACTGTATAGCTGTATAGCTATAATACATGTAAATCATATTTTGAAACTGCTTGCAGGAGCAGGAAGCGGGCTTTGGCCAATGGAGGTGGGAGGGTCAGCCAGTCCATCAGTCATTCAACATGACAACTTCTGGTGATTTGGGTCATGTGAAATAATAATAATAATAATAATAATAATAATAATAATAATAATACTTTATTATTTATCTACTGTCCATCTGCTGGGCTTGCCCCAGCCACTCTGGGTGGCTTCTAGCAAATTAATCATCAAACACAGTAAAACATCACACATTAAAAACTTCCCTATACAGAGCTGCCTTCAGGTGTCTTCTAAAAGTCATAGTTGTTTATTTCCTTGACATCTGATGGGAGGGCGTTCCACAGAGCGGGCGCGACTACTGAGAAGGCCCTCTGCCTGGTTCCCTGTAACCTCGCTTCTTGCAATGAGGGGACAGCCAGAAGGCCCTTGGAGATGGATCTCAGTGTCCGGGCTGAACGAGCAGTTCCATTTGCAAACTTTTGCAGCACAGCCAATCGCACCAGGGCTTGCTGTCACCACTAGTCAGCTGATCAGCACTGACAGCAAGTCTTGCTTGCCATGAAACAGTCGGAGTGCCCACTAAGAAAGCTGTCTCTCTACCTGTCCCACACTTGATGTCACATATGCTGTCCGGTGTGGGGCAGGTAGATGTGGTTTGAGGAAATGATCCTGCAATGATTCGCTTTTCAAGCGAGTCGGAAATTCTTAAGGCACACTCAACCCCTTGCACACACTGCACTGTACTTACCGGTACTTTGATTGTGAATCTTACTAATTTTGTTGTCTTTCTTTAATATGTTCCAGTATGTTCATTCTTGCATTTTGTTCTGTTTCATAGTCATGGCAGAGACTGAGAGACAGGAGGGACTTGAACTGTGTACTACCTTTAAGAGCAACTCTACAGAAAAGATAATTGGCTTCCTTCTCCTTAAGTGGACCATTCTGAAATACACAAAAGACATTACTGAAACCTCGGGATGCAATTTTTCCCTCCCTTCCCACTGATCTTATTTTTAAAGAGGAGATTTTTCTTTCAAAATTTTGTTAAGGAAACTTTTGTAAGAATTAAATACAACCTTCATGAAATGCATTAACAATTTGAAGACTGGCTTTCCGAAACATATTGAATCAGTGACCAATAAAGAGACTGCTGTAATACTAATTTTGCAAATCTGTTGGGAGTTTGATTTATTGTTAACTTATGTTGTAGTGGTTTGACTCAGCCACATGGAATATTGAAATGTAAAGATGAAATGTATGACAGTCAGGCCGTGACTTTAAAGTATAGCATACTGTGCACATTTCCTTATGAGAGAGAGTAGCTCCTGCTTTACAGCTGCAAAATGCAATATGCACTTTGGCTCTCCTTGGCTCTTTTCAGCTTTTAATAATCTTGTAATAAGAAACAGCAACTTTTAAAGAAAAATAACAACTACACCCTAAATGATGCTGCTGATCTGGCTTAATTCTCAATGAGCTGGCAAATGTATTTGGTTTGTGCTACTTTAGATTGCATAGGACTGAATACTCCTCCATAGAACAGAATTCCCTTCCACATTGAAAACCAGGTGCTGGGTGGAAGGAGGCCAGGTTAAAACCTTTCCTGACTCGCAGCTTCCTGTGTGGAAGGAATTTAGTTAAATGGAAGAGCCTATTCAAGTTGTGAGCCCCCCACCTGCAGCCTGAAGTGACACAACTCATGCAGCAGGTTTGCCACCTCAGCGAGAATTTCTGGGGGTTGTATTCTTTACTGGAATTTTAAAGCAGCAGAATAACTTCAAGGCAGTTGAATCATCTGTTAGGCTTGCATAATGTGTGACATGCTGAGCTGAATGCAGCCTGCCATCCATGTATGGCAGCCCCTCGGGTTTGAAATGCATTTTGTGTGTTTCCGGCCACCCTGGGGCTGTAAAAAATCAGGATGTTGTCAGGCAGTTTGCCTGCCATTAGGAATGGCCAGTGGGCTCTCTGTTCCTACTTGATGTACAGGCACTGCAGGTAAGATTTTTTTTTTATGGCAGACTGCTCTATGTTGCTTGATGCTCACTGCAGACTGAGGGTGGCGTTGAACATTACAGTGAAGCAGAGGGAAAGGAAATGCAAGGGGAAATTGTACTTCCTCTTAACTGCACTTCCATTGTGATATATGGATCCTACAAGGATGGTACCGTGGCTTGTACAACCCCCTCCCCAGTTTCCTGCGCCACAACAGCAGTGTAAGGAAGCGTACTTTCTTTCCACTTCCTCATACACCCATCCCACTGCTCTGTTGTAAATTGTGGAGCCGCCATGATTTGAGCCCTCTCCTACTGTTTTCTTTCCATATATATAAAGTAGTGACAACTGCGAAAAATAGCTGCTACGATAAGCCAAGTTGTTGTTGTTTTAATTTGTTTCTATTTTTGTGTAAATATTTGTATGTTGGTCAGCTGCTATATAAATCGGGATTTAAGAAAACTTAAATTTTAACTTTCCCCCCAAGAAGTATGAGACTTATTTTAGATCTGCTGTTGCACAATTTGTGCCTCTTATATTTATTGCAGACCAATTCATATGTTAACAAATGTTTACTTTTCACTGATGTCGAACTTCCTTTCCCCTCCAAGTTTAATATTTTTATTGTGTCAAGTGGAATAAAGTTTCTGTATTGAAAATAAAGCTATCTTTTGTATATTTCAACTTTTTTCTTTCAATCCGCTTCTCGGCTCTTATTGTGTAGCCTGATAGTATTGTGAAGAGTGCTTTATCAATCTCAGTGATGTTAAGAAATTTGGATTTAAACTTTTTAGTCTTGCATACGACTTACAGGGCTAGCCTTATTATGATGGGCTAGAAGTGTATTTTGGGACACAGTTTACATGTTGCTGCTACTGCTACACACACTCACAAACACCAGTTTCTTGGTGGCTGGGCTCCATGTTTCATTGATAGTGTGTTGCATGTGCCAATGGTGTGAATCACTCAGATCACCTCTCTCTCTCTGCCTAAGTGGGAGCCCTGCTTGGGTACTCATCAGGAGGAGGTGTTAGGTTGATAGACATAAGACAGAGCATTTTCAGCAGTGATCCCAAGATAATGACCTTTTTAAAATGTGCTGGGACCGTGTGTGTGTGTGTGTGTGTGTGTGTGTGTGTTATTTGATTGCTTTTGTGCTTTTATATTGTGTTTTTATGTTGTAACTGCCCTGAGACCTTTGAGTATAGAGTGGTATACAAATAATAATAATAATAATAATAATAATAATAATGATAGAATGTCACTTTTTGTACATCACCCTGGGAGGAGCTGGGGTTTTTTTAACAGCAGTTTATAAAACTATAGACTAACCAAAGTTGATAACAAGAAGAAACCATTTCAGTTCTGCTGCCGTGTGGTAATCTCATATTTTCCCAGCCCTGATGGGAGACTTTGGGATTGATTTTGGGACCTCCTGCATGCAAGGCCAAATGTTCTACAGTGGTACCTCGCAAGACGAATGCCTCGCAAGACGAAAAACTTGCAAGACGAAAGAGTTTTTCGTTTTTTGAGTTGCTTCGCAAGACGAATTTCCCTATGGGCTTGCTTCGCAAGACGGAAACGTCTTGCAAGTTTGTTTCCTTTTGGATTTTCAATGCATTCCTATGGGAAACCGTGCTTCGCAAGACGAAAAATTCACAAGACGAAAAAACTCGCAGAACGAATTAATTTCGTCTTGCGAGGCACCACTGTACTGCTAAGCTGAGGTCCTTCTGCCTCAGAACTGAGGCGACTAAATGGGAAGAGCGAATGAGCAAGCATGGATGCTGATGGACCTCCTTCTGTTACTTGATTCCATGGCTGGACAGTAACATTTCATGAGAATCCTGTGCCCCTGTACTTTTGTGTGTTTATGAGAGCGTGTGCTGCATATAGACAAGAGAGCACATGCGAAAAGTTCTTACGTAACGCAAAGTATAAATGGCAATTCATAGCTCACTGGATGACCTTGAGCCAGTCACAGACTCTCAGCCTAACCTCCCTCACAGGCTTCTTGTGAGGAGACAACAGAAAGGGAGAGACCAACTCCTCAGAGGGAAAACATGATGTGAATATGATAAGAAACATATGTCTTGATCCAGCAAGAGAGAATGTGATAGTAGCCTCCTGGACTGTCTGGATGCTGCAGGGGAAGACCTGTATCTGCATCCAGAGCCACAGGTGGTTAGGCCTACCTGAGCTCTGGCCCGGGAAGCCATATATAGATCAAGGCCACTAATTTGCAGGCCAGCCACCTATTTGCTGGCCCTGGAAACAAGGTGGTGTTAGGACCCAGTGGCCAGTCCAAGGTGGCAGCAGCGGTTTGATGTTTCAACTTTCCGTCATTCTATTTAAAGACTTTCCTGAGTCAGGAGAGCTGAGCTGCTGTGGATGACAGTTTGCTTCGGGCAACCCTGGAGAGTATTGAGTAGAGTGGGATAAACACAGCTAGGGAAAGTGACCTGGGGGACAAAATGGAGACCGACTGCAACTACGAGTCTGACGGATCACCTGACGTCTCCATGGAAGATGAAGAGGAGGATGAATATGAGCCAAACAGGTACGATACCTTTCAAAAATGAGACTCTGCAGCCTACTTACAGGCTGTCAAGAAGTTCTGGAGAACTGAAACGGGGGGAAGTGCCTTTGTGCAAATGCCATGCGGCATCAAAAAGGAGATGAAAGTTTTGAGGATGAGGGGGAGCTTTCTGATGATTCTGAATGCAGCTGGTTGTGATTCTGAAAGTGCCTGGCCTGTGTGCAAAAGGCATTTTCTATTTAAAGATCCTGCGTTGTGCCAGTTGGATTGGCATCTCCTCCTGCTCCTTCCGAGCTGGCTCGTCACTGCATATCAATCTCCATTACTCAGGGTGTGTGTGTGTAAGTGAAGCGGACGAGTCCTTTAATTTGTTCTTTTAAAAACGCCATAACCCACGGTGCAATAAGAGGTGGGGGAGAACTTTAATTCAAGAATCGATTGCTTGCGGGGTGTGTGTGTGTGGAAATGAGTGGTGGTTGTGACTCAGTTTGTGTTTGGAGGCTACAGGCCATTTGGTTTTCATGTACTTTAGGCATGGCTTGTTGCTTGGTCTGATAGCACAGGGCTCCTAAAAATGGGGTGATTTCAGCTCTGCACCCAATAGATGAATGGAAAGGGCACCCCAAAAGCAGTAGCAGATGTAGTTAAGGAAGATTCCTAGCCAGAAAAGTTTGCCATGATGGTTCCCAGTTTCTGGTTCAGGACTTTGTAGCACTGAGCCCATTTTGACTACAAAATAAAAACTCACACTGAAACCAGGGAGGTCTGAACTGCTGGAGGTGAAGACTTGGTAGTATAGGGAGCTTTGTCTTGCTGCTTTGGCTCAAGATCTGCTGTCACTTGGTTATTGAATTGTCCTTTTCTCCTCTCGCTGGAGCCGGCCCCCATGGAAACAGATCCCTAGCCAGCATGCTGGCTGGGGGGGAGGGGCTAGTAGATCACTGCCTTACCTGCACAACTGGTTTGCCCTACCTAGATTTAATAATAATAAAAGAAAAAGAAGACATCTTGCTTTTAAAAGAGGGAAACCTCTAGTGGCAAAAACTGCTTCCCCCAAAGTTGTCATGCCATAGATTGGTTTGTTTCATAAAACTGATTGTAAAAACCCTCAAAGTGGTTTACAAAAAGACAAAACAATAAAATTGAGGGAAAATTCACAACCGTACTTTAAAACATACAAAAGTTAAAATATCAAAGCAGATTAAAATCAACTCAACTTTCTATGCATCTGGGAATCTTTTTTTTTTTTTTGCAAAAAAATTATTAGTTTTTACAATATCAACAACAAACAAAAACATAAAACAAACAAAACATAACAAACATAAATCCTAACCTTATTGAAAATAACAGTTATTTACTTTGTAAAACGACTTCCTCGTTTCCCCTTAGTTGAATTTCATTGTATATCCTTATAACGGTTTTCCAAATCCCAATTTTAATACCCTTTAAATTAAACATTAACATCTTTAAAACTTCTCCTTCTTGTATTAAACATATTATTTTGTCAGTTAACATAAGTACAATCCTAAGCCCATTAAGTATCTGGACGCTATTTCCAGTTATTTTAGCTTAACAAATTTAGCTAAATAATCATTAAATTTCTTCCATTCTTCATGGTGTTCCTCCTCCTTCTGGTCGTGGACTCTTCCGGTTAGATCGGCTAGCTCCATAAAATCCATCATCTTCATCTGCCATTGTTCTACTGTTGGTAATTCTTGAGTTTTCCACTTTTTAGCTAACAGAATACGAGCCGCAGTTATGGCATACAAAAATAGATTAACATCTTTCTTGGGCAATTCCGAACCTATTATTCCAAGAAGAAAGCCCTCTGGTTTCTTTGTAAATGTATATTTCAACATTTTTTTCAGTTCATTATAAATCTTTTCCCAGAAGTCTTTCACCTTGGGGCAGGTCCACCACATATGAAAGAATGTTCCTTCCTTTTCTTTGCATTTCCAACATGTATTATCACAGTTATGATACATCTTTGCTAATTTTACAGGAGTCAAATACCATCTATACATCATCTTCATAATATTTTCCTTTAACAAAGTACATGCAGTGAACTTCACCCCTTTCTTCCACAATCTATCCCAGTCCTCAAACATTATATTATGTCCTAAATCTCTTGCCCAATCTATCATCACTGATTTAACTTGTTCATCTTTCGTATGCCACTCCAGCAAAAGCTTGTACATTTTAGATAAGTTTTTACCTTCAGTATCTAACAACTCCATCTCCAACTTGGATTTTTCCAAGGCAAAACCATTTTTCTTATCCAGTTTATACAATTCGTTAATCTGGTGGCAATGTAACCAATTTAACTTATCTTTAATTTGCTCAAATGGTCTTAATTTATAACCTTCCTCTTCCTCTATTAATAAGTCATAATATCTCAACCATTTGGTATCCATATTAATTTTTTTCTGGGCCTTTGCCTCCATTGGTGAAAGCCATCTGGGCGTCTTTCTTTCTAAAAGGTCTTTGTATTTTATCCAAACATTATACAACGATTTCCTAATTATATGATTTTTAAATGCTTTATGGGCTTTTACTTTATCATACCACAAATATGCATGCCAACCAAACACATTATCAAATCCTTCCAAATCTAGTAAATCTGTATCTTCTAATTTCATCCATTCTTTAATCCAACAAAGTGCAGCAGCTTCAAAATAGATTTTTAAATATGGCAGAGAGAATCCCCCTCTTTCTTTAGATTCCGTAAGTAATTTGTATTTAATTCTGGGTTTCCTCCCCTGCCAGATAAATCTAGAAAGAGCTTTTTGCCATTCTTTAAAACATTTCACATTGTCTATAATTGGGAGGGCTTGAAACAAAAAAAGCATCTTTGGCAGCACATTCATCTTAATCACAGAAATCCGGCCCATTAATGACAATTTTAAGTTAGACCACACCTCTAAATCTCTTTTAATTTCATTCCATATTTTCTCATAGTTATCCTTATACAAATTCAATTTTTCCCCAGACAGGTTCACATGCATCTGGGAATCTTTTCATCGGGCACCAACTGAAGGTGCCTACTTGATCTCAATAGGCAGGGTGTTCCAAAGGGCAGGTGCTGCCACACTAAGCGATCAAGTTCTTACAAAGGCAGAACAGGTATCATGTGGCCAATTTGGCCCATCTGCCCTCCTAAATAACATAAGAGGAGTCTTGCTGGACCAGACCAAAGCCAAATCTTGTCTACCATTCTGTTTCCCATAACAGCTAACCAGATGCCTATAAGAATCCCACAATCAGGGTCTGGGTGTCATAACTCTGTCCTCCTCACGCTCCTCAGTGACTGGTATTCAGAGACATTCTGCTGCTACTGGGGGTAGCATATAGGCATGGTGAATAACTATTGATAACCTTATCCTCTAGTTTTGTCTAATCCCCTTAAAAAACTGTCCACACTGGAGGCCCACCACTATGTTTTATGGTAGCAAATACCGTAGCTCATTTACGGCACTGTGTGAAGAATTTCCTGAGGCTGAATTTGCAGCTCAGCTTTGTTCTCCCGAAATTCCCCTGGGGCAAGGTAGATTTAATACTGGGGGTGCTTTCAGATGGACGTTGCATTGTGTGATGGATCTTCTTGTAGCAAGTCCCCACATCATAACATTGGCATCAAAATGCCAGGCCATATTCCCCCAGCCATTAAATCTTCGTTTACCCTTTTTGTAGGAAACCCATTAAGTTAAGGCTGGATACTTCTTTTGTTTTCTTTGATGGGGTCCCTATTTCTTCATGCTAGCCATTTAAATGGCAACACTCCTTTGCGAGATGGTTTGCATTTTTAATTAAAGGGTAAAAGCTGCATTTCATCTGGGCCGAAGATAATTTGTTGATGCACAAAGCATTTCTGGGTTGAACGGCGCATACAATTGCAACCACCTTGATACTTATATGCATGGTGCTTATACGTCCTGGTGCTCTCTGGTGTGTGTGTACGTATCTCTAATAATGGTTCAATACAACTGCCTGCATTTGCAGACTTTCCTTAGCAGTGTGGTTATGGGAGCTGTCATGATCGGCTCCTGCACCTCAGCATGTACCACTACGCCACTGATTGATATAGCAAGGATAAATGGCTTTGCATTACTTACACGTAGTTTAATTAGCCAAATGGATTCTCTGTGTGTGTTGCTTCTGAAGAAGAATGGGAATGTGATTAATGGAAATGACTAACGTGACTTGATAAATGTGTTGCCTGTCTCTGGGAACTCGCCCAAATGATCTCTTACGCTGCGCCCTGAAGTGAGGGTGGCTGTAGCGTTAGTGGTTTTTAAAAATGTAGCTGCAAATTAATCTTCAGCATGAGAGCAAGCTGGATTAGGGAAGTGGGAGCAGAAAAGTGAAGTTGTCTTGCCCTTTCTCTCTCAAGCACTCAAAGTGTACTTATGACCCAGTTGTGCCAGCTGCTGTGCTGAGGGCAGAACTACATTTTATGGGAGGCAGCTGCCAACATCAGTGCTTCTAAAGCAATGATGTCAAAACACAAGTAACAGGGATTTTTAAAATGCAGATTGCATAGTGGGGAAGAGAGGAGGAAATTACACTATATTCCCCCACTAAAAGAGACCACAGGCACTCAAAACCATTGAAATAAAGAGCCCAAACCACTGAAGGTTTTTGCCTGGTGTCTAAAATAAGACAGAGATGGTGCCAGGTTAAAAAAAAATATGTAAAGGTAAAGGACCCCTGGACAATTAAGTCCAGTCAAAGGTGACTATGGGGTGCGGTGCTCATCTTACTTTCAGGCCGAGGGAGCCGGCGTTTGTCCACAGACAACTTTCTGGACCATGTGGCCAGCATGACTAAACCGCTTCTGACACAACAGAACACAGTGATGTAAACCAGAGCGCACAGAAACGCCGTTTACCTTCCTGCCTCAGTGTACCTATTTATCTACTTGCACTGGGATGCTTTCGAACTGCTAGGTTGGCAGGTAAGCCTGTCTGGGGACAGCATCCCACAAACAGGGAGCTACCACAGAAAGGGCCCATTCTCTTGTGACCACACTGTGGGTCTCCAGTGAAGGGGCCACATGGAAAAGGGCCTTAGATGACAATTGCAGGGTCCAGTTTGGTTCACGTGGGGAGAGGGTGATCCTTGAGGTATTGAGGTCCTGAGCTGCATGAGGCTTTATATGTCAAAAACAGCACTTTGAATTCAGCCTGGGCACCAAATTGGTAACCGGTGCAGTCATGCCAGAATTGGTGTTTATATGTTCAGGTTATCCTTCCCCAGTCAACAATCTGGGCACTGAATTCTGCACCAGTTGTAGCTTCCAAACCTTCTTCAAAGGCCGCCCCACATGCAACATATTGCAGTAATCCAACCAGAGGTTACCAGAGCATAGACAGCTGGGACACCAGTCAAAGCTGATAGAGAAGACACTCAGTGTCACTGAGGCTATTTGAGTCTCAAGCTACAGGAATGGACCTAGAAGTACCACCAAGCTAGGTGCCCCCTCCTCCAGAAGGGTTACACCCCCATTCAGAGCAGGCCCACATCCCAATAGAATCCACATGAGACTTTGGCTCTCACATAGTGCTACCAAGCTGTAGCAAAAAGCACCCAGAAAGTCAAGGTCAAGCCAAGGTTAGGTGCAAGAGATCAGATCCAGGGTGAAATGTAATCTGGGTGCAACTAAGGAGATGTGCTGGAAATTCACTCCCCAAGATATAGAGATGGCTGCCAGCATGGATGGCTTTAAAAAGGGATTCATGGAGGATAAGGCTACTAACACATGGCTACTAACCACAACGGCTTTGCTCTGCTTTCACGGTATAATAATAATAATAATTTATTATTTATACCCCACCCATCTGGCTGGGTTTCCCTTGCCACTCTGGGAGGCTTCCAACAGAATATTAAAATACAATAGTCTATTAAACATTAAAAGCTTCCCTAAACAGGGCTGCCTTCAATGTCTTCTGAAAGTCTGGTAGTTGTTTTTCTCTTTGACATCTGGTGGGAGGGCGTTCCACAGGGCTGGTGCCACTACTGAGAAGGCCCTCTGCCTGGTTCCCTGTAACTTGGCTTCTCGCAGTGAGGGAACCGCCTTAGAAGGCCCTCGGCGCTGGACCTCAGTGTCCGGGCAGAACGATGGGGGTGGAGACGCTCCTTCAGATATACTGGACCGAGGCTGTTTAGGGCTTTAAAGGTCAGCACCAACACTTTGAATTGTGCTCAGAAGGCAGGAGGACTGCAGTTGCTGAGAATCGGGGAGAGCACTGCTGCTTTCAGATCCTTCTTGCAAGCATCCCATAGGCATCTGACTGGTCACTGTGACAACAGGATGCTGGACTAGATGGCCCTTGGCCTGATCCATCAGGCTCTTCTTATGTTCTGATGCTAAGTGGATTTGGCACACTTGAACACAAATCCACTCCCCAAATAAATCTACCGTATTTTTTGCTCTATAAGGCTCACTTTTTCCCTCCTAAAAAGTAAGAAGAAATGTGTGTGCGTCTTATGGAGCGAATGCAGGCTGCGCAGCTATCCCAGAAGCCAGAACAGCAAGAGGGATTGCTGCTTTCACTACGCAGCGATCCCTCTTGCTGTTCTGGCTTCTGAGATTCAGAATATTTTTTTCCCCTTGTTTTCCTCCTCCAAAAACTAGGTGCGTCTTGTGGTCTGGTGCGCCTTATAGAGCGAAAAATATGTAACTTTCTTGCACTAAAGAAAGAGAGAGGAAAATGCACTGGGAAACATGGGATAATAGTCGTGTGACATGATGTTATATAACCTCCCTGCCAGCAGATCATCATGAATTCTCAATAAACCTTGGATGCCGTATAACCTTCTCACAAACTTGGTGCAAACAAATCAGGGCGAATACTTAACAAACAAGTGACCCTAAAGTTCTCTGGTTTCCATATGTAGCTCAGTCACTGGCTTGGATGCAGTTCTGATTTTGAAGGAAATTGCTCAACTGAATTGGTGGGACTTGACTGTCTGCCAGAGCCAAAGCTGGCCGGCCTCATATCATCCTACGCTGGGAGGTTTGCTTCATTCAAAATAAAACACAGAAGACGTGTCAGTGAGGCATGAGACACTGATCGATTGCAGCAGGTCTGGGCAATCTGTTCGGCAGTGAGCACTGCATTAAAAAGTGTGAAGATTTGCTGCTATTACTGTACCTGGTCAATATTTCTTCTAGTTAAAAGCAAGAACTCTTATCCTAGTACATATTGCAGGGATAGGAGGGAGGCAGTGGACGAGGAGCCAGGAGACTTCTGTGTATAATGCAGCAGAAATACTGTTCCTGTCAACATACTTGTTTATGAATCCTCTCTCACCTTTCTTTCTCCCCTGTTTAATTTTAAGAGTCTAAAACAGATCTAAAACAATGGTTTGTCTCTAATCAAGCAACAAGAGCCTGGTTTCTAGTTGGGTTAATATTTCCCCATAACTTTCATGTTTTAACTGAAACACCTTAGATTAATGTAGATAGGTATCCAACTCTGAAAGGAACGTATTCTGTATCTTACAGGGTGGCCATGTGCCCTACTTTACAGAGGACACTTCTCTCTTTGAAGGAGTCCTCTGTCTGAAGGGCTGTCCAGTTTAAAGAGGAGGAACCACAAAAAGGAAGAGCAGGGACTTTGAAGTTGCCCATTAACCTTTAGTGCATAAATATCAGAATGAGTAGGCACATAAGACACTATGGTGAGATGTACTATATTTCTATTGAAAAATACATTTTTGCACCCTTCTGAGTGGCGTGTCTTGACAAATGAGGTGCATCAGCCTCTGTCACTATATGGCTTCAGGCAGCATCTGTTCCAAGGGGCCTGCTGGATCAGGCCAATGGCCCATCTAGTCCAGCATCCTCTTCTTACAAGGGCCACCTGAATGTCTGTGGGAAACCCTGATGGACAGCTGATTGTCTGGTGCTTGGCTTTGCTGGAATTGTTGTGATTTTGTGGTTTTTGTTTTTTATTATGGGGGTTTAATTAGAGGATTTTAAAAAATACATTGTTGTTGCATTCCTTAGAAAGTAGGCAGGGTGCAGGTTTTTTATTCTTGAATAAATGAAAATTCTTTTTCATGAGATCACACTTACAGTCAATGCTATAATGTGCTGTAATAGAAAATAATAAAAAACACTTGTAATTGATATATTTTAATCTTCTGTGATTCTGTTTTAAATAAAATAATAATAATAATAATAATAATAATAATAACAATAATAATATAATGATGATGATGATGATAATAATAATAATAATAATAATAATAATAATAATGTTATAGTTTCTTAAAATCTGTTTTTTTAGCAGTTTAAAAAGCCTTAACCAGAATGAAGAGGTAAAATCAGATGCCATGGATGCCATTCATAGTGAAGATAGTGCACAGACGTGGGAGACAAGTTCAAGTAGATGTTCCACATCCCAAGCCTCAGAAACTAGTGCTACGTCTGGTGTTTATAGTATGGAAAACTCCTACATGGAAGGTCCTCCAGGGAAATCTATATCTTTGATGGATGAAGGAAAGATGGTACAGAAAAGAACAAGGAACTCACCATATCAGGTGCCCCTGTCTCCAAATGAGAAAATGGGCCCAGACAATGAAAAACATGGCTTTTCTGGAAGGCCAACAGAAGCAAAAGCATTGGAAAGAGAATTAGATCCTGCTGATCCACAGTCATGGACCCTTCAAGTGCAACCTTCAAAGATAAAAAACTACTTGGTACAAATTACACAGGAAGCGGTGGATCCATTGCCAGAAGAAAAAGAAAATGTTTTCATGAAGAAGGCAGAGCTGCCCCTCGAAGGAACAGTAAGAGCTAAGATTCAGCTGCTCACTGCAGCATTGGAAGAAAGAAATAAAAAGATTTTCCGGCGGGTGAACAATATAGATTTGCCTCCGCCTACAGTTGTTGTAATCAGGAAGCCAAGAGAACCACCCAAAAAATTCACCAGGCAAGCCATGTTCCAGGCATCTTTAAAGCATCTTGAACAACAAGCCACCATTAAGAATAACCAGAAGGAAATCCTGCACCTCAAGCGTATGCAGGCAATGCTTGCAAAGACTGTTCCCCGTAGCAGAGATGAGGAGCGAGCGCGGCGGTCTTTTCTGCCTGAACCTCCGGATAAGGCTTCCAAAATGGTACCACCAACTTCACCGCTCTATACTGACAAAGCAAAGAAGCTGGACACTGAATCACATTCCCCTGCCACGCGAATGACAGCCCCAGAACAGGCAAGGTTTGCTTCACCAGATCGTCATGACAGAACGGAGAAAAGGGGAAAGCAATGTCAGCTTTCTAATACAGCAAATACTGTGTCAGAAAAGTTGCCCAGCCTCCTTGTTGAAACAGAGGAGGAGGAGGAGGAGGAGGAGGTGGAGGAAATACAGCCTCCTCCACTTGTTTCTACCAAACCCCTTTCCCAGCCTGCTAATGAAGCAGAGAATCAGGATGACTCAACTTTCTCTAAGCTATCAGAATCTGCAGCTCAGGATGTGAAGTACCCAAATAATATTGCTGCTGAGCAGTATGAGTCCCAAGATTCTCTTTTTACTGAAATCAGAAACCCAGATATTGGCTTCACAATCCCTTCTCAATTTGAGATCAAAGATTCAGGCTTGTTGCATTCTGCTGAAGAGGCAGGGAAGCAAGACCTCCCTATTTGCTCACCTGAACCAGCAGAGCCTGTGCCTGAGCAGGCAAAATTACCTCCTCCAGTTAGTGAAAGAGAAAAGCAAGAAGAGAAACAGCTGGAGGCGGAATATTCAAAGAAAGAAGAGGCGCAGGAGCAATCAACCACACTTTTGCAAGCAGAGCCGGCACATTTGATGTATTCGTTGAAAGAATGGGAAGTTGGGGAAGCTGAAACTGCACCCAATTTATCTTCTGCAGCTAGCAGAATAGAAACACAGGAGCCTCAGAGCGATTCCTGTGAAGTTGCAGAGGAACATATTGGACTTTCACAGCCCACACACTTAATGGGTGAAGCAGAGAAAAGAGAAAACGAGCACCTGGAACCAGATTTGGCAAAGGAAGCTGTTGAGACACAGGTATCTGTGACAGCATCACTACAGCCAGAACAGTCAGATGCACTGCACTCAAGAAGTGAAATTAAAAATCAGCCAGCACAGCCAGGATCTCAGTGGCTGGAGTCATCACTCCCTATTCCCGAAGCACAGAGAGAGGAAATCCAGCAACACTCTCTAGCATGTGCACAGTCAGAAAGCGAACATCCAGTCATCTCTGAACCTATAAAGGCAACACAGGGATTTGAACTCTTGGAACCACTGCATCTCAAAGGTAACGAAGTCAGTGCGAACTCTCCTGCTGAAGCACTCGACTCTTCAGAGCAACTGTCATCTGTTTCATCTGCTGAGAAGGTAGACATGCTGGAGACTCAGCAGCCTTCACTAGAAACTGTAACACTGTTTTCAGAACAGCGATGCTCTGTTTTACCCTACCCAACAGAGAAAATGGAGAAAAAAGACAGCCTGCCTTGTTCTCCCGAGACAGCTGCTGAAACAGCAGAAGTATCACTTCCCACTGCCACCTTCCAAACGGCTGAAGTAACAAAAGTAGAAGTTCATCCCTTGTCTCCCACAGAAGTTCCATCAGAAGAATCAGTGTCTATTTCAAGAGAGCCGGATGTTGCCACAGATAGGAAAACAACTCAGCTGGTTTCGCCTTTATCTGTAGAACCTCCAAGTAAAGCATCTGTTCCACCCCAAGAAGCAGCAAAAGAAGAAAACCAGCAATGCCCACCTTCAGATGCAAAGCTGAGTTTTGAGGACCAGGATGAGGAAGGCCAGCAAGATGGTTGGTTTCCTTTATTTGCAACCACACAGTTTGAACCAGAACATTCGGCTGAATGTGAATCAACAATCCAGAGCATTAAACAGGGTTCCTCTGCATCATTTCCGTTAGAAGAAGCAACTGCATTGCGTTCTGTTGATGATGCAGATAAGAAAGAGAGGCATCGTGACAAATCCATCACTGAGCCTTCACTGCATCCTGTATTCATGCCAGAAAAACAAGGGAAGATGGAGTCAGAGATTGAGCAAACGACTCATCAGTTATCACGTACAGTTCTTCCAATGGAATCAGTCAGTAAACTGCAGTCAGTGGAGGAAATGGAGGTCAATGAGATCCAGCCTCATTTATCTGCAACTGGACAAGATTTATCCCAGTCAGTTTGTTTAACAGAACCACAGGAAGACCAGTGTGTTTCAGCAGCAGCAGCAGCAGCAGCAGCAGCAGCAGCAGCAGCAGCAGCCGCCGCCCTTGAATCTGGTTCTTTAAGTATACCATACACTGAGGTTGAATCAGAGAAATGCGACACTACAGAACCAGTATTGAAAGAGGTGACATATCAAGCTATTCAGGCTGTCACTGCAGAAATGGAAGAAGGCTATCTGAAAGTGTCACATAAAGTGTCTGAATCAGAAAAACATTTAGAGGCACCTTTCCCAGCTCAGAACACAGAGGAAGGAAACCTTCAGTCACACATGTTTGTGTCTCCAGAATCAGAAGATGAACACCTCATCTCATCAGAAAGAGAAGAATCTGAATTTTACCCACTCTTAACTCCAACACCTGAATTGGGATATCCTATTGCTGGTTCAGAAACACAGGAGAGCCAAAGCTACTTATCTGATGCATTAAATGAGGCATTAAATGCATTAAATGAGCAGTCAAGCTACTCTTCCTCAGTTCTTGAGGATAAAGCCAAGATAGAAGAAAACCAAACCACCTTTCCTGAAACTCCAAAAATGGTGCCAAATGAGTCACTGTCCTTTGCAGCCTTCCTCATTAGTGAAGCCAAGCAAGAGCCACTTGTGTCACCTGTGGACACAAAGATGACACCAAAGGAATCAAATTCCATTCCAGAAGATTTTGTTTCTGAGGAAGTAAAGGAAATAGCCCCTCCTTCCCCACCTTTATCCTCAGAACAACTTTCTAAGGAAGTAATTTCATCATATCCTGCTGCTGCTGAAGAAGAGAACCAAGATGAGTCTCATTCACTTCTGAGGGAAGAGTCAAAACATCTGGATGCTGGAGGAGCAGATGTGCAAGGCGGTCAGTCTCATTTGCTTGTTGCAGCACAGCCTGAAGCAAGGAGCCAGGACATTGAGCTACATTGCCCCAAAACAGCACAACCAGAGCTAGAAGATTTGACCTTGCTGAATTCAACTGAAGAGATCCAGAAGCAAGAAACTCCCCTATATTCACCTTCCATTGTACCATCTGTACATGAAGAAATATTGCATCACAAGGGAGAAAGAGAAAACCAAGGAACGGTAATTTTGGGCACTGAAGAGACAAAGGAGGATGATGCTCCTCTAAAGTCACCTGACCTACCACAGGAGTTGGAACACCTACATTCACTGCAGTCAGTAAAAGAATCCCAGGTGGAAAGGGCTCAGCCTTACTCTTCTGCAGCTGTTCAAGATTCATCGCAGCTTCCTGGTGAGACAGGATCGCAGGAAGGTCAGGGCTACTTTTACAAACCTGCAGAAGTGGATTCTGAAGTTTCTAAGTTATCAGAGCTGACGGATGCAGTTATGGAGCAAGAAATCCAGGCACCAAGGACTGAAGCTGTCAAGTTAGAACATAAACAGTCTGCTTTGTCAGTACAGCAAAATGAGAAAGTCCAGCATCCACTGGTAACTGCATCACTGGATCTGGAACATTTGGACTCATCTTATTCCACAGAAACACAATTCCCAGGAGAGCCACCACCAGATGCATCTCTTCTCACTGAGAAAGCAGAGGAGCAGGAAGTTCATTCACAACCAGCATCAGTCTCACCAGCATCTTTATTGGATCAATCCAGCTCTGCTTCACTGGATCTAATTGCAGAAGTTGAGGAACAAGAGACCAAGCGTCCTCCCGAAGTAGCTAACGTGATGCCAGAAGAACCCTTGTCTTTTACAGCCTTTCTCTTTGCTAAGGCAAAGAAAATATATACTACTTTGACCTCAGAAAAAGAGAATCTAGACAGTCAGCCTCCTTTCAAGGAAGCTGATTTGTTAATAGAAAGATCAGAAAGCATTTCAACTAGCCCCCCTGAGACAAATGTAACTATTAACGAAGAAACTGAGCTTCCTACAACACATTTTGAAGTGGAACAGTTTGCTAGTAAACCTGAAGCAGATGTTACTTATCGAGATGAAAGGGAAAATATTTCTGAGACTCCTACGCTACCTAATTTAATTCCAAATGAGCCTTCTGATGCTGTAATACCAGAGCCCATAAATGATATTTTAACACACAACTTGCATTCCTCAGTATCTTCTGCAGACTCACATACGACTGACAACAAGACAATACAAATTAGTGCAGGAGACTTTTTGAAAACGGAAGAAATCAAGTGTTTACCTAGTGCGGAGATAACTTTGAAAGAACCTGAAAAGGAATTAAAAGATCACGAGAAACTGAGGGAGGAAGTCATACCTGCTGCTGAACTTCGTCGAGGAAAAGAGATTTCTGAAGGTAACAAGGTAGTGAATATTCATGCTGCTCCACTCAGTTCTTCAGCTGATAAAGAAGAAGAGAAGCGTATGCCGGAGAGATTAGAATACCTGGAAACAGCTGCATTGCAGAAAAGAAAACCATTCCATGATGCTGGAGATATGGTTATTGACCAGGAATTTTCAAGGTGCAAAATAAGTGTAAAAACCTCAGAAGGCATAGAAGAGGACAATCATGAAAATAAGGAAATCAAATCAAATGAACTTGTCAAGGAAAAGGGGGTCCAGGAAAGTGTAGAAATGAAAAAGGAAGTTTCTGTTGTTCAAGAAAGCAGTGAAGATGGTGGTGTAAATGATAACGGTATAGATCACATTGAAAAGCATACTGTCGTTGATGAGACCTGCTTCATCCAGACAGGAAACAAACAGTCTTTTAAGGAAGTACAGAGGCAATTTGAAGTTACCATAGAAAATTCTGCAACACTTCCGACTGCAGGCACAAAAAATATTTTAGAGTTTTCTTCACTAGAAAGAGATTTGGATGAAGGCTTTAATAGAATGGCCGAGAAAGAAAACACAACAGCTAGTCATGAAGACCCTTCAAAAATATTAATCAAAGGTGAACTAATTGATGCTGTTAGGGAAAAGGATGAAAACACAGAGGATAAGCTTAACTTAGCGGGTGAACCCCTATCTAACACACAAAAAGATGTGCTATCCCAGTCTCCATTAATTTCTTTGCCTGCCACTGCAGTCAATCCTGAGCTTCTCGAGGTGCCACCTACTTTGGCATTTTTATATAAAGATCTCTATGAAGAAGCTGTGGAAAAACCTAAGGAAGATAGCCACAAATATCCACCAAATGAAGAGACTGAGAATACTGACGTATCCATTCACACCAGAGGCCCTACTCGAGATGATGGTACTGGAATGCGCTTTGAAAGGGATGCTTCTAAAGATGAGACTCCAACTTTGGAAGAGTCCCAGAAGAAACAAGTTCTAAAAGATAAAGCTATTAATGAACAAGCTTTAACCCTACAAAGAGTTTCAAAATGTGCAGATGAACCAAGTGAAAAGAAGCCTCAGTCTCTTCACATTCTAACTGAAGCACATGCTGAAACGGAGGTCTCGTCACCAAGGGGAACGGTGGAACGGCTGGATGATGCATTGGTAGATAGACCAGCTGAGATCATGAGCGACATAAAAGTTGGAAATGGTCAGCCCACAAATGAAATTCTTTTTGGAAGTGGGCTCTATGGTTCAGGAGCAAGTAATGAGGAACTCAGTCAGAGAAGAGAAGATGAATCCTTGGGCTTTGAAAGGGATGTTTCTAAAGCTGATGGTCCAAATTTGGAAGAATCCCAGAAGGAACAGGTTCTAAAAGATGAGCCTAGGACTGTAAAAGCCTTAAATCAAGCAAGAGTTTCAAAAGGTGACTATGAATTAGATGACAAGGAGTCTCAGCCTGTTTACATTCTAGCTGAAACACATGCGGAAACAGAGGACTTGTCTCCAAAAGGAATTTTGGAGGGGTTGAATGATGCATTGATAGATAGGCCAGTTGAGATCATGGGTGACATAAAAGTTGAAACTTGCCAGCCCACACATGCAGTTCCTTTTGGAAGTGGGCTCTTTGGTGCAGGTGCAAGTAATGATGACAGCAGTCAAAGAAGTGTAGACGAATCCTTGCCAGAAGAAACAGGCCAAGCATTACCAGAAGAAACGAGCGATGAGGAGTCTTGTCCAATACTTGATTATGCAGCAAGTGTCTTTGAAAATGCAACATCTGTGCAAGATGAGTCAGAGGAAGTTGCAGTTGGCCAAAACCAGCAATCTGAAATAACAGACGCTCATGTGGTTGTCCCAAAACCTGTTGAAGAAAGCACACAATCTCATGCAGCATTCCACCATGTTAGCCCTCCCTGGCAAAGTGAGGGACAAGCAGAAGACCAGTTAATAGCACAGGATACACAACCTTTAGACCATAAACATACTCTCTGTAGGGACACTGAGGGACAAACTTCTGAAAAAAGAGTTGGAGAAAATATTGTGGGTGATCTAACTGAGTCCAACAGAGAGGCAGCATACCAACCACCACCTGAAGCAATATCTGACAAGCCTTTTGGGGAACTGGACTACTCTCTGTTGTCACATGATTTTGATACCTATCCATTATATTCAATAAAAGAGGAAGAGTCCAGTGACATTGATGAAGATCTAGCTGAGCTCATGGACTATGAAATGGTTAGTCGAGATGATGTCTTTGAGGAAGAAACATCATCAGAAGTGGTTCATGAAGAGCTGTTGTTTGATGACAGAAAATCCTCAGACCGCATTAGTGATAGTTATGAATTTGTGAATGAAAGAGAGGCAAATACGCATGCTGAGGAAGAAGAATTTCAGTTGATGGGTCTCGACAAGCTACCAAGAAATGTTCCAGAAACTGAAGTCCTACAGAAAGAATCGGATCATGAACTGTTAGATAGTTATTGCTGCCAGTGTAAATGTCCCATCTCTGCTGAGGACAAGCTTTCTGGGGAGCATAAAGACCACACTGTGACAAACTTGGATACAGCTGTGACTGAATTAAAGGTAAGCAATTAACATTTTTGGAATTACAGCCCTGTGTTCTCATTGAAACTGATGCTTAACTGGGGATGCTTCACTGGACTATATAAGATACACTGCAGGATCAGACAAGCCAATAAAGGTTAGTGACCTAATGTAGGCAGATTGTATTTGGTGACATCCAATGTTAGTCATAAACAGGCTAAGATTAAAGCCATTGATTTTCAATGGATCTACTTTGATTATGACCAACATTGGATATCACCCATCGTGTTTAATTTGTCTCACAGTTGTCTCTGAGAAAGAGCAATTCTGCTTGGAAACACACCAGGCGCAACAGCATTAATGAAAGTGTTTTCACAATTAAACTATATTCTTAACCCCTTGTGTGGGAGTGGTCACCTCTTTTTTTCTGGCTGGAAAGAATGCAAATACTAAAAATACATCCCTTGTGCCAGGACCTCCACTCTGACCAAAATTAGTCAAAATTAGCTGGGTGATCCAATGATGGCTTTCCTGCATTGCATCTGCTTTGGCCCTTAGTTTGGAATTTTAAAGTCCTATTTGCAGAACTGGTCCAAGACGTTTTCCTGCCTGAGCTGATGGAAAAGATGGCACTTCCCTCTCCACCATTCTACATCCATAATCCAACCAGATGGGACATTGAGTCTTCCTTCAGCACTGGTGATTGGGCAGCTTCCTCCACTGTACTTATGTACAGTGCAGGTTAGTGGGTGCAGGAGAAAGTGTGTGAGGCTGCTAACACCACTCCACCTCAGCACGAGTTGCCTAAGGTGTCTTTCTTATTCTGCCTAATGGTATGGTGGTTCTGCCTAGTTCTAAATAAGCACTTTGATTCCTTGTTGGTCCTCTTGAATCTAGGTAACTGGTTGGGTTTCTCTAATATACAGACTTCAACGTGATGCTTCCTCAGATTACCCAGATCTTGAGTATCCCTATTTAAAAAGCCATTGATTAGGATCCAAATAACAGCACAATTACTCAAGGGTGTCTTTGCACCAGCACTGATTCAGCAGCAGGGCCCTATGGAAAATCACATTTGAAACTGAGGGGGCTTTCAAGAGTAGAAGAAGAAGAAGAAGAAGAAGAGTTTGGATTTGATATCCTGCCTTTCACTCCCCTTCAGGAGTCTCAAAGCGCTAACATTCTCCTTTCCCTTCCTCCCCCACAACAAACACTCTGTGAGGTGAGTGGGGCTGAGAGACTTCAAAGAAGTGTGACTGGCCCAAGGTCACCCAGCAGCTGCATGTGGAGGAGCGGAGACGCGAACCCGGTTCCCCAGATTACAGGACTACCGCTCTTAACCACTACACCACAATGTAGGCAGACTAGCATTAGTATGTACATTTTACAGATGATGGATAGAGGCTGAAAAAAAAGAATGGCCTGCCTGGCAAGATTTCTAACATGCTCTTTCATGACGTTTGACTCCAGTGAAGAGGTTTTTTATGTTTGTTTTTTAAAGGGTGAAATCCATTGATGTACATAGCCAAATTCCCATTGATTTTTAATAGCGCCTCCTTCTCAGTATATAGAGAATCATACTACAACTGTGAAAGATAAGCAGTTGCTAAGAATATCAAAGAAGTCACATGCCTCCATTTCATTCCCTAGAGTGGTTTCTTCAAAGTCAAAGGACTTGAGCATGTCCCATGACATCATCCCCTGGCTCTGTAACTTGGAGAGGGAGCCAGGAATGAAATCTAGCCTTCATGTGATCTGCTTCACCAGGAAAAAGATGGCTTTCGATCATTGGCCAGTGTGTCTCATTTCCACTACCCACATGTTACTGAGTTCTTTGGTACTCAGACAACAGAACTCTCACTGCTTCAGCTTTCATCAGCTATGCAATATGCTCAGTACAATAAGCTATTGATGATGGCTATTGGGGGGCGCACAGAATTAAACATTTCTCTCCCCCAAAAAACACATTCACCTTGGAAGTGAAGAATGATTTCCCCCTATTTATGCGCACAGTATAGTTTGCTGTGCATTTTATAATTCATAGGTAAAGGTAAAGGGACCCCTGACCATTAGGTCCAGTCCTGGCCGACTCTGGGGTTGCGGCGCTCATCTTGCTTTACTGGCCGAGGAAGCCGGTGTACAGCTTCCAGGTCATGTGGCCAGCATGACTAAGCCACTTCTGGCGAACCAGAGCAGTGCACGGAAACGCCGTTTACCTTCCTGCCGGAGCGGTACCTATTTATCTACTTGCACTTTGACGTGCTTTCAAACTGCTAGCTTGGCAGGAGCAGGGATGGAGCAATGGGAGCTCACTCCGTCGCGGGGATTCGAACCGCCGACCTTCTGATCGGCAAGTCCTAGGCTCTGTGGTTTAACCCACAGCGCCACCCGCATCCCTTATAATTCATAGGTGATGCTAATTTCCAGCCTTCCTTTAACCTTCCTTTTTAGGCATATAGAGGAATCTGATTAAAGCCAAGAGTGTTTATGAAAACACAAACTGCTTTTGAACAGATGGCCAAGTGCACCAAAGGAAGGTCAAGGAGGCTCCTGCATGGCAGACAGTTATAACTCATGAGTGCTGTCTCTATTATCTCAAGAACCACATCCTGGGCAGCTTTTGAGAAACAGCTTCAGAAGCACAGGAAAGAAAGCAGATGAAATAAATAAATAAAACCAGGCTGTTAGTCACTTAGATATCATTTAATGAAGATTATTTTACTGGTTTGAAGGCAGGCATAGGCCTTTGGGGATCCTGTCCTTAGTTTGTAATAAGAAAGCCTTTTTATTTAGATCAGTATGCTTCTGAACACAAGCTGCTGGGAATCACAAATGCACACTGTCCAGCTTTTGGAAACCCCAAACGGGGATAGGTGTCTTCCAGGATGTGTGCCTGGGCAAGTCATGTGACCCGCACCTTGCTCTTGCCCCACACCCAAAAATACAGTCCCGAAAAACTGGGAGTTTTTTTCAGTTCAAGATCACTGTACCCCAAATGGCCTTGCATGAAAAAATAGGATGTCCCGTTTTTTCTGGGGCACTTGGCAGGTATGCAAGTGGGAAGAGTGCTGTTGTGGCTGAGGTTCCATGTTTGGGCTTCCCATGGGCATGTGGTAAGAACAGGGTCTTCTGGGTGGGCCTTTAAACCCGATCTAGCAGGTCTCACCTTATGTTCTTAAATGAACTGCTTGCTTAATTGATTCCATTTATTAAAAATTGTGTATTGCCCAAGCTTCAGCCTGAGTGCCTTTTGAAGGTATGGCTTCATCACTGAATTAACAATCTCTTGTTGCTAGAAGGGAGAGGCCATCTTTAATAGTTTATTTTCCATTCCCTATCTAAGTAATATCCCAAAGCCAAGGCAGGTGGTCTTTCTGTAAAGTCTGCCTGTCAGTCTCCCCCCTCTAATGACAATTAATTCATCAACTAAAGCTCTAGTGGATTAATCAGTTTACTGCTTAAATCTATGAAAACTTTCAAGCTGCATAAAGAAAGGAAAAACGAAGAAACCCCCATAGTGCCTTCCAATTTATTTAATCTTTTGTGATACTTATTGCCTGGCTTAAATTCATCACACTCATTTGTATAATTTTCCTTATCCTGCAGTGTGGTTTTTGTTCTAGTACAACCTCACCAAGTGTCCCCGAGACCCCTCTGGGGACAGTGATCCCCAGAGGTGGGGATTTGGGGAATTATTGTCAGTGGGATGCTACCAGGACAATGGGCCTGATCCTTGCAGTATATCAATGAAGCACTGAGCCATAGGATGCATTCTGAGATTAAACATTTTGTTTTGGTCTAGTTTTTATGTAAAATATAATAGCACCATCTTGCAACTTCCTGACCACTTTATTTAGATGGTTGTGAAACTTTAATATTTCAGAGCCAATTGGATGGATTCCTAGGTGTTTTGCAAGAAAGATCTTTGAAGATCGAGGGGTTTGTCAGTGAGATTGAGGCTCTGTTTAATTCTCTCGAGGTAAGTGTGTGGCATCTGCCTTCCTTCTCATTTGTTGAGAATTTAATTTTGTTGAGAATTTTTTAAAAACAATTATTCAACTGGATGGGCCACGGTATGAACATAACATTTTCTTTCTACAGAAGAGGTGACTTTTAACAGCATGCAAGGACACATGGACACAAAACTCACTCCAGCTTTGTATGAAACATTCCATCCTTCTGCCTTTCGGAAGCTGGTTGTCAAAGAGACAAACTCAGTTCAAATTATTTCATTGAATCCTCTGAATTCCTTTGCATTTCTGTGGCTTTATACTACTGTTTTTAGATTCTGTATTGATATTCGTGATATTGCTTATTGTTTTTATATTATATATCGCTTAGAGATTTTTAAAATATTAAGCAGTTTTCAAATAAATAGATAAAACTACTGAAGGGTTCAAGTCAACCATCAATCTTTTAGCCCAAGGTTGGGTGGTTTTTCCCTCTCCTGCCAAGCGTTTCGTTCCCTCAGGTCTAATCTCTTGAGAGCTACATGACAGCAGTGGGCAGGGCAGGAACTGAAGGTGAGTGTGGCCATCCTTTTTCTCTCCTTTTTTTTAACCACACACTTTTCTGATTCTGTCATGCCCTTCCTCTCCTCTCTCCCTCCCCATCACTCTCTCACTTTGCCACCTCCTTTTCTTTCTTTCTTTCTTTCTTTCTTTCTTTCTTTCTTTCTTTCTTTCTTTCTCAGACCATTAGTTGAACTTTTCTGAATCAGACCATTAGTTCTACATTGACTGGCAGCAGGCTCTCCCTGGTCTCAGATACAGATCTTCCCAGTCCTGCCTAGTCCCCGAGACCTACTCACTTGTCAATCACCTGACATCACTGTGTGATTTCCCTTTCAACCGTCTATAGTCTCTGGGCTGAACTAAAAGAGACCCTCTTTGTGAACCCCATGGAAAGCTTTTGCTAGTTACCACTGAACAATCTAAGCAGGGAGAAGTGCCCCTGAAATCACCAGTGCACAGGAGAAAAATTCACCAATGAATTTTATTTTTTTCCAACATCTGGCATTTTTTTTTAACCTCTAGGAAAACTGTAAGGAAAAGGAGCAGCTTTTGGATGAGCAAAATGAAAGCATCATCAAGACTGTGATAGGGCACCATGACAGAAAGCAGCAGAGCTTTGAGGAAGTAAAGAATGCAAAAATGGACTATCTTTATGAACAGATGGTTAATTTTCAAGAATACATTGATACAGCAAAGGACACGTTGGAGGCGATCTTAAAGGAAACTGAAGAAATGGATGATTTTGTTTTCCTAAGTGTGAGTATAAAATTACACTTAATGCTGATAAAAATTGTGCATTGTGCTGAAAATATATATATATACACAGGCTATATTCCTACCTCCATAACAAAGGAATAGAGTCTATGTCCATTTGTTCTAAATCTACATGCAAATACTCATAGACCCATCACATAACTGGGATAGAAATTTAAGGCTGCAAACCTATATACACACTTACCTGGGAGACTATAGAGGCTTAGGCTTCAATCCCTACCTAAGAGTAAGCCCTATGGAACATAGCAGAACTTACTCCTGAGTAAATGCACATAGGAATCCACTGTCAGGTTCCAATTCTGTGCACTTACCACTTAGTAAGGCCCACTGAGGAAGAGAATTCGCAAAAATGGGATTGTGCTGTTGAGCTCTAAGGTAGTGACCCTAGTTCAGTGCCCTTCCCACCATGGACCACTTGAAAATTGTTGGGGGTCTCAGCAGACCACTTAAATGTTTTTTCTGCCTGTTATAGCAGTCATAATGTACTATGCTAGATGCTGGGTGATCTTTAATTATATTTTTGTTGCTTCTGTTATTTCTTTTATCGCATCACAGTTTTTATACCATAGAATTAAAGAATAGAATTCCATACAATTCAAAATCAATATGAATATTTAGCACAGTAGACCAGGCATAGGCAAACTCAGCCCTCCAGATGTTTTGGGACCACAATTCCCATCATCCCTGACCACTGGTCCTGCTAGCTAGGAATCATGGGAGTTGTAGTCCCAAAACATCTGGAGGGCCGAGTTTGCCTATGCCTGCAGTAGACTTTCTGAACGATGCCATAACCTCCAATAGAAAGTGGACTAAAACTGGGGTGCCAGCTTCCAGGACCACACTCCTGCACAAGTCACGAAGAAAGCACTTTTTTCATGGATAAGTTAGATAATGGACTATGTAGAGCAGTCAAAATTAACAGCAAAATTAAGAGAATCTAATGATGAGTGTTTTATGGAAGAATGGATGCCATTTTCAGATTATTTAAAGAAATGCTATAGAATGATGAACTCACAGGCAGGATTTGAGCTATGAGCAATATAAGTATTTAGATTATAATATTGTGAGATTGTGTGTAGAAAGTGAAAGTAGCCTGTTGTACCAAGGCAACCTTTACATTTCCTGCCCACCCACCACTGGTACAGTGGTACCTCAGTTTTTGAACGTCTCCGTTGATGAACGTTTTGGAACTCAAACGCCATAAACCCGGAAGTAAATGCTTTGGTTTTCGAACACGCCTCAGAAGTCGAACAGAAAACACGGCTTCCGCTGAGTGCGAGATCCTATAGATGTCGGCTACTGAGTTTCAATTTTTGAAAGTTTCGGAACTTGAATGGTCTTCTGGAACGGATTACGTTCAGAAACAGAGGTACCACTGCATATGTGTTGTCTAGAAGGGAATGTGGCCTCTGGGATGATAAATATTCCCCTCCCCTGTGCTATACATCTGGCACATTGGAGAAGAAGAACCCCCACATCTCAGAAACTATACCATTGCTAATTAATTTGTACAACTGGAAGTAATCTGAAATGCAATACGGTTGAGGGATCCATGGTGGGCTTTTAACTCAGAGCCAGTGTGGTGTAGTGGTTAAGAGCGGTAGTCTCATAATCTGGGGAACCAGGTTCGCGTCTCCGCTCCTCCACATGCAGCTGCTGGGTGACCTTGGGCCAGTCACACTTCTCTCATGTCTCTCAGCCTCACTCACCTCACAGAGTATTTGTTGTGGGAGAGGAAGGGAAAGGAGAATGTTAGCTGCTTTGAGACTGCTTAAGGGGAGTGAAAGGCGGGATATCAAGTCCAAACTCCTCTTCTTCTTCTTCATGTTATAAAGTTATTGAAGCTTGGAAAGTCTCAAATGCAGGTATTATGCATATCACTGTGGTGTTGCACCTCTGGAGGGCAAGATTCTGCAAAATGCATATGAGGTTAGGAAAGTTGAGCATGTTTAAAGTGGTACAATATCAGAGCTGGGGCATATGTCTGTGGATTTGATGTCCAGTATTATTTTGTGACACACATTAATCCGTTCCTTCCCACGTTCCTTTTCCTCCCATAGTCATCAGAAGAAATCAATAAAAGGTATATGAAATGTAGTTTTGGTGCGTTATAGTGAGTATTAGGAACGGCATGTTTGAATGCTTTTTAATACTTCCAAGCTCCGCTGAAGGCATGCAGCCATTTCCTCGCCAGATATTAAGGAGGAAATTGTGTGCTTGGTAATGCAGCTGAAAGTGTTTGAAATATTTGCATGCATTTTCTCATTCATCATTTAAATACTAATAAATATGGCATTATTCAATTCTGTCTTTCCTGCAATAGCATCTATGTAGCTGATTTTTTTAAAAAAGCAGGTGTTTATCACTGCTGTACACAACCATTTTAAAATTCCAGATGCATTCTGTTAAAATGCCAATATTTGTGAGTGTTCCTGTTTTGCTGATTTAATTTCAATGTTAGATGAAATGTTAATGAAAATGATCCTAGGTGTCTCTTTGGTAGGCTGAGCTAAATTTAGACCATAGTGAAGTCCTGCTAGGCCAATGAGTTTTGAACTTGTCCTGGTATTTCTGCTTCCTTTGCCAAGAGGATTACATTGAAGTTGCATGTAGTTTGAGATCGTTTTTAGAAGGGCTACTCCCCATAGTAAAATTAATATCAATCCAGGGACCATTTATTTGGCTTTGGAAATGATTTATGGCAAGAGATAAGACTGTAGGGTTATTGGGGGGTGCGCGGGGGGGGGGGAATGCGTTTCAGACAGTTGAAAGATTATTTGATAATATTGTTTTGCCCATGCACTAGTAAAACCTCCAAGGCCAAATAAAATAGTGGAATGGGGGAATAATAATAATAATAATAATAATAATTATTATTATTATTATTTTATTTATATGCTGCCCATCAGACTGGGTTGCCCCAGCCTCTCTAGGTGGCTCCCAGCAAAATATAAAAAGCACAATAAAACCAGAAAAACTTCCCTTCAGATGTCTTCTAAAAGTCAACTAGTTGTTTATCTGTTTGACATCTGATGGGAAGGCATTCGACAGGGCAGGTGCCACTACTGAGAAGGCCCTCTGCCTTGTTCCCTGTAGCTTCACTTCTCACACTGAATGAACCATCATGGCTGGCTGGGATCCTGAACAGAAACAGTGAGGCTTACACAGTGCAACTTTTTCTTGCAATTCCCACTTGCATTATTTAAAGAAGTGCAAACTCATTAGCCTCATTAGCACATAACAGTAAAGCATGTTTAGTTAATAAAACAAGGGTAGCCAATGTCGTGCCCCTCAGAAGTTGTGGACTCCAGTTTCCATCAGCCCCAGCCAGCATGTGCAATGGTCAGGAATTATGGGGGTTGTCATCCAAAATATCAGGAATGCACCACATTGGTTGCTCCTGCAATAAGCCATAGTCAAAGATGAGGCATTGGACAGACAATGACTTACACCTTTTATGCCTCCCTTCCTCCATTAAAGGAGGGCGAGGCAAGCCAGGTAGACCTGTTCTTCACTCATGGCTCCATAGCTTCTGGGTGGTGACTGCTTTTTACACCCATAGTTAAAAAGCAGCTCTGGGTTCACACTGAATGCTGAAATATAATTGACAATAGCTAAGTTTTATAAATCAGCTATAAAGCTTGGCTAATGAGCAATCTTTAAGCATAGTTGATAACCCATAGTTAAGCTGCTGGGTTGGTTTCCCACATAACAGTAAGCTGTTGTTTAATAAACCATGGTTTAATATTAGGTGCAAACTAGACCATTGTCTATTTGCTATTTAAGCAATAATTCAGTTGCATTCAGCGGCCCCAATCTTTTGCATAAAAAATCTTTGGATGTTTCTTCTGTCTCAGGGTTAAAAATATATTCTTTTCTCCTTCTCTAAAATGAGCTCGGCAAATAAGAGCTAATTACTTCTAATCCATTTTGCTTTCATTTTTCCTTCTTTTTTGGGGGTTGTTAGCGACTCACCACCAGCTGTTGTACATTATCTCTTTGGAATCAGCCGGCTTCCTGGATGCTACAGTCAATTTTCTATTGCATTCAAGAAACACTTCAAAGGATATTGTCTGTGCATTTGAACTCCTGCATTTCTTAAGGGGCTTGCACTGAACTTTAATTCTGAACACTGCTCTGCTCCAGAACTGGGCAGTTATGCATCTGCCAGGCAGTGCTATATTTTCAATTTCAAACTCAGGCATGAAATTCACTGGGTGACTTTCATGCTTGGGCTAGACACTATGTCTCAGCCTAATCTATCTCACGGGTTGTGGTGAGAATAAAATGGGGAGAAGGAGAACCATGTACACTGCTTCAAGCTCCTTAGAGGAAAGAGGGATATTATTATTATTATTATTATTATTATTATTAGCAGATTAAAAAGAGGTCAGGGCTCCTGCACTTTTAGTAGTTGTGAAGGAGAGGTTTAGTATGAGCAACCTATTAGTCTAATTCCAAACAGGGTTTTCAGGTAAGAATCTAGACAATCATCCTTTCCCTAAAGGGTTCTGAGGCAGCAGGAGAGAATTGGGCAGCTGTGTCTTCATTCTGCTGCTTGCCAATTGTTTTGCCTGCTCTCTTTTCCTGCATGCTGTGGGGGGAATAATCAATATTCTGATTGCTGCCAGAAGACAGAAAGGAAAGGGGAGTTTGGGTCAAAGGTACATAGTGCAAACCATGAGTTGATGTTGCACACATATTATGGAAATGCCTTTCAATGGGTATATATTTCCCTTTGCATAGGTTACTTTCTGCAGTGGAGAATATTCTGGCTTTGGAAAAGATACCACCTGCCTTCTCACAGTTTGAACATTTTGCAAGTGGCTCAGCAAATGGCAACCAGACCTTAAAACACATGCCTGGTAAGAATCTGTGCAAACATTTGGTGCATTGCTTGAAAACGCATGAAACCTAAAAAAATAAAAAATGGGGGAGATGTACACAGGAACGGAAATGTGACATTGCTGGCTTCTGCATGTAATTAGTAATCAGCTGAATCTGAAGTGAAGCCTGATTGTGCTTGGATTATGGAGGAGGAAACTGGAGAAGGAGCAACTATCACTTCTTGTTCATGCTGAAAAGACAAGTCACCTGCAGGTCTGGAATAATCATGATCCCCAGTCATCTGTAGAGGAGCATCTTCGCACATTACAGTGGTACCTCGGGTTAAGTACTTAATTCGTTCCGGAGGTCCATTCTTAACCTGAAACAGTTCTTAACCTGAAGCACCACTTTAGCTAATGGGGCCTCCCGCTGCTGCCGCGCCGCCGGAGCACAATTTCTGTTCTCATCCTGAGGTAAAGTTCTTAACCCGAGGTAATATTTCTGGGTTAGTGGAGTCTGTAACCTGAAGCGTATGTAACATGAGGTACCACTGTATAAGCAAGGGCCCAAAGAAGGAGTTCAAGTGAGCTGAGCTTCCTCTTGTTGTGCTTCCGGGGCAATATGAAAAAGGAGAGCTTGTTAACGTAACAGCTGGCTGGGTGAGGCCAGTGGCTTCTTTAGCCCAGCATCCCATTCACACAGCGCCCAACCACATGCCTGCTCATCTCCCCTGGAAGCTATCCTTGTGCTTGGAGTTTCCACCTTTTAACATTGCCCCTGCAAATACTTCTTTATTTAGTAATTATTTCTGGCCAGGAAGCGTCAACATGCCTTGCCCTCAGGTCCCTTCTGGGGCTGAAACCCACATTGCCCGTCCTCCAGTCAAACAAATCCTGATGTTCTGAGCAGTGCTGAGCAGCTGCATCTGTGACAGAAACTTCCTGATGGGACAAGCCTGCCTTGGAAGAAGGCAAGGATCCCTCTTTTGCTAGAGATTTCCTGCATCAGTTTGGAGGTAGCGGGGAGTTGACCCAGATTACCTTTGAGGTCCTTTGCATGGTCCTACATATCTAATAGGTTGGTTCCTCTTCAGGGACACAGAAAGCAACTAATTTTCCACCCCACCGATGTTGCTTTATTAGCCTTCTTGTAAAGCATTTTAACAAGAAATATGAATTCTGAGAACTGCTCATTTGCAGCCACCCACTCCTTCACCTTTCCCCCAGCATCTAATTTTATGTTTGTTGGGAGAGAGTGTGTGTCATTCTTGAGAAAAGTAGATTTTGGTGCCATAATCAGCTATGTATAACTAGCTTTTTAAAGTGATACCATTTCAAATTGTGTTTGCGACAGCAACAAAATCCATCCAAATTTTAGAAATTGGTCGCCTGCTATTTGCCCATAGGTAAAGCTGAGACACTGTGTATAAATATATGTCTCTTCACAAGAAGCCAGCTGTTTAGTTCATCTCACACCTTCCCTCAAAATATACAAGTGTTTTCCATTTGAAAAACACAAGAAAAGCAATTTTCTTTTTTAAAAGAGAATTTTGGAGAGTGTCTAGTGTGTGTTGATTAACCACATATGGGAGTTGTAAGGGAACCAAACCCATCCCCATAAACACAGTGGAAGACTACACAGTTTAGTGGATTCAGCCCTGGTGACTCCATCCAGATGAAGGATTAATGTGCAAAGTCCTGCATCAACTTCCTTCCTCTTTCTGCAGCAGTTGTACTTCCTGTACTTAGAACTGAATCACTTCCTGCATTTGTGTGTTCAGACCCAGAAACCTCCCCCCTCAATAAATTCACACTTGACTCAAATTTTTGGTTTGGTTTTTGGCAGAATTTAGGCCACAACTTTATTGGTCACAGAAAGTGATTAGTTGCATTGGCTCTGGTTCGACTAGCTCCCTGCCATGCAGGTAGCGCTGACCCAGGATTCCAGCATAGGTCAGCCAAGGGTGAACACCTGGATAAGCAGAAAGCCGGGAACGGGCTAATTCTGCCACCCAAATGTCCCCCTGGACTCAGGCACGGACACAACCCCCTCACAGGGGTTGACCAAACCATCGAGTCCCTGGATTCCTTTAATGGAATACCCTTCACATAGGGATGGTGAGAGCATTCTCCCATCCCTATCACCTGAACCAGAGCCTATCCGCAACCTTACAAGTTGTGAGGATTTGCTACGCGGCAGGCGAAACCCAAATGGCAACAGCCATTCAGCCAAGCGGGGAAAATTTCTGCCGTGCCCCTGTCCCAATGACAGACGACACACAATGGCATAGCAAGGTCAAGCGCAACAAGCCCTAAAAGTAGGGAGAGGTGGGCGCGTGTTCCGAATGCATGCACCAAAAGAGGAAGCTCTGGGTCACATGCATGGACATAAAAAGGTCCCTTGAACCGTTTGGACTGCGTCCCATTGACCAGATTGAACCCAGTTTTGAGGGACCTACCAATCGGTTATTGTGGCTGACCAATCGTACCCACCCACAACACAGGGTGTCGATTGTCCAGGTTTCACCGCAATACATGCCCTCTTTAAGGGAGGACCCGATTTCTCAATTAGTGCTGAATCAGTAGTGTGGGAAGCTGCTATTTGGGCAAGTCCTTGTCAAGAGTATCAGAAACCCTTCCAGCTTAAATCTTGATTCTTCCAGTGCCTGTCTTGCATGCCTAAGTGAAAACTCTAATTCACATGGACTGATGTTCCATCACTACAGTGATGGAAACTGAACCACAACAAAAATGTTTTAGAAAGAAGCATTGGTACCTTGTGAGGTATGCCCTCATTTCTTTTGCTCCAACGTTGCTTCCAGACAAAGATTTTTCAGATTTTTCAGTCTCAATACCACTTCCCCATGAATACAGAGAAGTATATCACAAACTAATTAACTCTGTATGAGGTTTCATTGACAGTAATATACAAAAAACTCAGACCTTCTAATACTTGAGAGTCTTAAATGATATTTACAATACCAAAATAATAATGACATACACAAAATAATAATGATATACACATACACAATATCTCAAAGCCAAACAGTCAAAATTTCCTGCAATAAGTAAAAAAAAAAACCAATTCTCTGTGTGTATACTTGTTGCTGGTGCAATTCTGACGGAACTCTGACAACAAGATAACCAGATTTCAATCTCTGTTTCGTAAATTTTCCAGTCTCCGCAAAAACTTGTTAACTTCAAATGGTAGAAAGGGGGTGAAACTAAATAACAGGGGATACATTTTTTAAAAATATCAATCCCTATCAATCCTGGGGGTGGGATCTGATAGGGAAATACAATGTTGAAGAAGGTGTATAACGTTATTCCCCCTGCACTTCTTTTCTTAATGGAAATTTCCAAAATAGGGCAAACAGCAGGTTTTTTGGAGGGAAATTTGTTGGGGAAATGGCATTGGGTGTGGAAGGGTTAAAACTAACCCCCCAATGTTGTGATGTACACTATTCCATCTCTACTTTAGCACCTACTTCATTGCCATGGTGGGTTAACAGGCTTTCATGCTCGCTGAAATAATTATTCTGTCTCCAGCCTGAGTAAATAAGGAAATATAATCTCATTTGAGTTCCGTGATGGGAAAGATGAATGTTTTGAATGACAGGCAGCTCTTTTCCTTAATCACAGAAAATCTGCTGGTGTCAGCATGTGCTTTGTTAGTGCCACAGGAATTCATGATTGCATCAGAAAATAACCAAAAGCAGAAAACTTTTTTTTAAAATGTGGATCTTAATGTTCATTTCACATCAAATGGAAATCTGCCAAGGAAGGAGAGGAAGGGAGTATTTTCTTTTGTTCGACCAAGTAATTTAATACTGAGAGATGTTGGTTTTGAACCTCTCTTTGCAGACATCCTACATAGTTAGGATCAATAGCCCCAATGTCTGCATGCTTAGGTGGAATAGACACATTCTTAGATTTTCGCAAATCCCCATAAAGGTGTTGATCAGTTACCGTATTTTTTGCTCTATAAGACACATTTTTCCCCTCCTAAAAAGTAAGGGGAAATGTGTGTGCGTCCTATGGAGCGAATGCAGGCGGGAGGCTCTGCTCAGCACTCCCTTTAAGAATGTGTGTGCGGCTCTTGGGGGCTTTTACCCGAGAAGGGAGAAGGGCTGCCCTTCTCCCTCCTCGGGGAAAAGCCCCCAAGAGCCACACATACGCTCCGTGCGCTCTTTAAAGGGAGCGCAGCTCTTGGGGGAGCCTTCATCTGCTGTCCTGGCTTCTGGCTTAGCCGCACGCAGCCTCTTGAGGGAAGGGGGAGCCTTCATCCCGCTGCCCTGAAGAGGCTTCGCCCGTCTATCCCAGAAGCCAGATCCCTCTTGCTGTTCTGTGATTCAGAATATTTTTTTTCTTGTTTTCCTCCTCCAAAAACTAGGTGTGTCTTATGGTCTGGTGCGTCTTATAGAGCGAAAAATATGGTACATTGAAGGCTCAAACTCCTGAGCAGCTGGGAGGGCAGTTCTAAGAGTCATACACTTCTGCTTCAAAACTATATAGAAAAATATTTTTTAAGAGAGAAATTTGCACTACAATGCTAAGGAATTATGAGGAATGTTTTTAAAGAAAAATGGCAAATGGTGGAAACGTGGAGGACTGAATATACAACTAGAAAAATGAGACATATTGACAGATTTATCCATTCCTAGCTGCAGCCTGGAATGCTCAACAAACAGAGAGGTGTATGAATAACTGATTGCCTATTTTCTTGCAGTCCCACAGACTCCAAAATTACAACCTCAGGATCCAAACTCAGCTACAAGCACATCGATTGCAGTGTATTGGACTGTGAATGAAGATGATGTCATTGATTTTTTCCAGGTCTATTGTATGGAGGAATGCCCAGGAAACAGAGAACAAAGTGGTGCGTGAGTGATGGTGCCTCTCTGCTGGCTGGAGAAGCTGGAGAGGGAAAAGTTTATAGAATCAAATTATAGGAGTAAATCAAAAGCAATAAAAGACATGATACAAAAGCAATATGATAGCATCTAAGAATGTTTTAGACTGGCAGTTTTCATCAGCCACAGAAAATGTGCACTACATCAGTGATCTTTTGTTTCTTATGCTCCAGTTCCTGGGGTTATTTGCGCAAATGTTTGGACCGCATTAAACTTGCTGTTGTTTTGGTCACAAGTCTTGCACTGCACCACTTCCTGCCCATTCTCTCATTCCTCCTCTTTCCTTATTGGAGGGCAATCTTAATATATTTCTCTTACCTAAGTGCGGCATCCCTATTGAAGCTAAAATGGATACTTTGCTATCTTCATTTCAAGGTGCTGTTTTCCCGTTCTTACATGTCCAGTTTTCTGACAACCCGCATCAAAATCTGGATGTGTGGATGCATGGGTGGAGTTGTAGAAATTCACCATTTATTAAGGCTGGGTAGGAAGCCAAGGCTGAAGAATATACAGTGGTACCTCGGGTTAAGTACTTAATTTGTTCCGGAGGTCCATTCTTAACCTGAAACTGTTCTTAACCTGAAGCACCACTTTAGCTAATGGGGCCTCCTGCTGCTGCCACGCCGCCAGAGCACGATTTCTGTTTTCATCCTGAAGCAAAGTTCTTAACCCGAGGTATTATTTCTGGGTTAGCGGAGTCTGTAACCTGAAGTGTATATAACCCGAGGTACCACTGTACATACAGGAAATGCATGGGTAGTAGTGACAATGAATGAAAATAAAAGTGACAAAATCATTGGCCTCGAAGTGCTCTTAGGCTGTATCCTAGGCACACTTACCTGAGCATAAGCTCCATTGAACAATGTAGGACTTGCTTCTGTGTAAAGGTGCACACTGTTAAGGAACAATATTAATAAGATACAATAGTACCAACTAGACAGAATTGTACCTACCTAGATACTATGAATAGCAGAGCTGGTTTCTAAAATATACTACAGCCATACCTTGGTTGTTGAACGACCTGGAAATCGGATGTTTTGGCCCCTTCCCCGCTAGCCTTACAGAACCTGCAGAGGTATGAAGAAGGCAGAGCATAGACAAACAAGGTGGTGTGGTCTCAGATTGCTTGGAAAGGACCTGGAGGGAGGAGTCTTAGAGAGCGGTGGGAAGGCAAGGACCTTCAGTCCTCGCGACTGCCTTATTGGGGCAAGATCTAGCAGGAGGAGTTGCTGCGCTCACTAGGCCTGTGCTGTTTTGTTTCTTTGAATAAAGAGTTAATTTCACTGACACCTTGTGAGTTCTTGTTGACCTGCCGTGACATTCTCATGACTTCTTTCCTGTCTGTGTGTGCGTTTACTTGCTCTAGGCTTGGTAGAAGAATACCGCGTTACTGTGAAGGAGAGCAACTGCATTTTGGAAGATTTGGAACCAGGTCACTCTTATAGTGTGTGGGTTATGGCTGTGAACTACTCAGGATGTAGCTTTCCCAGTGGCAAATCCACATTTAGAACGGGTAAGTAGCTTGCAAATTTCCCTGGTGTTTGTAGTTTTTCTGTGTTTAATACAGAGGGTGTCTAATGGAATGCATGGAGAATGTGGCCTCTGTGCCCTGTATTGATCTTTGTACGAGTGTGCCCTTGGAGATGTTTCAAATAGATGGATGTCTTTATGAGATGCATATTGGGCTGGTTCATGCATGCCAATGATGATGACAATGATTTGTATACAGCTAAACATGACAAGAGGGATGCGGGTGGTGCAGTGGGTTAAACCACAGAGCCTAGGACTTACCGATCAGAAGGTCGGCGATTCGAATCCCTGCAATGGGGTGAGCTCCCGTTGCTCGTTCCCTGCTCCTGCCAACCTAGCAATTCAAAAGCATGTCAAAGTGCAAGTAGATTAATAGGTACTGCTCCAGCAGGAAAGTAAACGGCGTTTCCGTGCGCTGCTCTGGTTCACCAGAAGTGGCTTAGTCATGCTGGCCACATGACCCGGAAGCTGTACACCGGCTCCCTCGGCCAATAAAGCGAGATGAGCACCGCAACCCCAGAGTCAGCCACCACTGGACCTAATGGTCAGGGGTCCCTTTACCTTTAAACATGACAAAATGCAGTACTGCCCGCATGTACATTACTCAACACCTGGTGGCTAGCAATTAATTTAATACATTTAAAGCCCATCTCCCCTTCTCATAGTGGAAGGGGAATGTGTTCCCACACATTGTGGTACTGATGGAACTAGCTCCCTCCCAATCCCTAGGATTACAGGGAGGGGGAAAATCTCCTGATGTTACTGCAAGCAACACATTTAATCTAAGGGGTAGTTAAGGCCACTAGTGTAGGATTGAAGACTTCATGAGTTAGGCTAATTGCACTCAGCTGTATTTTTAGTTTAATTGTTTTAATTGCCAGCTGTGATTCCCCCCTCCTTCCAAAAAGGCAAATGAGGCAAAGGGCCTCTCCTAATAATAATAATAATAATAATAGTAACAATAATAGTAATAATAATAATAATAATAATAATAAGTTTGTCTAGATCTTATCACTGTGGGTATTATTACCATTTGAGGAAGGAAAACCTATGAAGGGTGGGGGGAGAAGACTTTAAAGAAATTGATGAGGAGTGTCAGCTTGATATTAGCAATACTGATGTGCTCATTCCTTTCAGCGTATAACGGCTGCAGCTATCACTACCGTATGTAGCAGAGCTAACACGGTGTTGTATTCGCAGCTCCCCCGACCCCTGTAATAAAGGCAGAAGAATGCAGTGTGTGTTGGGACGCTGCCACCATCCGATGGAGCACCAGTAACCCAGAAGCAACAGACTCTTTCACGCTCGAGTACTGCAGACAGTATTCTCCTGAAGGAGAAGGTCTGAGGTCAGTCCCCTGTGCTCTGAAATGCAGATGGGCTGGATTGGAAGCTAAAAGGAATGTTCCAGGATTGGGATTATTTTGAGGGGAAATAATTTTGTGCGGCTCGATCTTCCTAAGAAAGAGAGATCAGCTTTGCAATGGAGATTAACATTTGTGCCAGATGCTAATCTCTGAGATTATACTCGGAAAATCAGAAATACCTTTAATTTGTGCTACTAAAGAACAAAACTACTAGAGACTAAGCCCCAAAGGCTTCCTTGGGTCCTGTCCAAGCCATCCAGAAATGGATTAAATATACGAGGCCTTGGGCTGACCTATCTGCATCCTATGCATGCTGTTGAGTTCATCTGCAAAGACAGCAAGGCCGACATAACTGCAGCACTCTTCCTAACTGCTATCCACTCAGTGGATAATGCTGTATCAGAGATACAGCAGTTCAGATTCTATGTGGACGTATACCAGCTTCTCAGTCTGCTAGGTCAAGGGCTCTCACGCTAGGAAATGGGTGAGTTTTAATGTTCTGCAACAGAGGAATCCAACATAATGGTTGTGCCAATGGAAACTTGGTGCGTAACAGATTCCACTTGCGCAGCTCTGCTCCACTGGTGTGAAACATTTTGCCAGTGGAACAAGAATATCAGTTGCTTTATATGCCACTACATTGTGTACAACCCTAAACTGATATTGTTCAGCCTGATGGAATGATTGTTATAAAGAGACAATGGGATATCCCTCCTATATGCTTCCCTGAGCTGCTTGGTGGACCTGTGGGCTATGAGTGAAATAAACATACTGAGCAGATCTCCGCTGTCTCCCCCACCTGCAAAATAATAATAATGCACTAGATCAGCTTTCTCCCAACCTGGCACCTTCCAGATCTTCCCCAGCTGGCTGGTGCTGATGCTGCATTGCAATCCTAAATATCTGGAAGGCACCAGGTTGGGAAGGGATGCCCAGGTGATGGAGCATGTGATGGAGGGGGAATTGTACCATGCTCTGAGCTTAGGAGCCCAGTCCTGGAAGAAGGATGGTGATGTTCTTCTTATCAGTGAATTCCTTAGCTGGAAAAGGATAAGTTAGGAGGCTCCCATTTTGCTTGTGCCACCTCCTCTAGAGTTTACTTAGCATAATGGTTCATTTGGACCTGAGAACCATTTTCTCTTCCTGTTTTTTGTTTGCATTTTGTTTTGCTGGCAAATGCAAGTTGTTAAAGGGAGCAATGTGTATTTGCATACTGGCCTCCATCCCGGGAGCTGTGTCGGGTCCTGGGGAAAGAAGGATGAGCTCCAGAGCAAAGACTGGGGTAATTAATTCATTAGTTGAAGGCAGGAACAGAGCACTGCTATGATTCAAAAAAGCTTCTTTTATTTTATTTTTGCAATTCATTTAGTGGTTGCACATTTTGTTTAAATTTGGGTGTGTGTGTGGGGAGTTTTAAGCAGCTTTGCAACTTTTCTGTGATATTGACTCCTGGGAACACTCAGTTGGTAGAGTATGAGACTCTTAATGTCATGGGTTCGAGCCCCAAATTGTCCAAAAAAATTCCTGAGTTCCAGGGCATTTGACTAGATGACCCTTCCAACTCTACAGTTCTGTAATTCTTTGAGAGGGAAAGCTCTCCCTTCCAGATCCTCTGAAGACCTGCCACACTAAAGAAGCCATATTTCCCCAGACAGAAGGTGCGTACACAAAACATGCTGGTTGCATGAAATAGCCACCAAAATCACTACTGTGACATCTTATCTCAAGCACACGGTCTATTTGTGCTTGTGATCGCCTTTGAAGAACAGAAATGATGTTCACAAGCTCTTCATTCTTGCCACATCTGCTGTGTTTATTACAGCTTTGTGGAGACACAGAAAGCTGTCTGTTCAAAACAGCTTGCAGTAGCAAAACTTGCTGAAGGAACACTTTTGTCTCCCTGTGATCAAAATTAAGAAGAGAGCAGCACTCAAAACCTGAGTAGAATTTTAGATGCATTAACACTGCTTTGTGTTATGGAACATGATTTGAAAATCAGTCTTGCTCTGAGCATTTGTTACCTGGGTGAAGAGTAAGGTCCAACCTGAAACCAGGCCTACTCCACATGGACAGAAGGTGCTTTGATAACAGATTCCATCACATGTTTTTTTTAAAAAATCTCTGTATCAAGTAGCTTGCTGTCCCAAACTGTTGAATGGTTTCTTTAAATGTAAAGGTTCATCACTGTTCCACCCGATGTGTATGTCTTTAAGGGGCCAGAGCAAGGGCCAGAGCAAGATAACGAGACCCAGCTTTACAGCTGTGAAACATAGCAGGTGCTGCTGAGTTCTGTTGATTAAGCTGTGTTGGCAATTGGGTGTAGTATATAAGGAGCAGCACTTAGCTCTCCCATTACCCTGGGGGATGGGTTGGTGGTTGGGTCATGTTTGTTTGTTCATGTATTTAGTGTAAAAGGAGTTTTTGTTTTTCTTATTAAAACCTTGTTTAAGTTATTTTTGAGTCCCTTTTGAGTGCATGGTCTCCCCAGCAAGCTCTCTGCAGTGCTACCATACTGCAAAAAGCCAACACAAACTAGACTCATCTAAATGTTGCCATAACATAGCGCTTTAATGTCAGGGTGGGGAGAAATTGGGTGGGTTTGGTTCACATTTTAATGCAAACCTGCCAAATTCACACTCCTGGGGAAAAAACAGCTATCTGATGAAATTTGCATTTGCCAAATTTCTAGTCCACAGATGAGAGAGAGATTTGCTTTGCCTCACATTTTAATGCAAACCTATTTGATTTGTATTCCCAAAATGATATGCAAACTAAAATGAAGCTTGTATTTCTCTGCATTGTTTGATGCTGTTATCCAATCAAGTAATATGTTTATTAGGGGAAAGTGCATTATATTACAGATGGTGCTTTGCAAGAATGTGTCAATTAGGAAAACTTTCATACAAAAGTGTGTACAAGAGGAGAAATGCACACTTTAATGATGCTGAATTTTCATGATGACTTTTTGGGGGCTTGGGGAAATCACAAACTGATACAGAAATCTGGACGATTGAATTTAAGACTGGAAAAATGAGAGAAGTTGAGAACTCATCCATCCCTGTTCGAGTCCCCAGTCTATAAAGGTAAAGGGGTAAAGGGACCCCTGACCATTAGGTCCAGTTGTGACCGCCTCTGGGGTTGCGGCGCTCATCTTGCTTTATTGGCCGAGGGAGCTGGTGTACAGCTTCCGGGTCATGTGGCCAGCATGACTAAGCCACTTCTGGCGAACCAGAGCAGCGCACGGAAACGCCGTTTACCTTCCTGCTGGAGTGGTACCTATTTATCTACTTGCACTTTGATGTGCTTTCGAACTGCTAGGTTGGCAGGAGCAGGGACCGAGCAACCGTCGTGGGGATTCGAACTGCCAATCTTCTGATCAGCAAGTCCTAGGCTCTGTGGTTTAACCCACAGCGCCACCCTCGTCCCTTCCCCAGTCTATAGCAAACATCAAATCCTTGCTTTTTCTCTGAGTGATGTTTCTATCCTGCTGCAAACAGCAGCAAAGAAAATGGGATAAATCCTAGCAGCCTGGCTCTCTAGCTTCACTTGAGGTCCATGATAAAGAATGCTTAGCTAGAGGGAAAGCTATGGAGAGCTATTTTTGTGGCTGGTTTCTCTTTATTTCCCTTAAATAAAAGAAAACAAATTATGGAAGGCATAATTCCTTGTGTCTTTCATACAGAAAGAGGGGAATTGAATCAGCAATAAAGCAAATTTCCTAGAATCATCAAAGGAAGCCGCAAATGAGGGTCATTGATTCAGCAAGCAGTTGGATAAATGCAGCTGGGAGAATATAGCAGTAAAGTCTCTTGATGGGAAGTAAATTTTGTTTTATTTTTATTTTTTAAAAATAGAAATAAAATGCCATTTATATTCCAGCTTAACTTTCTCCTACAGTGCACCAACATTATGGCTTTACAAGTTAGAAGTAATATCATACCAGAGGGTTTCCCCTAATAACAAACCCCTAATGGAAACATAAATATTTATAATTAATTACTGTTACTGCATTATTACTTTTATAAATATATATCTGTATACATATTTATGGGTGTGGAGAGTCTCCTTCAGGTGTACAGGGCTGAGGCCATTTAGGGTTTTAAATTTCAGCACCAACACTTTGATTTGGGCTCGGAAATGTACTTGGGGTCTTTCAGGACTGGTGTGATATGGTCCCAGTGGCTTCTCCCAGTTACCAGTCTACCTGCCGCATTCTGGATTAGTTGTAGTTTCCGAGTCACCTTCAAAGGGAGCCCCACATAGGGCATATAGCTCAAGAAGGAGATAACCAGGGTATGTACCACTCCAGCAAGACAGTGTGCAGGTAGGTAGGGTCTCAGCCGGCATACCTGATGGAGCTGGTAGACACAGAATTAACCTGTGCCTCCATGGACAGCTGTGAGTCCAAAATGACTCCCAGGCTGCACATCTGGTTCTTTAGGGGCACAGCCACTCCATTCAGGACCAGGGAGCCCGCCACACCTGCCCGCCCTCTTTCCCCCAGAAACAGTACTTCTGTCAGGATTCAACTTCAATCCGTTAGCCGCCATTCAATCTGCTTCTCTTCATTCCTTCATTTGGTAAATGGCTTATCTGTTAGCTGTAGTGTAAGGAGCAATGCGGACATGTAGCATATTTACTTGGAAGTAAGACCCATTAAATCCAATGGAATTTACTTCCTACTGCATGTGCAAAGGATTACACCCACGGTTAGCAGAATGTGGAGTTTTCTATAACTGGTCAAATTTCCAATCATTTCTCCTGAACAGAAGTTGAATCAAGTTAGTTCTGGCGGTTCCCTCGCTGCGAGAAGCCAAGTTACAGGGAACCAGGCAGAGGGCCTTCTCGGTAGTGGCACCCGCCCTGTGGAACACCCTCCCACCAGATGTCAAAGAGAAAAATAACTACCAAAATTTTAGAAGACATCTGAAGGCAGCCCTGTTTAGGGAAGCTTTTAATGTTTAATAGGTTATTGTATTTTAGTGTTTTGTTGGAAGCCGCCCAGAGTGGCTGGGGAAACCCAGCCAGATGGGCGGGGTATAAATAAGAAATTATTATTATATTGTTATTATAAGGGATGCGGGTGGTGCTGTGGTCTAAACCACTGAGCCTCTTGGGCTTGCCGATCAGAAGGTCAGCGGTTCAAATCCCCACGACGGGGTGAGCTCCCATTGCTCGGTCCCAGCTCCTGCCAACCTAGCAGTTCAAAAGCATGCCAAAAAGTACAAGTAGATAAATAGGTACCGCTCTGGCGGGAAGGTAAAAAGCTCTTCCATGCGCTGCTCTGATTTCGGTGTTCCATTGCACCAGAAGCAGCTTATTCATGCTGGCCACATGACCTGGAAAAACTGTCTGCGGACAAATGCCTGTAAAGCATGATGAGCGCTGCAACCCCAGAGCTGTCCGCGACTGGACTTAACTGTCAGGGGTCCCTTTACCTTTACCTTTACCTTTGGTTCATTATAAGTCAGAGGGAGGAGAAGCAAATGTTGATTAGCAATTTGTACAGAACCAACACTGAACCTGACAAAGCAGCCATTGCCAGCTGTGAAGTTCACCTTCATCCTCCCTGCCTGTAGGAGACGCTGTAAAAGAATTCCTGCTGCATTCATCCCCACTAATTCCCAGATAATTCAGTTGCATTGCTTACAATGATCCTACTGATAAAGCACTGACGTGCATAACAGTTCACCATTTTTTATGTGTAGTAAAAGAGAACATTGTACATTAGAGGGGAAGAGGAGAAGCACAGTTAGTCAAAAGCAATAGAGTTTGATTGTAGCCAAAAGCAATAGAGTTTGATTCCCATAACTTTTTTGCAAGGGGGGGGGGCAGGGCGGGGCAGGGAAGAATCCAAAAATTGTAGAATGTGCTTAGGATCTTCCTGTCTTAGAGGAAGAGTAATGGTACCTTTAAAAAGTAATGTATTTTGTCCCTTTTTTTCTTATGTCCTCTGCATTCTGTCAAAAGCTCTCATAGCAACCGCGTAATCTTGAAAGACTGCCAGGATCTGTCACGCTCTGCTAGTACAATGGAGCCATTCTATTTTCAGTGGTACTTAAAGTGCGTAGCTGTAGTATATAGACTCTGCTATATAGACCATCTGTAGTGCTCAGCGTATTTTAAAAGACTGATTACCTCACCACCACCTTCTTCTGTGATAGGAGTGACATAGAGCTTATCCGCACTTCCCTTTTGCCTTGCTGTTTCAAGGCACAGATCTGTGCTTAAAAGCTCTGCGTCTGAGCATGGGGGAGGTTTTTGGCCCTGAGCTTTCTCCATGAAAAACTGCTCTTTAAAGCTCAATTGGAGCAAATGTCAATTTGGGTTCTCTGCAGATTGCTGTTTGCTCCAGGTGAGCTCCAGGTGGGTTTTCATGTGGAAAGCAAACAAAAGTCAGGCACTCTCACACAGAGCATGAACCATGCCTGGAAAGAGCAGAGGAAAGGTAAGGTGGATAAACCTATTGTTCACATTAGTTTGATAGTTTACATTATATTAAACCCCAAAGCTGATCTGGAGACGAAGAAATGAACGAACCATTCCCCCCTTTGCTGTGATCAATATCTTAGCAGTACATTATCTATGCTCTTCCCTTGCTGTCATTGTAGTTACACTAGCTCTAGGGCGGGGTACCTCAGGTCCGGAGGCCAAATGTACCCCTCTAGCCCTCTTTGTCTGGCTCCTTGGGCTATACCTCAGCTCCAGGCCACATTCCTCAATGTGCTCCACATCCTCCACAATGTGTTCCTGCTCCACATCCCCTTCTAGTTCATTTACCTGGCTGGAAGGTGCCCTTGAACTGTAATAATGCTGAGAACTATAGCTTGCCAAGGGTGCTGAGAGTTGTTTAAAAAAGGTAAAGGACCCCTGACAGTTAAGTCCAGTCGCGAACGGCTCTGGGGTTGTGGCGCTCATCTCGCTTTACTGGCCGAGGGAGCCGACGTTTGTCTGCAGACAGTTTTTCCGGGTCATGTGGCCAGCATGACTAAGCTGCTTCTGGCGAACCAGAGCAGTGCACGGAAACGCCGTTTACCTTCCCGCCGGAGCGGTACCTATTTATCTACTTGCACTTTGACGTGCTTTCAAACTGCTAGGTTGGCAGGAGCAGGGACCGAGCAACGGGAGTTCACCCCATCGCAGAGATTCGAACCGCCAACCTTCTGATCGGCAAGCCCAAGGCTTGGTGGTTTACACCACATAATGCTTGGGGAAGGGAGCCATGACTGGTGTAGGAGTCATTTCACTCAAATTGTTATTTCTTTAAAACTTTTTATACCCTGCCTATCTGTCATTAAGTAAATAAACTCCCAAGGTGACCCACATTGGACATACCTTGCCATGTAGCATTCTGCCTGTGCAGTTCTGTTACGAGTTGTTCCCATATGGGAGGGTTGACTGCATTCGACTGCTTATCTCTGTTCGCAGTGAGTGTGCGTTTGTTTTCCTGCGCTTGCTGCATATGCTGGCACTTCCTCGGAAATGTGGAACAGCTAGCATTTGTTATGTGAAAATATTGTGGATGTGTGGATGATATGTAGGAGGGCACTGGTATCCGAGTGCCAAGGCCCTGCGCATATACTGCTCTAGTCTTCATTAAGGCTGCACTGAATATTCTCTAGTTTGCCATGAAATCAGCACACTTGACACAGGCAACCTATGGGGGGTGGGGAGTACCCACTTTGCTGAACGTGTGAATAATATCAGTGGTCTTTGCTACCACTTAGATCCCTTGGTTGCTGCTTTTGCCTGACTATTGGCCATGGTGACTGGGGCTGATGGGAGTTAGAGTCATAGAATCATAGAATCTTAGAGTTGGAAGAGACCCCAAGGGTCATCTAGTCCAACCCCTGCAATGCAGGAATCTCAGCTAAAGTATCCATGACAGATGGCCATCCAACCTCTGCTTAAAAACCCCCAAGGAAGGAGAGTCCACAACCTCTCAAGGGAGACCATTCCACAGTTGAACATCATTTACTGTCAGAAAGTTTTTCCCTGTTGTTTAGTCGGAATCTTCTTTCTTGTACAGTGGTACCTTGGGTTACAGACGCTTCAGGTTACATATGCTTCAGGTTACAGATTCCGCTAACCCAGAAATAGTACCTTGGGTTAAGAACTTTGCTTCAGGATGAGAACAGAAATCGTGCGGCGGTGGTGGCTGCGGCTGTGGGAGGCCCCATTAACTAAAGTGGTACCTCAGGTTGAGAACAGTTTCAGGTTAAGAATCAACCTCAAGAATGAATTAAGTTCTTAACCTGAGGTACCACTGTAACTTGAAGCCATTGGTTCGAGTCCTACCCTTCAGAGCAGGAGAAAACAAGCTTGTTCTCTCTTCCATGTGAAGGCCCTTGAAATATTTGAAGATGGCTATCATATCTCCTCTCAGTCTATTCTTTTCCAGGCTCAACATACCCAGCTCCTTCAACCATTCTTCATAAGGCTTTGTTTCCAGACCAGCAACATCTCAAAAGTCTCAGGTTTCCCATCCCTGATTTAGGTTTTGTTCACTGAATGTGGGTATTCAGAGCAGACCCTGCCACTGACATCCCCCTTCCCAACTGCAACACACCAACTGGACAGGTGACCTCTGTCACTGATGCTAACCAGGAGCACAAATGTTCACCTGATTGAAATTACACATGTGCCTTGTTGAATTGAGGCTGTGCAGTCACATTCCCCTTTGACAGGCTACTTGTTTTCATGAAGCCGAGTTATATTTGATTTTGTATTTATTGTATTATTCTGGGATAAGAGTGAAGGAGCCTATACAGTGGTATCTCGGGTTAAGAACTTAATTCGTTCCGGAGGTCTGTTCTTAACCTGAAACTGTTCTTAACCTGAGGTACCACTTTAGCTAATGGGGCCTCCTGCCGCCGTGATGTGATTTCTGTTCTCATCCTGAAGCAAAGTTCTTAACCCAAGGTACTATTTCTGGGTTAGCGGAATCTGTAACCTGAGGTACCACTGTAAATAGGGTCAGATTAAAATGGCCGCTTACCACCTTTCCTGGTGAGCAGTGGTTGCAGCCCAACGCGGCACCTCCTCTCCCCTTTGCCTGTCTCCCTGTCCCCCTCGGCTGCTGCGAAGTCTCACAGGTTCCTGCCAAAACCCGTCCATTCAAATGGGCCAATCCACGGCAGGCTTCCCTCAGGTCCGCCCTCCATCTACTTAGCCCAGCCAACCCCCAAACACGGCACCCAGTTGGGTGCGCCGGGGTTGGGGTCTCTGTGGCTGGGCATGCAAGTAGAATATGAAAGTCTTTGAAATCCACTCTAGCTGAAAACAGCTCTCTTTGAAGTTGGAATGTATTTCAACCCTTCAGGTTTTTTTAATGGCAAAAGGGCATTGTATAAATGAATGAGATGTAGCGACCAGTCCTCTCAAGGTCTCTGATGTAGAACTGTGTTGACAGTGACTGCTGTTTGCTCAGCATAAAGAATATATATGAAGTAAAAAGACATTGAGTATACTTATGAACAAAGAATAATGCTTTAAAAAAGAAATCAACCATAAGAAGATATGTCCTTTATTCTTCAGCTTCTGGTGCTATCTGGTGGAAGCTGGTGAAAAAACAGCTTCTAGCATTACAGTCTGACAACCTGTTTAAGAGCATTGAAGCTGTTATAAGTAGAAGCTCTGTTAATTGTGATGTGGGCATGGATATATTTTATCTCACTATTATCTTCAATCAAGTTTTGGTGCAAAATTTGTTTATCATAAGCTTAAGGGATATCAAAACAATCCCAGTTTCACGCTGCCTTCAGCTCTCTGTTGTATGTCTCCAGTCCAATAGAAGTGTTATTGTGTAGTGTTGGTCTTTTGAGCTGGTGCAGCAAAAAAAGAACGCAACTCCTCACAAACACACCCCTTGTGCCCTGACAGGCTTTGGATACGGCAGTGAATCTGCTGGTCTGCATCCCCGGCCACTCATTAGGATTGCTGTCATCATTTTTCTTTTGTTTCCACTTCATAGTCTTCTCAGTTGTTGTTTTTTTAAATGATATTTATTAAAATTTCAGAAACAAAAAATTACATAGTTAAAGAGAAAAGAAACAAGAGAAAAAATAAAAAAGAGAAAAAACATACAAAATACAAAGTACAGAAAAAAAAAAACCACTTAAAAACAAATTAATCCTTCCGTATCTTACATTTCATTTCCTTGCTTCCCTGACCTCCTCTCACTTCCCTTTTTTGTATTTCAGTTCAATTGGTTAATTCAGCAATTCCTTTCCCTCTTTGTTTTTGTCTTAGTCCTTTAACTTAATATATTATAGCTTTAGATTCTCACCTATTAACAATCCATTTTTACATACACCTTTATGACATTGCTGCTAAAACCACTTAACTTCATTCTGACATCATTCTAACATTCATTAATTTTGCAATATTTCTGTAAATAGTCTTTAAATTTCTTCCAATCTTCTTCCACCGACTCTTCTCCCTGGTCTCGGATTCTGCCAGTCATTTCCGCCAGTTCCATGTAGTCCATCACCTTCATCTGCCATTCTTCCAGAGTGGGTAGATCTTGTGTCTTCCAATACTTTGCAATAAGTATTCTTGCTGCTGTTGTGGCATACATAAAGTTCTATCCTTCTTTAGCACCAATTGGCCGACTATGCCCAGGAGAAAGGCCCTCTGGTTTCTTCAAGAAGGTATATTTAAATACCTTTTTCAATTCATTATAGATCATCTCCCAGAAAGCCTTAATCCTTGGGCACGTCCACCAAAGGTGAAAGAATGTACCCATAGTCTTCTCAGTTTGGACCTGCTTTTGGGGGATTTTGTTATGTCGCCTTTTCTGAAAAGCTGATGCACCAAAGTAGGTTGGCAAGGGGGAGTGGTTCATTGAGATCTCTTCTTGGAAACATGGCTTCTGACAATCTCTTACAGGGAGAGTCTCCAAAGTTCCTTCCCTGTGATCATGCTCATCTTTTTGAAAGGACTGTCTTTCCAAAGGCAGCCATAACATAGCAGTCAGGAACCTTGTGGTTCCATGGGCATCACAGTGACACCTGGTGATTGACAGTTGGGTGGCCCCACTGTTGGTGAACTGCAGGAGGCCAGGTCCTGTTCCTCACCCCCACCATAAATGTTTCTTTTTGAAAACTGCACTTTGGACAATGGTTTCTGTGAGAAAATGCTTTTTACCTTGTTTCTTCTTAGAGTTTTTGTCTAAGTTGGAACTGTTTTGTATCGATACTGATAAAATGTGTATGTGTGTGTAGATATTAAAAAATCCCAAGTTGTCTTCCTCCCCTCTTTAAGGAGAAAAATAAAGGTCCCTTTATTTTTTCCCCTGCTGAGAGAAAAGCAGCTTGAGGGCCAGGAGTGATTTTTGAGAGGGCAAACAGTTATGGATTTTCTTCCACATAATTCAGTATATGTTTATTATATATTTCAGATCCCTGGCTGGAATTAAACGACCTGAAATGAAAGTTCACCTAGAATCCAATGTAAATTATTTCTTTTACGTGAGAGCAATTAACATCTTTGGGACAAGTGAACAGAGTGAAGCTGCTCTCATCTCGACCAGAGGTAGATAAACACTTTCTAACTTGTGGGAAAGGATTCCTTTTTGTCTCGGAAGGAAATGCAAATGCCTTTTAGTAAATTCTGTTGTACATTGTTTCAGTGACAGTGATTACTGTAGGCCTTAAGATTTTGTGATTCACTACAAATGCACAATGTAATAATAATCCCTGAAGTGGTGTTTTATTGCTTTCCTGTGAATCACATCAGGAACTAGATTTCACATAATGAAAGAAACAGCTGCCCCTACTTTGCAAGTGTCACCAAGTGGAACCATGATATGCCTTCCTGAGGAAACTGAAGCCACTGGGTAAGTACTACTCATATTTACTCCTCCTTACTATTGAGCATTATTGTCAACAGGATGTGAAGATCTATGTAGGTTAGGGATGAGAGAAATTCATTTCAGTTTGCCTCGAAGCATGAAACCACCAAATTAGCAATTTCCAAACCAAAACACAACCAATTCAATTCTTAATTCAGTTCAGAACCAAGGAGTGTGTACAAAAATGTGTGTACTAGGGTGAAAGAATGCGCAAATTGGTGAAAATAGCATACAAAATGCATTATATTATGCAAAATTGCTTTGTAAAAATCTATACTGGGCACATCTCCCTCTCTCTCTCTCTCTCTCTCTCTCTCTCTCTCTCTCTCTCTCTCTCTCTCATTACTGAACTGGTTGGATTAAAAACAAAGCCAAACATTCCTATCCTGAATATTCGACAACGGACAAATTTCAATATGCATACATAAAAAAATGCAACACAGGCTTGTTTCTTCTTTTGAGGCAGGTGAAATCTCACTGTTAAAGGTGAAGACCCGGGGTCAGCAAGCTTTTTCAGCAGGCGGCCGGTCCACTGTCCCTCAGACCTTGTGGGGGGCCAGACTATACTTTGAAAAAATAATAATGAATGAATTCCTATGCCCCACAAATAACTCAGAGATGCATTTTAAATAAAAGGACACATTCTACTTATGTAAAAACACGCTGATTCCCGGACCATCCATGGGCCGGATTTAGAAGGCGACTGGGCTGGATCTGGCCCCCAGGCCTTAGTTTGCCTACCCATGGTGAAGACATTGGACCTTTCTGATGCCAAAGGTTCAAACCATTCTTTGACTTTGGCCAATATAATGCTGCATTTGTTTCTGTTATTTCTGTGTGCAGCATCTCCCCAGTACTGGGTGAGCTCCTGTCTGCTCGAGGATGGCACTACTGGGAAACAACTGTGAGTGACTGTTCAGCTTACAAGGTTGGGATCTGCTATTCTACTATGCCACAAGACAGCATCCTGGGGCAGAACAATGCTTCCTGGTGCTTGCATTGTCCTAGCAAGACAAGGTAATAAAGAACATCTTATTTTTTAAAAAAGCTGTGAAATTACATGTCCTTTCCAGTCTATTCCTTCTCCTCCCTTCCCCTATGGATGCATGGGTGTGTGTTGATTTTCTATTTGTAAGCCACTGGAAGAGGTACGTGGCAACTTTCAAAAGGTATACAGCGCTTACAGGGGCGTCATTTATTATTAAGTGTTGTACTTCTGCATCCCTCAAGGTTCCCCCAGATTCACTGGAAATTTTGTTTGTGGGTAGTGCTGCTAGGCCTACAAAATGATCAGCTTGGCACCACCAAAGTTGAGCATTAGAGGGAGTGATAAATAAATAGTGATGTGTTGCCTTGGAGGACAGCTTGGATGTTATGGAAAGTGGCAAGAAGCATAAGCACAAGTGATGTCCAAAGGAGGACGTCTTTGGACATCTTCTTGTATGTTGAGATTGTGGGAATGTTCAGGATGGCAGGAGAGGATATATTGTTTATTAACATTCTTCCTAACTTGCACTAGCAACTCATATGTCTCAGTGCAGGAGAGATGTGCAAATGCTCCCTCCAGATGTTACACTAGTGGCATGGAATATGGATCCTTAGTTGCACATTGGCTAAGCAACAGCTGGGGGCAGCAAGATGAGGTTCACGATGCATTGGGTGGAATGTTAGCCCTTTATCCGTGCTCTGTAATAAGCTGCTATCAGCTGCAGGAGGGAAACATCTATTGGCACCCAGTTTCCTTTGCCATGATTACAACAACCCTGTGAAAAAGGCCCATTTGCAGCTGGGGTACTGAGTCTGAACGCTTAGGATTATAGTGTCTCAAAGAAATCCCATCTCAATATTTTTTTTCTGGATGGCACAACTTTCATCAACCGAAATAGGAGCAGAAATTCGAGCCTCTGGAATTTGTAGCTGTAATGAATACTCCAACCACAAGATCGACCCGTCTGTTCCCTGGTCTGATTTTCCTGTGTATGTGAGACATTTCTACCATAGCTGCTTCACCCGAGGTCATCTTGATGATTTAGCAGGTGACAGGGCGAAGGAGAGGGATGTTTTTTTGGAGAGAATCCAGGACTCTGAAAGGCTGGATGATTGGTGACTGAGAATAGTGCTCTGATGATATACTCCCTGTCCTCTACACTGGCAGATAAGGTTACGCCGTGGGTGCTTCTTAGGCTTCCACTTTCCATAATCTGATCAGGAGTTTTAGTATTACAGCCATAACCATCAATGGCAGGTTATATTTAATGCTTGTAATGTTGCATTTCAAGGTGCCCGCTTCCTGAAATATTTTATAGTATGTAACACATTTCAAGTGTTTAATTTGCATCACATAAATTATCTCAGGAACAGCTCTGTGCAACAGGTCAGAATTATTTGTCCTGTGTGATCATTTACTTCTGTGTAGAACTGGGTGTGCAGAGGGGATTGACCCAGAGGGGACTGGAATTGCATCGTCTAGACCCACTCCTAATCTCTGTCCATTCAAGGTGTGGTATCTACAGGAGCCTATGTGTTTTTACCCAAATGTATGTAGGCTTCCTATGCACAATGGTGGTAACTGGACCTCATGCTAAAACATGGTTTATCATGATGGGAATGAGCTGAGGATATCTTTGGATTCATGCACTTCTCCCTCCCCATTCCTGCTTTGGTATGTCTGTAAAGAGATGCTTTCACAAACTGCAGCTTGTCCAAACCTGACAAACTGTGGTTGATCTTTAACTATCACCTGCTGAAACAAACCAACGTCAAACCATGGGCTATGACTTTGGCTTGTTTCCAACAAGCCATTGTTTAAGCTAACCACCTGGAAATGAATGAATGATTACACAAAGTTATTACTTTAATGTTTTGGGTGGGGGAGGGACTGTGGCTTAGGAGCGACCTGCGTATTTATTAGGGAAGTAAAACCCGGAATAGTCCATCCATCCAGAATGACCTAATGCTTGTGTTTGGCGTCTCCTAGGTCTGTCATTTGATTAATCACTTGACTTTCAATCAATTACATTGAAATAAATTCCAGAGTTGCAGTCATGTTAGTCTGCTGCTGCAAAATCAACAGAGGGTTTTGTGGCACCCTAAAGACTAATAAATTTTATTATGACATAAGCTTTCATGGAGAGGAGTGAACCCTTAGACTGCAATAAAAGTTGTTAAGTCTTTAAGGTGCCACAGGACTCTTTGTTGATTGAAATAGATGTGCATATTATAGCAAAACATTTACAATGGGTGTCCTTTGGAGGATGCCAAAGGAAAAGCAGTTTTCTCTGCAGTGTGAAACATTCACTTTACTAAACAAAGCAAAAGCGACTGTTCAGGGTTAAAAGCTAAGGCCACCCTTGCTGCTTTGCTCTGCAACATGGGAATGTGGAATGCTTGTCTGCAATAAAAGGCCACAGAGCCAAATGCAATTCCATCAGTACCACTGAGGATCCAAAGTTAAAAGAGACATTGTCAGAAGCTTCTGTTGCTTTTGATATTCACCTTGAAATGCAAAAATATCTGCTGACTTTGAACAGATACTGCTAGTAAAAGCCATCTTCGCTTTTTTCATCAAGCTTGGCACAGCAGGTGGCTCTATATTGCGGGGGGGAGGACAACACGCTAAAACAAATGACATAAAATGACCCTTGGAATGCATTGCTTCCTTCCAAATGAATATACAAATATGCTGAATTGGCCAAAGGACCATTAGAATGCATTAAAACAAGAGTGATGGATTGCTTGCTCATATGGCCGTTTTAAGGAACTGTCTCCAAAGGAACAACTGGGGTAAATAGAATAAAAAAGTCCTTCAAATAGCCATTGAAATGTATTGGTATAAGCTGGATCTGGGTAAATTGCCCTCTTCGACACCCCATCACTCCATCCTCATAGAAATCAACTGTGTGTGTGAGTGCTACTCATAGGCATGCATTGAGAAAACTTGGATCCAGATAAATTGTGTGGGCTGGCACTACCATTAAAGAGAGCGAGGCGATTGCAGCTGTTGAGCAGCAGTGGTGGCAGCCTGCTAGTTGTTCCTCCTCAGCCGTCTGGCCATTCCTGTCTGTTCTCAAACAGATCTGTGTGAGCCATGCAGCCAGGCCTACACCTCCTAAGTTAACCGGCCACCTTAGGCACAGTGGATGGGGACCCTTTTTGGCCCATCATGCCAAATCCTTACCTGTCCCTACCCAAGCAGGCCAACTTTCATTGCGGACAACCCACCTGCCAAGCACCTGGCGTCATTATGATACCAGATGATTGACAGGTGGGCTGTCTCACCCATCCATCAAAGTCCCTTTGTGCAGCACTCAGGGGAATCATAGATGTGTAAAGTTGGAAGGGACCACGAGGCCCCTCTAGTCCAACCCCCTGCAATGCAGGAATCTTTTTGCCCAACGTGGAGCTCGAACCCATGTCCCTGAGATTAAGAGTTTCGTGCTCTACCAACTGAACTATTCTGGGAGGGCCAAGCAGTTGGCAGTGAGCTGTGTGTCACAGCGCTTCTCAACTGCCTAACAGCCAGCTTGGAAACTGCAGCACAAGGCAGAGGGCAGATGGTTCCGTCAGGCAAGCAGACATGGAGCAATGATTACTGCTATGCTGAAATCCTCCCAAGGTTTGGCAATTCTGACTACACCGTTCATCCGGCTCCAGACTCCATCGTTCCTTCATCGAATCATAACGCTTCCAAAATCATTGCAACCCGCTACACATTGTTGCATATATTACATAATCAGAACCAGATAGTACTCCCTTATTTTTACCGCAGCACTGATCTGCACCAAAGGGGAGCATTTCAATGCGTGAAAATGTATTAAAGTTTTAGCTGCTAAGGGTTTCCATTTGCTAATATCTGGCAGATAGAAAGAAATATTGCAATAGGCTGTGCAGTGAATTCTTGTTGACCTAATCTTGCACTCTTCTGCAGTTTCCTATATAAGGTCCTCCATCGTGGTGAAATGAGTGATGTCATTGTGACAGAACAGCCCCCCCGCATTGGCATTCTGCTGGATTTTAATGCTGGAAGACTCTTATTTTTCAACGCGGAAAGAGGGCAGCTCCTGTTTGCCATCCGGCAGAAATTCACCGATGCTGCTCACCCTGCCTTTGAGTTGGAGGAAGCAGGAGTCCTTCACCTGCATACGGGCATGGAGCTTCCAGAATTTGTCAAGCAAAGCTAAACATTTTCTTTCGAACTACGTGCAAGGCACACACACACAAAAAGCGGATAGAATGTGCTTGGGGTGGCCTTGTTTCCTTCTTCTAAGATAAGTTAATGTTTAAGAACTACAAGCCAGAGAAATGCTCTGTGAACTCAGTGGCTTCAACAGGACTTCCATCATACATTCCCCCTTGCCAACACTACTTCGTAAAGTATTTTTTATACTTGGGGGAAGTTTCAAAAGCAGATCAAGGAAGCTCCTCTTAGGAACAAAAGTGTAAGGTTATTCACAGAGCCCACATAACTCACCCACATGCGAAGTCCCTGGGTGGTGGTTAACTCTCTTCCCAATTTGTTTTTATTCACTGGAATCATTCACATAAGGAGCACGTGCGCGCGCGTGCACAGACACACACACAGCCATAGCTCAGTATTAGAGCATCTGCTTTGCAGATTTGATCCCCATCATCTCGGGGTAGGACTAGGAGAGACCGCTCTCTGGTGCCCTGAAGAGCAGCTGCTAACACGACTGAGCTAGACTGACCGGAAGTTTGACTCAGTATTAGGTTCTGTGATCCTACATAGCACAAAGACACACAAGTTATCTCTTTACTTACTACTTTCTGTGATGCATACTGAAGGACTGCCAAAATGTTTGTGCTACACTCACTGCGGGTGGGTGCCAGGAACTTCTCCATTGGTCCCTTTTGAAATGAATTGATTCCAATGCATTTTCACAGGGCCCAGCAAGAATAAATTATTGGGAGGAGTGTGCTCATTGTCTGCAATCCAGCTAGTCGAGGACTGACCCACACAGGCCTACCTCTAGTCAAGATGGGTGGGGCTGCTAGGATTTGGGGAGAGGGGACTGCTTTCAGTCTCTACACCCCATATAATCTCTGACCAGGTTAGCACTCCTATTGATATTAATAACATTGCCCATCTTGATTTCAGTTACACTCATTTTTATTTTTATTTTTGACTGACAGGCAGAGCCTGGCACCTCAAGTGTGGCACATATAAACATATAGAGTTCCCAATCTGCTAGGATGTATGAGCATAAAATGCTGGATTCTTACTGTGTTGTCCTAACATTTGGGGCCTAACTGGATCAGGACAGTTTGTTCATATGAAAATTATTCTAATACTGTTTTAATGGTATTACGTGCAATTAAAAAATTAAAAACGAACAGGTTTTATTTCCAATGTCTTTGCCCAGAAAAAACAATATACCATTCAGTGCTTTAAAAAGAAGTGGGAAATGTTTCTGATGTGTGAACAATAATGTGACAGCTTTCTGAAATTGCTCTTCTTGATGGTGATGAGTGTTTATTGTAGTATCAGTGCTGCACATGTATGCAGATTTTTCCAGCACCCACACAGCGTTGTTGGCATCAAAATGCCAGCCCTTATTCCCCCTACCCCCATTTAGTCTGGATTTACCCTATCTGGGTAAATATGTTAAGTAAAAAAAAGACACAACAAAAACCCATTTGTGATACCCATTTTTAATATTAAGCTGTCAAATGGAAGAACACTAAAATGTAGGGAAACATACAAGGTTTCACCAAGCTTTACATACCTGTTATCTGGTGCTCACAATCACAGAAGGAGAAAGCACGTTCCACAAGCATCTGATGATGTGTCACCATTTATTCCTGTTGAGCATGCCTATTTGGGTTGTTCTCACAGAAATCCCAATACATCATTAAAAAAGGAGAGACTTCATGTTTTCCCTCTTTCCAGCCACTGCCCTACCCAATTTCTGTTTTTGTTTTTTTATAATGATGAATTTGCAATGTGGCACCTGGGCTAGATCTACACTGACCTGTTTAACGTTATTAGAACGTTATTAGTTATTATGTTCTGGAACATCACAGGGCATACTTGTAAATGAAAGCATTTCTTTACCTTTAAGATTTTGACCCAAGGCAAAATCTTAAATGACAGGCTCCTTTAAAAGGAAATGTAAAAGACAAAGAGGGTTTATTTAAGGGAAACATACTAGAAAATAAAATAAGGCATGTAAGAAAGCTAGTTAAACAACCTATGATACTTATATCGGAGTGTTGTCAAGCCTTGCTCCTGTGACTTCCTCATGACTTGTCTTGATACCATTGCAGCACTGAATTGTGCACCTTAGGGACATGGTCCCCGTTTGCTCCAATGTGAGTTTTCTGTCAGGGAACTGCCATCAGCTCAGGGGCGAGAGGGGAAAAGCCGGATGGATTACAGAGAGCCCCCAAAGATCGTGGGAAGTAGCACCTCCTCAGCGGAGGAGCGTAGCCACGCCTCTAGTGGAGATGCAGGGCTCGGGGGAGGTGAGGCGGAGCAAAGTGGGGAGGAGAGAGGTCCTCTGTTACCCACGCCTTCTGTGCGCAGTAGGGTTCCGTGCAGAGAGAGGAGGCGCAGACTGGGTGTCAAGAAACTACTCTGCTGGGGAAAGTTTAAGGACCGCACACTCTCAGATTCTGCCAGTGAATGAGTGAGACACGGAATAGAGGCACTCTGCATTCCAAAGGTTTTTATCACCGATAAGAAAGCTGTAAAACACACTATTGAAGCATATTGCCTGATTGCTCTGGAGCAACCAACCTATGCCCCTTACATTTTCCTTCCTCATTATTAGTATTATTTACAGTAGCAAAACATGAAAATACGTAACATAATAACAAACAAAGCAATAGCACCCCCCAACGGTAATAGCCACATGGCTTTCTGTGTGTTTTTTAGCAGTATCTCAGCTGAGAACAGTCGCTCCGACCCCAAGTCTGATATTTATTTATTTTAAACCTATAATGTAATTGCTAAGAATCTTGCTAGTTTCACATGTAGTTAGGCCTTAATTCAGCGATGGGAATCTGAGGCCCTCTAGATGTTGCTGTACTCCGACTCCCATCATTCCTGATCACTGGCCATGCTGGCTGGAGATGATGGAAGTTGCAGTCCTACAAAATGTTTGCAGGGCCAAAGGCTCCCCCAACTCTGCTCTGAATGCAAGCTTTAATTCTGTTGAAGAAATGTGTTCTTTATTACTTATTGGCTCTAGTCCAGTTCTCCAGCCTGTCAAGATCAAGATCATTTTGAATCTCTTCAATGGTCTTGGCTCCCCCTCTTAGATTTGTATCTTCTGCAGATTTGATTAGCATTCCCTCTACATTTTCATCCAAGCCACTGATAAAAACGTTGCACAGCATGGCATTGCCCTCAGTACTTCCCTCCGGCCTGATGCAGAGCCATTAATATCATGGTGGTTCTTCAACCAGCTATAGATCCACCTAACAGTGGGCCAGATTTTGCCATCTTGTCAACGAGGATATCATGGGGGACACTGTCAGATGTTTTGCTCAAATCAAAATATTCTGCATCCACATCATGAGTGAGCATGAGTGACTGCCAGCACACGTTCTACATTTACTAATACAGAGGCCCAGACAGAGGAAGAGGCAGCCGAGACCAGGAGCCTATTGCTGTGATCTGCCACTTTCTTCCTCATCCTTCTCTGCGGGTAGAAGCAGGACAACAACCTGGTAAGTTACAGTGAATACTCTGTGTCAGAGCTGGCTCCAGGTCCCAGCTCACAGAGGACCAACGCTAGCCGGCAGTAATGTACAAAAGTCTTTATTGAAGTACAGTTTCCATTTTCAAGCCGCAGCGCCCCAGCTCTACGTCTAGGGGTTAGATCGGCGAAGCTCCATCTGAGTCTCCGCCCCTGTACACCAGTTTAAGATTCTAGCCTTACTCCACCTCTTACGTCTCTCCTTTCTCCTCTGGGTCCTGCTACCCCCGGGTCCCTTCCTTCCTGGATTCTTCTGACGCTGACCCCCTGACTCCTCCCCTCTTTTCGGCGGGCTTTGGGACCTGGCTCCCTATCCGGGCTGCCAACTGCGCCGCCCTCCTGTACATTTGAACTTGGCGCGCGCCCAGCCTTCAACCTTCCTCTCGACCGTTTCCTCGCTCCCCGATGGAGGCGTGGCCAATCCTGACTCATGTCCTCCCACTGGCAGTGCGCCGCCTGATCCCGATGCCTGGGACCCCTCCCCCCTACTGCACTCTGGTGTGGACGCTGGTCCTGATTTCCAACTGCTGCTCTCTGAGTCCCCTCTGGCCCCTTCTTCCTGGGGTGTCTCCCTCGGCACCCCCCTTGCTCTGACCAAGGGAGCCCCTTTCTGTGAATCTTCCGATTCGCTGGAAAGACTCAGAGACCTCGGACCGCTGTCATCGCTAACATTTCCTTCGGACTCCTCTCCCTCGCTCTCTATTTCCTCCCTTTCCTGTGCCTCTGCTCCTGAACCCCGTAGATTCATCGCGACCTCGAAGCCCCCCCGTCCCCCCTCCCCTCCTTCAGGTGTGGGTACTGGGTGCTCCGTCGTTGTGGGGGTGAGTGCCGGATACAGTTCGTCCCCCGTGGCGTGCATCCAGCCGGATAAGTCCGGCTCGTCCTCCGTGCTCTCGCCGACCTCAATTTCCTCTGCTTCCATCTCTTTGCCGCCGTGCTCGAACCCAAGGTCCTCCCCCAACACGTCCATGTCCGTCTCCCCCGGTCTCCTCCGGGGACGTTGCCTGCCAAGGACCCCCCAGCCACTTCCTGCGCCACTGCTCCTCTGGTTGATTGTCCCACCAATAGGAACGGTCTGAGGCAGACCCCGAGGGTGATCCCTCCGGGGAACGTGTTTCTAGTGCCGGTTCCTCGTCCGAGGTGAACCCCTGGAATGTGCTAGCTGAAAATGTGGGTGTGAAAAGCCAGTCGTCGAAATACTCGGCTGGCATGGGCCTGTGTGGGAAAAGGGCATGAAACTCGTCCTTGAGAAAAGGTTCGTCCAAGGCATGGTCTGGCACCCAACTGTTGGCGCTGGCCGGGGTACCTTCTCTGGCGAGAAGATATTCTACTCCCTCTTCCCCCCATCTCGAGTCTAAAATCTCTGTGACTTCGTTGACGGGTTCCCGCCTTGGCGACCCCCTTGTGGGCGTTTCCCTGAACGGGTCTGGTGCCGTTCCTGGCTCCTGAAATCTATGAGGTGCTTTGTAGGGCGTGAGCACTGATCTATGGAAAACTGGGTGCATTCTGGATCCCTCCGGCAGTGTCAACCGGAAGGCCACTGGATTGACCTGTGCCTCGACTTGGTAGGGTCCTAGCTGCTTATGCCCTAGCTTCTTCTTCGCTAACGATCTGGCCGGCACTGCCTGGGCTGCTAACCAAACCCAGTCTCCCACCTGTATGTCTTCCCCAACCCTTCTGTGCTTGTCAGCCTGCAGTTTGTATGCGTGCTTTGCTAGTTCTAACTGCCTCCGAAGCTGTTCGTGAACCTCCTGCAACTCTGATGCTAAGGCTTCCGCTGCCTGTGGCTCCCCCTCACCGCTCTCGCTAATCCCGGGAAGGTTCTGGGATGCCTCCCGTTGTTGGCGAAGAACGGTGTCACCCCCGTGGACACGTGCTTCGTGTTGTTGTAGGCGAACTCAGCGAGCGGCAGGTAGTCCACCCATGTTGCCGGCTGCTGATTTGCGTAGCATCGCAGGTACTGCTGCATGATGGCGTTGACTCGCTCCGCTTGTCCGTTCGTCTGCGGGTGTCTCGCCGACGCTAGGTTGATCTTGACGTTCAGGAAACCCATCAGCTTCTGCCAGAAGTTCGAGATGAACTGTCGCCCCGGTCGGACAGGATAGACCGTGGCAGACCGTGAACCCTGAACACGTGGTCTATGAACAGTTTGGCGGTCTGTTCCGCCGTGGCCACCTTCGCGCACGGAATGAAGTGGGCCATTTTGGTGAACATGTCCACCACCACTAGCACTGCCGTCTTGCCCCTCGAGCTGGGTAGATCCGTGACAAAGTCCAGGGCCACCCTCTCCCACGGTTCGAGCGGTGTCTGCAGCGGTTCGAGCAGTCCCGCCGGCGGTTTGTGCACTGACTTGGCCCTTTGGCAGGTGTCGCACCTCGAGACGTAATCCGCGACTTCCCCCGCATCTTGGGCCACCAAAAATCTCTGGCTACTAATTCTACCGTCTTCTCTTTGCCAAAGTGCCCGGCGGTGGGTGCGTCGTGCAACTGCTGCAGTACTTTCGCGCGGAGGTCGTCTCCCGGTACGTAGAGGGCCCCTCTGCGGATGAGCAATCCGTCGCGTATCTGGAACTCGTCGTCCTCCGCCGTGCCCCTTTGCACCTCTGCCATCTTTGCTTGCGCGAAGGGGTCC